TGAAACTATGCTAAATAAGCCAATCAATGAATAGACAAAAATACAGATGACTGCAAGCCGAAGAGGTATATTACACCCCCTATGAGCTTCGAACAGAAACAGAGACAGCCTGAAGGGGAGGACCCTGTACCACCATGCTCTGCCCCCAAACACGCACAGAGAACAGGTATGAACGGGGGCAGAACAAGACATGGGAGAAAGCATCCTTCAGGATTATAGCTGCAACTAATCCGGCAGATGGACGGAATGTGGGATACATTTTTGCATGAGCATTTTGACCAGCATCCTGTGCAGATAACGGTTCACAATGCGCAGATAGGATTGATTATAAGTCACTGCTCTTAGTGTATGAAGAAGTATGGGAAGCATTACACTCTCCATATCAGCTGGAGGGACTGACTCGATTGCATTCTTCGCCAGGAGGACAGCAATCTGTTTAAGCGAGACCACCGTAAAATACACACTCGTAAACTCGAGAGGCTGTATGGCTGTATGTAATCGTGTAGCTGAGTCTGACCATCCGGATGAGCCGATACATTGAGCTGGGCAGCACTAAACAGGCTGATAGCACGAGCAAGTAGCATCACTGGAAACAATCGCTGATGCACCCATTGTGGGGCAGCTTCAGCATTGGGAGTGCTCACTCTATGAAGCGGCGCATACCAAGGAAGAGCTGAAAATAAGAGATTAGCTCTTACGTTCCTCCCAAGATCCTGTAAAGAGGCTGGAGGTGCAAGAGAAAGGAGCCCATCCTCTTACACCCTCGGGGCCTGTGGAAAAGTACACCAAGGTTGAGAGCTGGAAGAAAGCAGTCTTCATAGCCCTGCCATGAAAGTGAGCTTTGTTGACGTGGAGCATATCTACCAGGGTAAGCCATGGGTGACATTCCTGGACCACTGTGTGTCCATCATCTTCCCCTGGACACAGGCGGCTGACTTGGTAGTCATGAGAGCATAGTTGGCCACTGTACAGAGCTAATGCTTCAGCCTAGGGAAGATTTGGTCCTGTGCAGCCAGGGCAGCGCTTGTGCTGGTACTGTGGTGCAGGGCAGATGTTGCATGGCCAGCTGCAGTGTAGGCTCTGGCCGTGAGAGACAAAGGTAACACACATGCCTTGGGCAGGGGTCTTAGCTTACCCCTCCTGGTGGCGGCATCCACCACCTTGGGAATAGCCTTGTATTGGGTGACCATCCCGTCATCGAGGGAGGTGAGGATGAAAGGCCAGGAAGGACAGGCAGAGAAAAACGCCCTCCAAACCTGCATGTGCTCACTCGGTGCTCCAGGAAAGAAAAGTAGACATCTCCTAAAAAAGTTTTCCCAATAAATAATTTATTACTCTATTTTATTCCTCTCAATATCACTGCAAACTCACTTGCTATAATGTTGTATACAAAACATAAATTACATTTGCATCCTAGTTATGCATCCTAGTTATGCCCACATTCCCCGAAGTAAGGAACAGAGACGTGTGTCAACGACACTTTGGGAGATCGCTAAATGACGATCAGTAAAAGTAAGAAAACGGACTTATGAATGCCTATGAGTTGGCAGAGCGCAGCTCCTTCAGGTGCTACTGGAAAGAAAAGGACGAGGGGCTGGGAGGATTTACCTGTAATATCAGCCCCCTCGTCGCACCCTCTTGTTAGTCTCTCAGTGGCACTGGGGCACAAGCCATCTCCAGCTCTACTGCCGAAGCAGCCTTGGAAAGCACCAAGAACCATGACCTCACAATGCACCCTGCAGGATGGTAGTGGGCCCGGACTGTCATATGAACCTGACTGTTTGTCCTCTGATGCCATCTTGGGTGTCTGATCTCTGGTGTCATTAAGCAAAAGCGTGGGAATCCCAGGGAATGGTCTGTCCCAAATACTCGAACCTTGTATGGGGTGCGCTGTGGAGGAGTAGGAGGTCTGTGGGCCTGGAGCGATGGATACGCCTCCACTGTAATCCTCAGTTCTGACCGAGTGCTCACCCCTTTCATGAGGAACAACAGAGGTTGCTCACCCTTTTGTAAGTGCAACCACTTACAAATGTTACCTGTCACTCAGTTAGTAGCTATGCAATCCTTCTAGAATCTTATTGGTGTAATTAAATAATTAATGAGTTTTTATCTCTGCAAACAAGAATTCTACAGTTTTTTTATCCTGACTTTAAATAAAATAGAAAGATGAATGAAACTAAAAACAGCTACTCAGTTGTGCTTAAACCTCCAGATACACCCACAGTAAGAAGGAAGAGAAGACAGGCTTCATTAGCTTTATTGTCCATTAACTTTATTATAAAGATTAACTACACATGGATGGGTGAAGCAGTGGCACAGTAGCTAGTGCTGTTGCCTCCCAGCAAGAAAGTTGCTGGGTCGCTGGTTCGAGCCTCGGCTCAGTTGGTGTTTCTGTGTGGAGTTTGCATGTTCTCCCTGCATTCGCGTGGGTTTCCTCCGGGTGCTCCGGTTTCCCCCACAGTCCAAAGACATGCAGTACAGGTGAATTGGGTAGGCTAAATTGTCCGTACTGTATGAGTGTGTGTGAATGTGTGTGTGGATGTTTCCCAGAGATTGGTTGCAGCTGGAAGGCCATCTGCTGCGTAAAAACATGCTTTATAAGTTGGTGGTTCATTCCGCTGTGGTGACCCCGGATTAATAAAGCGACAAGAAAATGAATGAATGAATACACATGGATTTTTAGACAATTTGTTTTTACTCCTTAAATGCAAATATGCATTACTAAATGAACTTAGTTTTATTAGTGTATTTATTTCTGTGATATGATCAGTGGTGACCAGAATTACATAAAAAATCAGGCAGTGGTATGTATCTTTATATTTATATACAAGTGAAACGGCATAATACAAATATATATTTCTTTTTTGTTATTTTTCAGGGGGCATCAAACCTAAAGTCCAAAGGTTCCCAAATTCTTTTAACTCCAAACTCCTCTTACCTGCAGAGTTCAGATCCAGCCCTGACCAAACTCACCTGTCTGTAAGTACCAAGATGTTTCTGCATCAGTCAGTCTTTCTTTAGCATTTTTAGATGAATCTAACATTATTGTTAAAGCAAGTCCTACACACTGTCACTGGGGCAGTATTTTTTGAACATGTGCTGTACATTTTAGCTATGAATACATCTTTAAAGTACTTTTGTTTATGTCTCATGTATGAATTAGTATTTTTGTTGGTTAAATACAACTGTAAGAAGAGTGTGTGAAACTGTTTATTGTAAAATATAGATTTTCATCTATGTGAATAACTATGTAGACGCACTTTCAACTTGTGGTCAAGTGCTCACAGATTGGCTTTGAAGCTCCAGTATTGCAGATGACTTGCATATAGCATAGAAGCAAAAATATATTACTTGTATAAATTTCAAGCTTAATTAATAAAGCATTTTAGAGTAGCTGTAATGGAAAGCCAATAAGCTTATTTTGAAATGGCCGTTTTAAAATCTTTTTGTCCTCTTCTGTTCTCAAACTATAAATGAGGGGGTTTATCATGGGTGGAAGCTGACTAGACATTATAATAATGATTAATCTCAGATCAGTATCGAACTTTATACCAATGTTGCCAAACAAATAAATTAAACCTTTGGGTAGAAAATGGAGAGCAATTATGATGAGCTGAGGACTGCAGGTGGAGAAAGTCTTCATTCTTCCTTGACTACCTGAAATTCGCATAACTGCTTTAAAGATGGAGCAGTAAGAAAAAGCTATAATTGCAATGGACCACGCCATAACTGCAAGGGCATAAATGAGGGCTGGAATACTATACAGTGATCTATTAGTACATGCGAGTGTAGTAACAGACACATGCTCACAGTAACAGTGTATAATGGTGTTCTCTGCACAGTAAGGGAGAGGGTAAGCACGGATGACTAACATTAAGGCTCCTGCTAAACTCAATAACCAACAGCCAAGAATCAAAATAAGCATATTTCTGTGTGTCATGATGTTGTGATATTGTAGTGGATAACAGATTGCTGCATAGCGATCTATAGCCATTACTGCCAGCACATTTGAAATAACACCACCTAAATAGTGCACAAAGAACATCTGAACAAAACACCCCAAGAATGAAATGGTTCCATCTTGAAACCAATACCTGCTAATTATCTTTGGTAATGTTGTGGTGCTGAGTAGTACATCACACACAACTAGATTAATAATGAAGTAATATACAGGCCTATGAAGGCTCTTAGTTATCACAAACAATGTAAAAAATACACCATTTTCCATCAGTGTAAACAAATAAACAAAGAACAGAAGTGCCGATACAAGGCCATAATAGTGAGGCTGAAGTCCAGGAAAACCGACTATGAAAAAATCCTTTACAAAGCTGGTGTTTCCCACTGACATGATGAATATCAGTACAGTCTGTTCATCTTCTGTTTGACACAAAAAAACATTATTTTACAGTACAATACAAAAAGGTTTTTGTATACAGTATAACCTTGTATAAGAATACACTATAACTATAATAAAACACCTGAAGAATAAAGAGAAACAAACCTGTCACACCTGTTTCACAGGCTGTAACTACAGTGCATTCTGCTCTTTACCCTGAGATGTGCTGGTCTGTTTTTTTACAACTATCATGTAAGTTGTGAAGACCGTGGCCTAAAATACAGATGATGCAGTTACTCCGGGGACTGTGACAAAATCATCGTTTAGCTCATCACTTTGATTAACAAGTTAAACAGTTACCGTTAAAGTGAAGGAGGATGTAAAATAGACAAAAACTCTTAAATAAGTTTTTCCAAAAATGACAATTCTGTCTTTATTAATTCTTTTTAACATCAGTGCACACCTACTTGGCATAAAGGTTGTATACAGAGCATAAAGAAATGTTTCTGAAGACTTTTCACTCCTTTCTTTTCAATAAAAAACTTTCTTCAAAAAACTAAACTAAGTTTATACATTATTGAAGGTACAACAGTTTTCAGTCAAGAGCAGTGAGTGATTTCTTTGTTTTTTCTTGTTTGATTAACATTAAAACAGACAGCAGGGATAAGATGTTTTCTCTTTAATACACCACACAGATTCAGTACACTGAAAAAGTTACAGGAGGTGCAATAGGATGGGATGCAAATGCAGAAATGCAGAGCACAATTTCCACTTGGTTGGACATTACTTTTAATTATTTGATCATTGCCATTAAAATGCATTGAAAAGCCAGAATGCCAGAAATCCATTGAATGAAACAAGCATTAGTCAAACTTTAACATTGTTACTGTATATTGTCAGTTTCTATATGAACCAAACAAGCATGTGCCAAACTGTGGGTGTAGAATAGGACAATTACATTTTTTTTTTCGAGATTGTATACTATAACAATAATTATTTACAGTGGCTGATTCTGTCAAACACCAAAACCTAAATCTAAACACACCATAATGAATTCATTGATAATCTTTAGAACTGACACAGAACACATGTAAAAGCATTATGTTTTGTGTTTAGATGGTTGAAAAGAGAAAGTTGAGAGCTCACATGTGGGACTAGATAATTTAGTTACTGTTATTTACTGACATTGCAGCAGATGTATCTAATATTGAATAAAGGTGCCATCACACCTCACTATTTACACCATTGCCTTTCGTTATTGCTTATATAAATGCAGGGAATTGGAAAGACTTGTGCAGTGCTGTTTTTTAGTTCACTGTGACCCAAATTTCAAGTTTGGTAAACTTTGGCCTGCAAATTTGCATCACTTAATGATGTGTGTCTGTAGGACTGCAGTAGAGCATGTTGCATATTTTTACATTTTCCACATATAGATCTTGGGATGTGAACCTACACTTGTCTCATAGTTTGGTTACAATTATCATGTCAATCGATTAGGTTCATTTTGATATCTTGGTGCATACTTGTGCATTGACAACGCTTTCTATCCACAATGTTTTTATTTTACTTCACAACACAATAATTCAATTTTGCCTTTCAAACCCATTACATAACTTATCATCATTACAATGTTATTAGCACTGTAAGTAGAAGTAGAAACAGCCCTTCAAAAGACTTACATCTGTAATATTGACATTCAGATTAGTTCAAGAACTACTAAAATATGTTATTATATATTTTGTAATATATTATCTCAGTTGAGCACCTTATGACAGTAGCAAACATTTGGCCACCTTGTTAATGAAACAGATTACATCACAGCAGCTGTAAAGAATTACCTATTTGTTTCTTTTGAAAAATGTTGTCTTAGTACTTTTTTTACCTCTTCTGTTCTCAAACAATAGATAATGGGGTTAATCAATGGAGGCAGCACACTATACATCATAATCATGATTATTCGCAAATCCGTACTAAACTTTAAACCAATGTTGCTTGATAAATAATTAAAAACCCTGGGTATAAAATAGAGAGCAATTATGATGAGCTGAGGACTACAGGTGGAGAAAGTCTTCATTCTTCCTTGACTACCAGAAATTCTCATAACTGCTATAAAGATGGAGCAGTAAGAGAAAATAATAACAGCAAAGGGCACTAGAAGTATTAAAAAGGCATAAATGAGGGCTGGAATACTATACAGCGATCTGTCAGTGCATGCTAGTGTTGTGATGGAGACATGATCACAGTAACAGTGTATAATGCTGTTATCTGCACAGTAAGGGAGAGGGTAAGCACGGATGACCAGTGCCAAAGGCCCCAAAAAACTCAAAATCCAAGGGCTCAGAATCAGGATGAGCACATTTCTGTTTGTCATGATGCTGTGATACTGAAGAGGGTAACATATTGCTGTGTAGCGATCTATAGCCATTACTGCCAGAACAACTGAACAGGCACTGCCCAAAAAATGCACAAAGAACATCTGAACAAAACAACCCAAGAATGAAATAGTTCCATCTTGAAACCAATACCTGCTAATTATCTTTGGTAATGTTGTGGTGCTGAATAGTACGTCACTCGCAACTAAATTAATAATGAAGTAATATACAGGCTTGTGGAGGCTCTTAGTTATTACAAACAAGGTAAAAAACACAGCATTTCCTATTAATGTAAACAAATAAACAAAGAACAGAAGTGCAGATACAAGGCCATAATAATGAGGCTGAAGTCCAGGAAAGCCGACTATGACAAAATCCTTTGCAAAGCTGGTGTTTCCCACTGACATGATGAATAATATTTTTTGAGAAATCTTAGTCGTCTTTCTGTATGCATAAAATACAGCATTTTAATGATCACAATAAAGTTAAAAAACACAATGTAACTATGAAAATAGTAATAGCTGGATAACAAATTGTATTGAAAAATGCAGAGAAAATATACCTGCCAAACCAGTAGTAGTTTCACAGACTACTGCAAAAGTTCATTCTGCCCCTTACCGTGAGATGTGCTTGTCTTAGTCTGTTTTTATCTTACATGCACATTGTTAAAACCTTATTGCTTGACAAACAGATGACGCAGTTGCTCTAGGGACTGTTTTAAAAGTAGCATGTAGTTTTTAACCTCCAAAACGTCACATTAAGTCACTGAAATTAATATTAAGTACACATTTTTAAAGTAAGAACATATATTAATCTTTTAATTTTTAAAATGTTGTTCTCGCCTCAAAATAGGGATTTCCATTGGAACAACAGAAAAAGGAATACATTAATTTCCTTCAACCTAGTTCTTTTATTCATCAGAGGTTGCCACATCGTAATGAACTGCCAACTTATGCAGCATATGTTTTACACAGCACTGAACATGCAGACTCTACACAGAAATGCCAACTGACCCAGCGGGCACTTGAACCAGCAACCTTTTTTCTGTGAGGTAAAAGTGCTAACCACTAAGCCACCGTGTCGTCAGAAAAGGGATAGTAATTACTAATAGGATAATCCATCTAGCATTGCTACCTTTTACACTAATAAAAACAGAAAAAGATATATACACCTAAAGGTTCATGAGATGCACCTTCAATAGACAAAGTCAAGATTCACCTGGGAGCAATTTACCTATTCAGAGCAAATTGAGAAAATAGTGTGATGGAAATGCATAAAAAAATGCATTATGACATAATATTATGACAGTTTCAACCATTTTGCTTGTAAAGACTTATGCTATAAACTAATGACAGACAGACAGACAGACAGACAGACAGACAGACAGACAGACAGACAGACAGACAGACAGACAGACAGACAGACAGACAGAGAGATAGATAGATAGATAGATAGATAGATAGATAGATAGATAGATAGATAGATAGATAGATAGATAGATAGATAGATAGATAGATAGATAGATAGATAGATAGATAGATAGATAGATAGATAGATAGATAGATAGATAGATAGATAGATAGATAGATAGATAGATAGATAGATAGATAGATAGATAGATAGATAGATAGATAGATAGATAGATAGATAGATAGATAGATAGATAGATAGATAGATAGATAGATAGATAGATAGATAGATAGATAGATAGATAGATAGATAGATAGATAGATAGATAGATAGATAGATAGATAGATAGATAGATAGATAGATAGATAGATAGATAGATAGATAGATAGATAGATAGATAGATAGATAGATAGATAGATAGATAGATAGATAGATAGATAGATAGATAGATAGATAGATAGATAGATAGATAGATAGATAGATAGATAGATAGATAGATAGATAGATAGATAGATAGATAGATAGATAGATAGAATCATTTATAGTGGCTACTGTACTTCTGTCAAACACCAAAACTCAACCTAAACACATCATAGTTAATTCATAAGGCTTAGACCAGGGGTCCGTTCTTCGTACGTGGATTACTCAGTTAGCTGGATTTGGATATTGATGATTTGTCTCGATTCAGGATCGCTTCGTTCTTTAAAGCTGATCCGAGAATTGTTGTCATAGCAACAGTTCTGCTAGGTCAAACCTGATCGGGAGCAGGTTCAATTCATATAAACAGGATTAGATCGGCTCAGTTCAAAGATAATACAGAAAGTATGTTCCGAATTCTGATATTTTCTTACAGTAGTAGCTACACTTGGGAAAATGGTAAATATTTTTTAACTATATATATAAAGTTATAGTTATTAATAAAATAAATAAAGTTATACATATTAATAAAACTTATGCAATCTGCACCCTCGAAATGAAAGTACAAAGACTGCCACCTGGTGGTGGAAAGAGAAAACTTATTGATATGAACTTTTTAGATCGCTTTAGTACAAATTGTGTATAATAGAAATGCACAATATGTGACTTTTTTTAAAAATCAATAATACATTTATGTAGTCATGAACATGTTTTGACAGTTAATAGCCTATGCCAGTGATTTGATGCTTCACAAAAGTTGCAGACGCCTTACCAATCTCAAAATGCTTTTGTAAACAACCAGTTATTCTTTACACCGATTAAAAAACGGCTTCTATAATAAAGAAAATATTTTCAAAATGTAGAACTAAATACATTGATTTGCATTGAAATACATGATGAATACACCTGACACATGAAAGTGTAAAGCCTGCAGCTCACAACAAATGTGGAAGGTTATTGCGTGTCATATTTAACAAGCCGTTTACTGCTAATTTGATGTAATTTTGCTCACATGGATAATTGAATATTAATCAGATGATGTCATTACGCTGCTATGCCGTCAGCCAATCGTTGCATTGCTGATCATGGTTTCGAGTATTGATTAGGGATGTAACGGTATCAGAATTTCACGGTTCGGTAATACCTCGGTATGAATGTCACGATACGGTATTTATTGAATCATTTACAGGAAAAAAAAACTTTTGAAAATACTCCAAAAAAGTGCCAAAAGTGTCAATGACATACAAATTAGCCATCTATCTGTAAGCTTTGAAACACTAACTTCAATTTTAATAACAAAAAATTATTAAACCATGTAAAAAAAATAAAGTTTCAATTTAGTATTGTTGAAAACTCACCACATTCAACATTTAATCACTCACTCACTTAGATAGAGATGGGTTTAAAGGAAAATTATCATATAAATATAATCTGGTAAAAGCTGGTATCTCTGGGTATTTACAATGTCCCCTGCAACAGAAAAAAACCCTCTCATTTGGGACTGAGGTTTCTGGGACAAGAGAGATATGACTTGGCCCATGTTGACAGCAGTGGGGTAACGTTGTGCATTGTCTTTCCCCCACTTGAGAAGACAAACCATGAGTGAGATAGAGATCTCTTTGCGGTACAAATCAATGTCTGCATCAATCTGAACAGTGTGCTGTGTTTCTGCTGTCCCCATGACTGCTATTAGTCGTATTCCCCAACTCGCAGGCACGTGCACACATAGGGCTCAACCTGTGCAGTGCGCATGCCCTTTTTAGTCTTGGATAGAAAATGCCCTTCCAAAACGATCAAAAGTGCCCCCGCGACGAGACACAACCTCCGTCCAATCCAGCCCTTCAGTAGGCGCGCGACAACACCTCTCTTGAATATGCGCGCTCAACCCCCCCTCGGCGCTTTACAATACGCGCGCCACAACACAGCTGATCAGAACGCGCGCGACAGCACCGCTATTCAGCACGCGCGCGGCGACAACACCCGCTTTAGGTTCGATCATTTCCATCTTTTTTTCATCTCCGCTACTAGCAGCACACTCCATTTCCGCATTACTGGATCTGTAGCGACAACAGACCGCAAAGGATTATGGCCACGCCGGGGCTGATGGGAAATGTAGTTTCAGCTACGTCCCGTTCGCTTCATTCGCCTGAGCAAATTTTCTCAGAAGACCTATAGTTTTACCGAGTCATGCGACCTCGGTAATATCGAAAAAAAATTAATATTGCGGTATGACGGTATTTACAATACCGTTACATCCCTAGTATTGATAGATCTGTCCTTCACAACACACGCAGCGATCTCAGATCAGTTTATCCAGACATTCTAATCTGATTCGCGAACTTGTTTGAAGAACCAAATTAACGAGAGATCAGTTATCAAGATGAAAAGATCCAGGATATGCCAAATCATCTTAGATCATTTAAGCGAGGTACGAAGAACGGACCCCAGTGTAAAAAAATATTAGGACACATGATGCCATATATAATTTTTAGAACTGATACAGTATGAGTAAAAGCATTATGATATGTTTGTGTTTACATGCTTGAAAAGAGCATGTAAGCTCTCATGTGGGAGCTCTCATGTGGGAGCAGATAATTTTAATTACTGTTCATGCATGATTTTATTTAATTTTTTTATTTGTTTACATGAAATACCTTTGCTTCTGTTTTTACTGATATTGCAGCAGATGTGTCAAATATTGAATAAAGGTGTGATCACACTGCACTTTTCACTCCATTGACTTCCATTAATGCTCCTATAAAGGCAGGGCATAGAAAAAACTTGTGCATTACTGTTTTTTAGTTCACTGTGACCCAAATTTCAAGTTTGGTGAACTTTGACCTGCAAATTTGCCTCACTCAATGATGTGTGCCTGTAGGACTGTGACCTTGCAGTAGATTATGTTGCATACTTTTACGTTTTGGACATGTTATACACAGTACTTGTATACAATTTTTTTTTTTTTAGAAATGACACTGCAGTGTGTGACATAACTATTGCATGCAGAATCTCAATTAATGGTCTGCCACCTTTAAAAGACACCATCTAATGATGATTGCATATTGCATCATTTTTAATTTGGGGTAAACTAACCTTTTAAAAGTGTGCAAGCTACAGTGATAATCAATGACATATTGTGCAAAGAGGTTAGAAATGACTGGCATTTGTCTAAAACAATACAAAAATATTTGTGGTATTATTCTTGGTGAGAATACGGCTGAACACTAGGCAAAGAAAAGATATATTGTACAGACAGACTATGAATGTTTTTCTAAATATAACAATATGATATTTGAACATACGTCACCAAAATATGTATGCATCAACCACATGCATATTTGTATGCATGAGTGTACTTTAAAAAAAGCCACACATAATTGTGCATGTAGGCTACAATTAAAAGAATAAAGTTTACTTTGGGATTTAGAGGGGTCAAACAAATAATTTAGAAGAGTTTTAGAACAGTGGTCTTCAATTCCAGTCTTTGCACCCCTCTGCTTTGCACATTTTGTACATTTCTCATATTGGGCCTCTTAAATGCTTATTGTGCCATGTGAAGTGGATAATCTCTCGCGATTCCAGTTTGAACAGAGCATATGTTTTATTCAAATGGCATTGTAGTTTAGAATATGTAAATAGACTTTCAGAGATATAGTGCATCACGTTTCATATGTTTCTGGTGTCTTCTTTGTGTGAAGGTTTCATGATAATGCACTGTAACTTGGAATATGTAATGCATTTAATGAATAGTGTACCTGGAACCACAGGTTTAGATTTTTTTAAATGATACAACTGATGTCTTTGTACATCAACTATATCACCAATTAAACATGCATAAAAATGATGGGAGTGAAAAGTGTACTTTATCAAGTCCTTCATTCTGAAGTGTAATTGGAAGTGTTTGTCTCAAAACGACCACATTCAAAATGAGCATTACAAGCTACAAACATCAGTATTCAAAGAGCTCATCTTAAATCATTACATTCATACCCAAGACATAATTTACTATTATTAAACTATTGAATGTCAACACTGTAAAAAAAATCTATGATCAGCTAGTCTTTACAGTATATGTTTTCGGTCATTGTAACTTACTAAACTATTAATCATGTTCTTAACTTCATTTTTTAAGTTTGCATAACACAAGTTTAATGGACTCATAAGGTTAATTTGATTTAACTTAATTATTTAAGGCATGTTTAAAGTGTACAGTAAGCTATTAGCCCATGTGTGTAAAAGGGGAAAGTTAAAATAAAATTCTAAAAACCAGAAAACTTACAGTACATTTGTGTTCTTGACATTCAGTCCAGTCCAACAATTACTTAAGTCTGTTGGTTATTTTATAACATATTATTTCTGGTGAGCACCTTATGACAATAGCATATGTTTGGCCATCCCATTAAATAAAACAGATCACATCAAAGCAGCTGTAAAGGATTACCTATTTGTTTGTTTTTAAATTGTTGTCTTAGTACTTTTTTTACCTCTTCTGTTCTCAAACAATAGATAATGGGGTTAATCAATGGAGGCAGCACACTATACATCATAATCATGATTAATCGCAAATCCGTACTAAACTTTAAACCAATGTTGCTAGATAAAAAATTTAAAATCCTGGGTATAAAATAGAGAGCAATTATGATGAGCTGAGGACTACAGGTGGAAAAAGTCTTCATTCTTCCTTGACTACCTGAAATTCTCATAACTGCTATAAAGATGGAGCAGTAAGAGAAAATAATAACAGCAAAGGGCACTAGAAGTATTAAAAAGGCATAAATGAGGGCTGGAATACTATACAGTGATCTGTCAGTGCATGCTAGTGTTGTGATGGAGACATGATCACAGTAACAGTGTATAATGCTGTTATCTGCACAGTAAGGGAGAGGGTAAGCACGGATGACCAGTGCCAAAGGCCCCCAAAAACTCAATATCCAAGGGCTCAGAATCAGGATGAGCACATTTCTGTTTGTCATGATGCTGTGATACTGAAGAGGGTAACATATTGCTGTGTAGCGATCTATAGCCATTACTGCAAGAACAACTGAACATACACTGCCAAACAAATGCACAAAGAACATCTGAACAAAACAACCCAAGAATGAAATGGTTCCATCTTGAAACCAATACCTGCTAATAATTTTTGTTAACGTTGCAGTGCTAAATAGCACGTCACTCACAACTAGATTAATAATAAAGTAATATACAGGCTTGTGAAGGCTCTTAGTTATTACAAACAAGGTAAAAAACACAGCATTTCCTATTAATGTAAACACATAAACAAAGAACAGAAGTGCAGATACAAGGCCATAATAATGAGGCTGAAGTCCAGGAAAGCCGACTATGACAAAATCCTTTACAAAGCTGGTGTTTTCCACTGGCATGATGAGTATTAGTCGTTTAAGAAATCTCTGTCCTCTTTCTGTGTGTATAAAATACAGCATTTTAATTATGTTACAATATTTACTTAAACACAATGTTACTATGAAAATAGTAATAGCTGGATAACAAATTGTATTGAAAAATGCAGAGAAAAATACCTGCCAAAGTTGTTTCACAGACTACTGCAAAAGTTCATTCTGCCTCTTAGCCTGAGATGTGCTTGTCTCATTCTGTTTATATCTGACATGCACATAGTAAATACCTCATTGCTTGACAAACAGATGACGCAGTTGCTCCAGGGACTGTTTCAAAATTAGCATATAGCTTTAACTTACAAAACATTACATTATGTCATTGAATTAATATCAAGTGCACATTTTTTAAGTAAGCATGTTAATCTTTTAATTTAAAAGAGTTGTTCTCACTTCAAAAAGGTTTAAATGAACCTAATGCACAAGCAACGAAGCAAAAAAAGAAATTGTAATTGCTAAACTCCATCCAAAATTACTCAATTACTTCAATAATATGAAAAACATCATATAGGTTTGAACAACTTGAATGGGAGAGCTATCCCTAAATCCAACTAGATTTATTCATAAGTCTGTATTCACATTTTTGTGTAAAATAAATGATTATGTGAAATAATTAAGTTGGAATAATGTGTATCTTTCTTTTTTGTAAATATAGTTTACTTGAATAGTTTTTATACAGTGAAGCATTAAAATGTTTTAATTATTAAGAAAAAGTCAAAAGATATACAATGCTCAGCATATATAAGTAAACCCCTCACAAATCTATATTTTAAATTCATATTTTTAATAGAAAGCTATACAATATTGTATTTGTGTATATACATTAGATTAGTGAGTACTGAAGCCAAATAACAAAATAACTTACAATAACGGTCCAAAAACTAGGACACCCAAATTTATGTTATAGAAAAATATAAAATACAAATTAAAAAAGAAAAAATCAAGAGAAGCAAAAAAAAAAAAAAAACAATAATAAATAAATAAAAAAATTAGTTGAAATCATTTAGGTTTTTTTTGCTTGAATTTAATTGTATTCTTTCAATTTTTAAATATGTTTGATGACTAAAATATAATTTTTTTAAATAAATGTATCTGTTTATTAAAGCAGTTTCATCAAATGCACCAAAATACATGCCTATATTAACTAAAATATTAAAATGTTTTAGATAAATAGATTTTATAATAGATAAAAATATTCATTTCCATAATGGGGCGTACTCGATCATGCTAAGCACTGTATCTCCTCAGTTTCTAATAAATCTTTTTGTAGAACAAGTAATATTATTCTATATAAATATATATGTATAAATATTATTATCTTAATTGCTCATTCGATATGCTGCATGAATTCCAAAGAATACTATTTTAGCATTTATAATATATGACTTCTAAAAGCATTTATGAAGATACTGAGGATATGTCAACTTTTGTTAGATTAAACTTGACATTCGTTGAGATTTTAAGTCTTTTAACTAAGCATTCCTTTACATCTTTTGTCCTTAAGCAATAAATGAGAGGGTTGAACATGGGTGGAAACAGACTATACATCATAATAATGGCTAATCGCAAATCAGTGCTGAAGTAGATGCCGATATTGCTTGATAAATAAATAAAACACCTGGGTAGAAAATAGAGAGCAATTATGATGAGCTGAGGACTGCAGGTGGAGAAAGTCTTCAGTCTTGCTTGAGTGCTTGATATACGCAGAACTGCCAAAATGATGGCACAATAAGAGAAAACTATAAAGGCCAGGGGAGTAAGCAACGCAACCATAGCAAGAACAAAAGCTGGAATACTATATGGTGCACGATTGGTGCATGCAAGCGATGTTATAGAAATGTGATCACAGTAACATTGTATAATGGTGTTTTCTGCGCAGTATGGGAGAGGGTAAGCTCTTATTACCATCATTAAAGGGGTTACATTTGCTATAACCCATGAAATGAGACAAAGATAGAAAATGTTCCACTTTGTGACTATATTGGGATATCTTAAGGGATTACAAATGGCTACATACCTATCAAAGGCCATTATTGCCAGGATAAAAGCATTGACTGTACCAAAATAATGCACAAAATACATTTGAATGAAGCAACCCATAAATGAAATACTACCATCTTGAAACAAATACCTAGCAATAATTTTTGGCAGGGTAGTAGTGCTAAATAATATATCGCTTGCAACTAAGTTTAAGATGACATAATACATAGGTTTATGGAGGCTTTTTTCCAGACTAAAAAGTATTAGAAATGTTCCATTCCCTGCTAAGATACACACAAAGACAAAAAGCATCAGAGCAGCCACTGAGTCAAAGTATCCCTTTTGAAGCCCAGGAAAACCAACGATAAAAAATTCCTTAACAAAGCTGATGTTCCCGGCTGACATGATGAGATGAGGGCTAGATAAAAAAAAGATGAAGGATTAGATTAACAGAAATTGAATGGCTTTGGATGAAATAAGAGACATCACAAATTACAACATTTGTTTGCAGAATCATAACACAAGATAAACTATTAAATTGTATCTCATCATTTTAAAAAATACAGTAAATGATACAGATTATTTCATTATAATCATATGAAGAATATTAACACAAGCTTACGATCTGGAACACAGGTTTACTTACAATATGTGTCTTTGTACTCTATTTAATTGTGCGCCAGTCTAAAATATTTAAAGCACATAAATGTTTTTTTTTTCTCTCAGCAAGGCGGGGAATTCTGTGGTTGGTCGATGATGTTGACCATACACTTCAAGAATTTCTTATAGGTTGCTAATCAGTTACCCATGGTAAATTTATTTACCTATGCTTTTATGCTAATTAAAAACTCTTAACTCTTGATCAAATTTTACCGCTTAAAGTTATGATTTTTCAGGACTACTTTGACTCTTTACATATGTTAAAGCTTCAAGTCACAGACAACATCACATAACAATGGGCTTTTACAAGTGTATTTTAACTTCAGTTAATTATATAGCATACCTGTATATGCGTCTAATACAAAAATACATTACATTAAATAACTTTAGTCTGTTTCTGAGTTGTTGTTTTTTTACTGATAATGAGCCAGCACATGTCCTATTTTATACACCCAAATCACTACAACATTTCCAGTTACATATTTGCTTTACCAATGAACATATATCTGAATAAAGCCACTGAAGTGGAAATGTAAAATGATAAACATGCAAAGAATACTACTCATTTATTTTAACTACAATCCTCAATATAAACTCTTAATTTGCTGCATAGTAATAGTTATTAAGGTTATTAATAGTTATAAGTTGTTAGTTGTTGGGTTTAGGTATTGGGTAGGATAGGATGAGAATTAGATCATGCAGAACATGTGCTTGTTAATTACTAATAAAAAGTCAATATCTTATAATAGGCAGGTAATAAGCAACTAGTTAATAGTGAAAATTGGTCTATAAAATATATAGTCTTGTATCTATGTTGTCTGTGCTGTATGTACTGTACATGTATGCTGTATTCGACAATAGGTAGTATTTTAGTATGCACTATGATGGCCAAATTATGTTCATGTGCTGTCACTTATTGGGGTGAGCCTATAACAAGGTCTGCTGTAGTCAATCCTGGCTGTCGACTTGAGACTGGATCAACAAAAATGTTTAAATTGGGCCTTAGATGCTGCCTTGCTGAAAAGCATCCAATGTCATTGTTGAAATGTTCAGTCATACCACAAGATGGCGCCATGAATTCTTAAAGTTAACAGTCCAAGTCAGCTTTATTGTCAATTCTGCCACATGTACAAACATACATAGAATTGAAAGGATGTACGTTTCTCTCTGACCCTATGTTCATACAGATTAGGGTTGTGCGATATTGGAATAATCTGATAATTAGATTTTTTTTCTGGAACATATATTGTGATATGAATATAGTTTTGCCAGAGGGTTTGAATAGCCTTAGTTGAGAAAAAAATTATCATTTTAGATTGATTGTGATTATTTTGTAGGGTGCACATCTGCGTAAATATAATAAAGAAATTACAAGCATATATACAAGTACAAGAAAGCAAAGATAATGTGAAATAAACAGTACCTTGTAGTTTTCTTGCAAGTCTAGCACTAAGCAGGTTAAATTTTAATAAGCTAATGTAAAATAACACTATATATTCTTTATTGTATACATAATTAAATACTGATCATAAGAGTCAGATCATAGTATCTAAGGGAGGGAGTGAGTCGGAGCAGTTCCAGGAGAATGAACTCTTTTAGTCTGTTGGTCTTGGCCTGGACACTTCACAGTCTCCTACTTGAAGAAATTATGTCCCTCAATGCAGACAGATTTCCGGATGAGATGATAGCAGTACATATCTTCTAATGTAATGTGTATTTATATAGCACATTTATTGTGTATGGCCATACACCCAACAGTCATGAAGGGGTCTCTCTACACCACCATCAGTGTGCATCATCCACTTGGATGATGCAACGGCAGCCATAGGACAACAGCGCCAATGCGCTCACCACACACCAGCTATAAGTGGAGTGGAGAGACAGTGATAGAGCCAAATTGGGTGGATGGGGATGTTTGGGAGGCCATGATCTAAAGGGCTGATAGAGAGAGGGACTTTGGCCAGGACACCAGGTTTACACCACTACTCCCTATGAGAAGTGCCATGGGATTTTTTGATGACCACAGAGAGTCAGGACCTCATCTGAAGGATGGCGAGTACTGACAGTGAGGTGTCCCTTTCACTTTTTACTGGGCCATTAGGACTCACACAGACCACAGGTTGAGCGCCCCCTGCTGGCCCCTCTAACACCACTTCCAACAGCAACCTAGTTTTCCCATGTGGTCTCCCATCCAGGTACTGACCAGGCTCAGCCCTGCTTAGCTTCAGTGAGTAACCAGTCTTGGGCTGCAGGGTGATTGCACCATTAAATCTGTTCCAAAATTGGTCTGTTGTCATTTATTGATCAAAAGATTATTTAAACTTTAAACTTTTTAATGTCAAAATGTGCATATCGAACAAGAAATTACATTGGTTCATTAATTCTTAATCATATGGAGAACCACTTTAAGAGCTCAACAGCACCTTTGACAAATGTAGACTTTTAAAATTTATTTTACTCCACTCTCGTTTGATTTGCGTTGTGTGGGAACTTACTTCAATGTCAACAACTGTTTTGAATTACCTTTATGCCTTCTAAAATCAAAATGTTCTGGACCTGAATATTTTCTTGGGGGGCCAGCGAAAACAGGAAATACAATGCATTTTATTATATATTTTTAATAATTTCCCTAACTAAACAAATTGACTGATATGGAGTTAGAGAACATTGAAATGACTGTTTAAATTTTAAGGTCCTTGGTATGTCAAACTATTTTATTGACAAAGCATTTTAATCTGGTACAGCCATATAGCCATAAATGTATAAATAAATAAATAAATAAATATATAAATATATATATATATATATATATATATATATATATATATATATAAAATGCTTTGAAAAATTTGTATTGTGAAAATTGTTATACAAATACTATATCCTAAATTTGACTTCACTTTAATGGCTGGCTCACTTTGTGTTAGTGAGTGTTATAATTGAAACGTTAAACAATTTGTTATGCAAATGCTGAAAGTCCTGCACGTTTGGGTTGGCTATGAGTTGGAAACTATTCTGGTGTCTGACAGCAATTACATTATAATTAATCACCTATATCTTAATCATCTTTCCACTGGGATTATTTAGACGTCTCTAAGTCCCAAACGGCTTAATCAGTTAATAATTTAGCCCATTTGGGAGGATTAACAACTGCTGAGACCTGTATCTCTAAGGCTTATTAATTATTAACATATCATTATTATTTAGCTTTAGCTAAAATCGCAGTTAACAGTTAACAGTTAGCAGTATTTTCGTGGAGGGTTAAAGCAGGCCCTAATTGGCAAGACAGGCCTCTGTCCTTCTGTCTGTCTGTTTTTTTCCACTCCCTCTTCTTGTTTATCGTTATTGAGATGCAGTGTCTCTGAGGGTCGTTACTGTGTAATTAGTTGGTGACACATTGACTGGAAAACATCAACTGAAATGTTATATGACTGTTTGTCCTATAACATCCAAACAGTTGCTATAAAAAATGTCTTTCCTCAAGAGTCCTAATTTGCTACTTGTTGTTCATTTTCCCTGAAGAGTTCTCAGCACTCAAAGCGTCCTTCATGACCACTGAGTGACATCTTGTTTGTCAGACATTGTTTTGTTTTTACAAACCCCTGTGCCACTATACACAGCTCATTAACAGCTGAAGTCTGAAAACAAAAAGGTTGCCCTTCAATCAAATATGATGCAACTCTTTCAAAACACATACATGTAAATGTCTACACCTACTGTAGCACAAATACATTAGAAACTAGTATTATGTATGATTTAGTTTTCCTTCATTTGTGCAAAACTGGTAAATCATTATTTCTATCAATCATTTTTTTAAATGCATTTTAATTAGTTTTATATCTCAAGATATTCTCTTTCATCAAGGTAATAAATTGATGAGACACTAGTAGAACAGTGCAACATGCTGCAGTATCACAATACAGAAATAGCATCAACAGTGGCAACACAAATCACAAAGGTTGTTGCCTTTGATGCACACCAAATCTACACGATTGCCAATATGAGGCCCAATATGACCCATCTTTGATCATTCAACTCATGTGCTCTGAAATTACAAGAATACAAGAAGAATTTTGATTTTAAATATAATATATGACATTACATGTACACTAGAAAAAATATGTTAATGAACAGTTTCTGTATTTTGCGATTCTCAAATGTTTTCTGTTTAGGGTTGTGAATTGCATTATGGGAGCTTGAGTTGAATAAAGTGACTTTTATTGACATTTAAGTATAATATAATGTAATACATAGGAAATAAGTCTGTATAATAGCAGAAAATTAATTGGCGGTTTATTACAAGGTGTTTTATACCATAAATTAATACCAACCCAGACAATATATCACTTTAAACTAATAAAAATGTTCATAAAAGTACCTTTTTCTTACTTTTCAAGGTTAAAAGTTGTTGGGAGAAAAATAAAGGTCCTATAATACAAATAAAAGCATAAATAAATAGGGGGAAAACTGCTAAATTACAGAGTTTTTTCCCTGTGTATTTTTTTTGAAAAATGTAAAACAGTGCTTTCATTTGTAGGTGTATTTAGTAAAACTGCTCTCTCTCTCTCAACAGACAAAAATATTTAAGCTAAACTAATAGTCTTTCTTTGGACTTAAGGCATACTGTATGATATTAATTCTGGAAAAATAAAAACATTAATTGAAATGGTTGTTTTCAAATACAGGGAATAATTTGGCTGTTTTGGACGATGTTTAAATCAGGTTTAAAGACCAGCTGAAAAGGGAATTAAGGTATTACTCTGAACAATCAGTTAAAGCCATTTGAAATGAACAGAACAAACTTTTAAATTGCCATGTATTATACATTAATAAAAAAATGCTAATTAAATTAAACATGTCACACAATAAAGCATTTAAAAACATATTTTATAGCAACATTACATTTACATTTATGCATACACAGTCAAAGCAAAAATATTCTATTTTACTTTTTAATTTAACTTGTGGGTGCAGTACACTATAGTTTGTTTTTGTTTTATACATAAAATGTAATCTAAAAATATGTAAAACAATAAAATTTGTTAACAATTTGTAACAAATTTGTAACAAGGCATATGGCACTTAAGTAGTATGTGTGTGAATGAGTGGGTATGGATGTTTCCCAGTCATGGGTTGCAGCTGGAATGGCATCTTCTGTGTAAAACATATGCTGGATAAGTTGGCGATTCATTCCGCTGTGGCGACCTCAGATTAATAATGGGACAAAGCCGGAAAAAAAAAATGTAAATTAAATGAATTGACTGAATGTCTCATAATTTTCTCTTTATGGTCACCTTGTGATAGTGTGCAACTGGGATTTGTACTTAACTAAGTCTATTTGTTTATGTGTGTTAACATTAATGTGAGTAGCTACACAAACCTATCAAATGAATACCCTCTGGACTGTAATAGTATCCTGAGAGATTGTAATGAAATATTAATTGTTCCTATATGACTCCTAAAATTATGAAAATTCACTTTCTTAAATTTCATGATTAAGCAAGACATGATGCTTCTGGTTGGAATGGCTGGAAACTGCTATTTACAAGAAGAAACAATATATATATATACACACACACACACACACACACACACACACACACACACACACACACACACACACACACACACAATATTGTTTTAATATTCACAGATCTGTGATTAAATCGTTAAATTGTGGACATTTCTATGCATATAAACAAATGTATATTTTCATGATTTAAAATAGGGCTGCACAATATATCATTTAAGCATCAATAGTCACATCGCAAGATATGCAATGTTGTGTTAGGATTATGGATTACCAGAAACCACGTCAAAACACACAAGATTTGTTTAAACACTGCAGAATTGAACCATAATAGAGTGAAAGTGTATCATATCATATACATGTGATTTTAAGACTTGCACTTTTGTGGACAGTGTGTATTTTAAGTTCAAAGCATTTTAGTTGTGCATGAAGTTTAATAAAGATTATTTTTATTGAATTACTATATTATGAAGACTATGCTTTACATTTGATCATAGAATTTCTGTACCTGAATATTGTCACTCCCTACAGAAAAAAAGGTTTATTTTACTTTTATTTGCTGCATGTTTGTGACAGTCGTTTGTTTATTGTAATAAATTAAATAAATTGCATTTCACTCCACTACAAAATCCACTACATATATTAAAAGTATATATATACATATACATATATGTATATATATATATACACTTTTGATTTGATTTATTTATTTTCGAACAAAAATATTATACATACAATATCATTAACAAAAAGAAATACATGTTAATATGGTCGAAAATGGAGCAGGATGAAGCATAAGCTTATTACTCTCCCACCCCATTACCACATAATAACATTTTATTTACTGTATCTGGTTTAGTCACCTGAGATCATGATAAAATAATATTGAAATATTTCAGTGTCTGATTTGCCCAGTTTTATTGACCTACTTTTTTGTCCTGGTGAGAGCCTTTGGTATAAAACATGTAAATGTTAAAATATTATTATAAACAATTATATGGCATTTCTAAGTTATATTAAATGAAAAGGGGAACTACATTAAGCTGAAACCTTCTCATTATAAATGAATAATCCTATAGTGAAGGCAGAAGGAGAGAAAACATTACAACAGGTTACATAATAGTGTCTGAATGATCTCAGGAGAGTTATGATAAATTGTATATATACAGTATGTATTTGAACTCTCCGGCATAGATATTCATTGAACTGACTGAATGTGCAATAACATATCTTTATATTTGCAGAGTGCAGACAAGCAGTCATTGTTTGCTATGGCTTTGTAGTTTTGTGTTTATACACAAGACTGATTATATTGTGGAGATTTCTATGCATATACTGTAAACAAATTTCTATTTCCATGCTTTAAAGATAGATAATAGACATTGTTGTGTTTACTTGTCATTTAAACAAATGTGTTGCTTATGCTTTTCTGGTGATTTTTATTTTCAGCTTGGGCAAAACACCAAACGCTAAGCTGCCATGAGTTCTGACAGTGCAAGTTTCTCATCGAATATCTCCATTGTTCATCCTGAATACTTTTTCATCACTGGGCTTTCAGGTACAGAATACAGCAATTATTACTACATCTTCTTGTTTTTCCTTTATATTGTTGCTGTAATCGGAAACTTTATAGTTCTTCTCATTATAGCTCTTGAACGCAGTCTGCACAGTCCAAAGTACATTGCTGTGTTTAACTTGGCCTTGGCTGATATTGGTGAAATGAATGCACTGGTTCCTAACATGATAAAAATGTTTCTGTTTGAGTCCCAGTACATCTCCTATAATGCGTGTATGGTAAACATGTTTTTTGTTCACTTCTTTACTACCATGCAGAGTTTCACTCTTGTTGTTATGTCTTACGATCGCTTTGTAGCTATTTGCTTGCCATTGAGATATCATGCTATTGTCAACAACACAGTCATATCTGTAGTGTTTTTAGTTTTATGGGCGTTTAATGTTTTTGTGCTTCTGGTTGTGGTGGGTATGATCACTCGACTGTCAATCTGCAAAAGCAATGTGATACTGAGTTATTATGGTGATCATGGACCAGTGTATAAGTTGGCATGTAATGATAACAGCATCAATTCTTTTTTGGGAAAACTCAGCACAGCTTTATATCTAGTAGCACCACTGATCATCATATTCCTGTCATATGTGGGTGTTTTTCTTGCTTTAAGTAAAATTACAACTTGGGAAGGACGTTTAAAAGCTCTGAAAACCTGTGTTGCACATTTGTTGTTGGCGGGATCTTTTTTCGTTCCTATATTCAGCATATACATTGCTTCAATCATGAATTCCCTCACTCCTAATGCAAGGGTCCTCAGCACATCCCTGTCATATGTGCTTCCACCAACTCTAAACCCTATACTTTACGTTTTAAACACAGCTGAAATCAAACAATTAATTAAAAAAATTATTAAAAACAGATCTACCAAAACTGTGCATGTTGCAAGCTAACTTGTTTTCTTTATTAATGTTTTTAGAATGTACTAGATGTTTTCACATAAATATATGGAGACAAATAATTTAGAAATAGATTAAGTGTACTGGGTTATATATAATGTAAAATTCTCAGTTCAACATGTGTTTAAGGATAAGTTTATGTATTAGAGCTAATTTTAGGAGCCTTTATTTCACTTTTGTTAAACATAATACAAAGCAAACACAATGTAAACACAATAAAAAAGCAAAAGATATGTCATGTTTCTGCATTTTACTCAAATAACATGTCTAAATCCCTGCCTTATTGATTGCATTGGGTCTGTATTGGATTTATAATCGAAACAAAAATAAAACAAGGTGGAATTGTATTGATGAAGTGAATAATATATTCCTAAGAGTTGACTAGACATGCACAATTCTGTCTTTATTGTGTTCTGTATTATAATATAGTACTGTATGATATAGCAAGTTGTACATGCTGACATTCAACATATCATTTTCACTAGTTTATTTATACATGAATAAAACAATGTGTTGCAGATAATATATACACAATGACAATGAGCTGGGTGAACTCCTGTGAGAGACACAACTTATAGCTACTGTGACATTTGTACTGGCCTTTTCTTAAGATGATTGTCTGTCCCAATAAATGTATTATAAATGTTTTAAAGGACTCCTGGGCTTTGTATAGCTCTGTTTGTTGTGAGTTTTAAGGTTACAGCAAAGGGTTTATATGCTTGCACATGTCCCACACTCTTTGTTTTCTGATATTTCAAATATTTTTAAAACAGCCCCCTGCTTCTGTGCCATTCTTTCTTGTACTGTATATACAGTAGGATAAAATAATCCAGTTAAATTCACTTGCTTATACTGTAGATTGCAACAATCTGTTTCTTAGCAGCAAACTGCTTTTATATCACAGTAAGCCACTTACTAACCCTGTAAAGCTAGCAGCCCATTTCAAGTGGTGATCTACTCTGTACTTTAGTGATATGTTGATTTACTATACAGTTTATTATTACTTTACCACTCAGAATGTGTCAACAACATTGGTCTAACAAAACTTTACACACTTCTTGTGAAATGTGTGAGAGCAGGGGCGCTTGCAGGATTTTATTCCAAGGTACGCACAAATTCAGCACCGCCCCACCCCCTTCCGCCAGTCATGTCAAGAAACACTGATGCTTGCTGTCAAAGGCTGCATTATTCAAGGGCATTCGTTATGACATAACTTGTTTCCTTTTTAATTTGAATATTTCGCTGAAATCTAAATGTAATAAAAGCACATCAGCACCAAGGAAAAATCAGACGTTCAAGACGAAATCTTTAAAATTTATGACATGTTAAAAAAATTGCAAATATATGACAGAAAATCGTGATAAAATACAATTAGTGAAGCATTAATTAAATCCTTACTTTCCACTGACTAACAATCATCCAACAGCACAGTTTAGTAGTGGATGGGCTCAAACAAAAATAAAATTTGCAGCCTATATTTTTCTTAGAAAAAATGTCTTTTTAAAACCAATTTCGTATATTGTTTGTCTATTTGTTCAAATATTTGTCTTGGTCAGTTATCTTCTAGATAAAATAGAAGAACCAATAACATTTGAAGTGAAGTGCTTCAAAACCCGCAATCTACCTAACAATGCCAAACCACGAACTGAACTGTCAAATAAAATAATAATCTAGGCTAAATTAAAGTGAAATGTTTAGTTTTAGAGGGGCCTAAATTAAACTGTTTTTAATCAAATAATTTGAAAGAGCAGGACAAGTGTTTTCAAATTCGCATATTCGCAACAACACTGAACATTCAGTGGAACAAACTTGGTTGAAAATGTGAGACACTTTAGAAACTCGTGTGAAAGGAGGTGACTGCTTATTTATGCCAGTCTGTCAGATAAAATAGTTTAAAACACCTTGAATGATAGCTGTTCCATGCGAGGAGGCCGCGCAGCAGCTGGATCTGATCTGTCTGATGAACGAGACAGGTTCCCCGGCTTAGGTGCTGATAATGAGACTGCGGTCTCCACCTCGTGTGGGGATCAGTATTTGTCTCATTTTAGGTCTTTTGTCTTAATTCAGTTTTGCTGTTTTAAAGAGTGTTTACTCATTTAAACCTTGTTTTAAAACAATAGCTATCTGAATGGTGATTTTTAGGTGCGGAAAATCCACCAGTAAAAGTAAATACCAATAGATTTGTTTACCCATCTCCCACCATGCAAGAACATACACACTTTAAAACACACACCTTTGTTTGTTGTCATTCTTTCTTGCTTTATCAATATACCGTAGTGTATACTGTTTAATAGTCAATTTAAATTATGTAATAAAAAAAAAAAGCGGCATTAATTTGCACCCTCTCATGGTAGGTACGCACAGTTTGTACAGCCGTACACCTGCAGGCGCCACTGTGTGAGAGTAATGTATGTCAAGCAACCTTGATTGTTACAACTACTGTATGAACCGTACACCCACAGTGTGCTGTGTTTTTACCTAGCTGTTTGCAAATTTGTGAAACTCTTGGTTACAGGTATTGTGCAAGATCAGGGAGGAAAAGGAGTCCTGTTGTGCCAAAATGGCCAACACAGCCCTGCCTTTAGTTTACCAAGGTGCTTATACTGTATACTTGGGCTGAACGATTAGACCAAATACACACAAAGAAACCCTAGAAATTCCATGGGGGACAATAGTCTTTGCTAAAAAATATTGCTGAAAAAGATTTAAGATAACGGCTTTTATTGATTGATTCATTAATTTGACAAATAAACACATGACTGTGGAATCATCTCAGAGAAGGATTTATTTCAAACACTTGACTATAGTTTTGAGGTGAGTTTGGAGTAAAAACATGTTCAACGTTAAGGATTTTTTCCTCTGGCCTGATCAGATTCAGATCAGATTTTTTCTTGCCCTGCCACAATTTTCTCTGGCCCCAACAAAAAGAAGGAAGTTAATAACTGTCTCTTAGCCATATATTTTAAATATTTTGCCAAAGCCAAACATAACTGTATACATACCCATTTTTATTCAGCATAACTTTTCTTTAAATACGACAGACAATTAAAAAAATAATAATCGTGATGTAACTAAATAAAAAAATATATATACATATTATAAACGAAAATGTGCACTTTAATTTTGACACACACAGACATTGTCATCAAATAGAAATCAGAAAGGTAAGATTTTCTCATAATGAGCCTCATTTCAATCGGCTTGTAAATAGTTTTGTAAAAATCTGTCTGTTCGGTTAATCAATCTGTTAAAAAAAAAAACTTTGGCTAGAATTATGCAGGCTTAAATTATAGAGAGAAATAACAGACAAACCAAGACTGCAGTCTGATCATGAAGCCAAACAGACAAACAGTCGCAGCCAAATTAAACTTTAGTGACAAGGCAGCAAAGGCCCAATTGGGCCCGTAACGATCTTGTCTACTGTCCCGTGCGTCTCGCACACTTGCCCTGGGCCATCGAGCAGTCCTTATTGTCAAGCCCTGCAGGGTTTCAATTATACTCCTAGAGGTCACCGCCCTGATTTTAGCTCCTACACTCCTGATCCTGCTAATCAAAGTATTACTAAGCATGATATGAACTCTACACAAGTATGTTAAGGCAAGTTGTAACTACACTCTGCAGGACAGTGGTCCTTGAACAAGTGTGGACAACCTTAAGTAAAACTTTCTGTGCACTTCTTATTTCTTGGCTGCTGATATAAAAAAATATCCATTTAGACCTTAAGATAAGGTGCTATATCTCTTTAGGGAATGTTCCCTGTAATGGGCATTGCCAAACTCTTTAGCGAAATTCTACAATCTGCATAGTTTCTTGCTATTTTCTCAGACACTGTGAGTGTAGTAGAGCTATTTTACAGGATGTGGCTCTTATACTTCTATTTGCCCTGGTATACTCGCCATTCTGTCAACTTTGTTCTGGTAACTAATGCTGCAGTTTGCTGAAGACAACAATAGATACAGAGTACTTGTGATGCAGATTCAAAAGTGAAAGTGAAAACTTTTGGTATGCGTTGATGCATAGCAGCTCCCTGATGTGCACAGATATCTGTAAAATGCAATATAACATATTAATTGTACTTATTTGTTTGACTTCAGGGTAAATATACAACACCATTCACACAGTGCCTTATTGTGAAAAAGTACTGATACTAATAAGTGACTGGAATGTTATTTATTATTGTTTTTATTTTGTTTTAGTTGGTAGATATGAAAATGACTTAAAATAGTTTACGTAAACATTACTTTGAATTATTCATGAGTTATTGGTATATAATGTGCATTGACATGAATGTAAAGGAGAAAACAAATGTGTGGCTAGTTTGCAGACTAGTACACAGAGTTTTTATCAAAAGTAAGGCAATGGCAAGAAGATTTACTTCAGCATATGTATTACTTTATTCTTTATTGCACATTATTACGTCATTGTGTTGTCTAAAATCTGTCAAGGGATGAATCAGAAGATGTTTTTGGATTTACTTTTGTAGCTAGTCATCAGCCTGAGAGAATAAAAGGATGGGTACTAACCTCATTAATTCAAAGTCATTGTCATTGTTTGCATAGACTGTGTGGTTATTTTGTAACTGAAATGTTTTAAAGCAGTTTTGTATGAAGGTATATTTCCCACATGTGAAAATACTATATATATGTGATAACATGTGTTGTTTTAAGTATGTTACGGCATTACTGTGATGTTTATATTTTGCTTGTGTCTTTTTGATAATTTCTATTTACAGCCTGTACAAAAGACCAAACGCAAAGCTGTCATGAGTTCCTTAAATGCAAGTTCTTACAAGAATACCTCTATTGTTCATCCTGAATACTTTTTCATCAGTGGACTTTCAGGTATACCGTACAGCAGTTATTACTATGTTTTCTTATTCATCACATATTTCATTACTATAATTGGGAACTCTGTAGTCCTTCTCATTATAGCTTTTGAGCGGAGTCTGCACAGTCCTAAGTACATTGTTGTGTTTAACTTGGCCTTGGCTGATATTGGTGAAACTAACGCACTGATTCCTAACATGATGAAGACTTTTCTGTTTGACTCGCAGTACATCTCCTATAATGCTTGCTTGGTGAACATGTTTTTTGTGTTCCTCTTTAGTACTATGCAGAGTTTCACTCTTGTTGTTCTGGCATATGATCGCTTTGTTGCGATATGTTTGCCATTAAGATATCATGCTATTGTAAACAATTCCAGTATAACGTTAATTCTTTCAGCAAAATGGGCATTCAATTCTTCTATGGTGGCCTTGATGGTGTCTTTGATCACGCGAATATCATTTTGTGATTCCAATGTGATACAGAGTTATTTTTGTGATCATGGACCAGTGTATAGGCTGGCATGTAATGACAATAGTATTAATAGGTTTATGGGATCCTTTATCACATGTTTATATCTAGTTGTACCATTGGCTATTATAATCCTGTCATATATAGGAATTTTTCTTGCTCTTAATAAAATTACAACTTGGGAAAGTCGTTTAAAAGCACTGAAGACCTGTGTTTCACATTTGTTGTTAGTAGGGATTTATTTTCTCCCTATGTCCTGTACATACATTGCTGCGTGGTTGCTTGCTCTCGCTCCTAATGCCAGAGTCATCACTACATCTCTGGCATATACTATTTCACCGATGCTAAATCCCATCATTTATGTTTTAAACACAGCTGAAATCAAAGACTTATTGCGAAAAATGTTTAAAAACAAATCTGCACCATCCAAGGACAACATTGCAAAATGAAAGAGCTTGCTGAATTTCTTGTGTAAACCATACTGTTTACAAATGACTACTGTATATTTTATTGTTATTTTAAAATGGACACTATCATTGTGATTAGGCTGCTTAGTTTAAAATATTGCTTTAAACTGCCTCACTTTGTCATTATGTTGGTCATTTACTGTATGAATAAAGCTTGTTGCTTTCCACATTTAATGACATCTGCGTCCACTTTGTATTCTTCACCTCACTCCCGATATTTGTTACTGCTTCCTTATTTTAGTAACAGTTAAATGGCTATTGTTGATTTTCTCAATTTATGCATTTATTGTATCAGCTTTGTGCAAAACATAGAAAGTCACAATTACATTTGTTATGCTGGAAGATATAAAAAGTGTCAAGTTGATTTACTATGTTGCAGGTCAAAACTTTTTTTAATGATGTTTTGATCTACCGTGCTCAAGGTGATGGGAGACATGATGTTCCCAAGCGTCAGAGGTGTTTCTATGGACTTCTGCAAGTCAACACATAATTAGTCATCTTTTATGTGTTCTTCTCATTAGCAAGTTTGACAAACAGAGTTCTTCTTGGCGTAAACACTCTTAAACTGTCAATCAAAGATGATGCAACTTAGCTGAAAGTAAAATAGGGAAATCAAAACAAATTTGTCACTAAAGTATTAAAGTGTTTTAAACTATTTCTTTCACTCTAATTCTGTCAAATTTTTTCATTATCTGCACGTCTACTATTTATCATCTGCTATTAGTGGGATCTTTTTTCCTTATCATAATATGCATGAACATTACTTTATTTTGAACATTTTGACTGGGCCATCAGCACATCACATGGTGTTCTGGCAACTCTAAATCCCAGCATTTATGTTTTAAACACAGCTTAAGATACTTAATTTAAAAACAAAATCAGATAAATTTTAGTTAATTATTAAATTTTAATTATATAATTTTTAATTTGATTATTTAGGTAACCTAATTTGTAGTAAAGTGTTTTGTTTGTTTTAATAAGTTCAGTTTAATGATAACTGTCTCTTATTTAGTGGCAGCCTTTCTCAATTTAGTTATACAAATTACAAATACAAAATACAAATGCAACAGATATACAAATTTATGAAATTGCTTTTAATACAAAGAATCCAAAACACAAGAAGATTACATGCAAAAGCACTGAAAACAATGAGACTTGATAATGAACTGATGAAACACCGGTGTTGTATCTACAATCACTCCCTATACCTTAAAAAGTGCACAATTTGAGGCAGGAGCAATTTATAGTCGTGTCCAAAATATTACTGTTCATTCCACAAATGATGTACAACAACTATAGAACACCTATCAAGCACTGTGAGAGTTTACACATCAAATTAATTTCTGCATCTGATCACAAGATGGAATTTAAAGAGGAATCCTATCTCTGTCAGTTTTCAAACAAATTATTTTTTTAAATGTTAGTTTAGCATTTGTATACATAACAGAAATCAAAATACCAAGTTTCATTTCTAATAGAAAACTCTCTATTAAATAACTATCACAAGGTTTGAACAAGAAGTTTAAAATCCAGTTGGTAATAGATTTAACAGCCAGCAAAACACTAAACATGAACAAAATAGTATTCCTTACGGTGCACAAATTCACTTACTCTTTCAATTACTTCTTTAAGTGGACTTTATTAGTGGACTAATGTGGGTGAATGTGTGAAGACAGCCAGGTACTATATGATTACAGGGATAATGAGCTGTTTTCAAACATCTGTACATGACATTTACTGCCCCCTCTGACAGGGCGTGACCTCACGCTGTAAACAAACTGAAAGAGGAGAGGGTCAAGGTGACAATGTTGACCATTCAAAAGCCAGAACCAGGAGGATAGAGGCAAAATTCCGATGTCCAGTTATATTGGCATCTTACAGTGGAGTAGATGGTAGAAGGTGCCAGGGTGAATACATCAGGGGACCAACGCAACAGTGACAGAGCTGTAATGTGGAGCCAGGGTCACAGAGGATCTGGAGGGCCAAGGAGATACAGAAGACCTTGTTGAAGCCAATGCGACTGAGGGTAAATGTGGAGGCAAGGGTAGGGAGTGGGACGAGCCCAATTGAGCCAGAGAGATGAAGTCCACAGCCCTAGAGGCTGAAGGTGAAGAAAAAGGATTCACTATCCCAGAGAAGGAAGTGCTGGAAGTACCATGGCAAAAACACAATGCCAGGTGTTATTGGCTGAAGGGGAGCTGGGAAACAGACAGAGACCAGTGTAGGGTTGGCTGATGGACTACTTTAGTGGAATCTGAAAAGAAGAGTTGGCTTGAGTACAGGCTGCTGGAAAACAGGCTTGCCTTAAATACTGACTGGAGTCAGAATGGCAGGCTTGCCTTGAGTACTGGCTGAAGTCTGGAAAGCATTCTTACTGTACCTTGAGCACTGACTGGAATGGAAAAGCAGGCTTGGCTTGAGTATTGGCTGGAGTCTAGAAAGCAGACTTGGCTTGAGTACTGACTGGAAAGGGAAAGCAGGCTTGGCTTGAGTATTGGCTGGAGTCTAGAAAGCAGATTTGGCTTGAGTACTGACTGGAAAGGGAAAGCAGGCTTGGCTTGGGTACTGCCTGAAGTCTGAAAAGCAGGCTTGCCTTGAGTACTGGCTGAAGTCCTAAAAGCAGGCTTACCTTAAGCACTGACTGGAACGGAAAAGCAGGCTTGGCTTGAGTACTGGCTGGAGTCTAAAAAGAAGACTTGGCTTGGGTACTGCCTGGAGTTTGGAAAGCAGGCTTGGCTACAGTACTGCCTGGAGTATGGAAAGCAGGCTTGGCTTTAGTACTGCCTAAAGTCGGAAAAGCAGGCTTGGCAACAGTACTGCCTGGAGTGTGGAAAGCAGGCTTGGCTTTAGTACTGCCTAAAGTCGGATAAGCAGGCTTGGCTAGATTACTGGATGGAGTCTGGAAGGCAAAAGTGGCTTAAGTGTTGGCTGGAGTTGGGAAAGCAGGCTTGCCTTCAGTACTGGCTGGAGTATGACAAGCAGGCTTGACTTACTGACTGGAGTACGTAAAAGCAGATTTGCCTTGAGTATTGGCTGGAGTCTGGAAAGCAGGCATGGCTTGAAAATTGGCTTACGTCTGGAAAGCAGGCTTGCCCTGAGTACTGACTGGAACAGAAAGCAGGCTTTGCTTGAATACTGGCTGGAGTTGGGAAAAGGAGGCTTGGTTCGAGTACTGACTGAAGTCTGGAGAAGAAGCAGGAAAAGTTTTGAGAAGACAAAGCTTTTTTGTTGGTTCAAAAATCCATGGTTAGTGGCAATGAGTGAATGAGACCCAATAAAAACCTGGAAGTGACAATGGATATGCGACTAGGGCCAGCACACACTAGCATGCTTGTGTGTATTGGCTCTTTGACTCATTGCCACTGGCCATGAATTTTTGAATCAGCAAAAATAATTAGTTTTCACAAAAACTTCCACTTCTGCTTCCTATAATATTATGCAAGTTACAATACATATCCACAAAACAGATTATTTTTGATGTCTCAACATTTTGAAATATGACTGAAAAGAGTATAAAATGTCATTTTGAGTTATTGTAATATGTGCAGTAATGAAAACATGAAGGGGAATAGTGTGGCAGACAATAGCAAACAATAGAAACCAAGGGCAAGAACATTTACTTCATTAAATAAATATTACATCATTGCGTTGTCTGAAATTTCTCAAGAGATGAATCATAAGATATATTTAAATATTGAGACACACGTGCCCAATGATCTTTGCAACATGAGAATATGGACAAGCATTTATATCAGGGAGTTTTAATTCAAAGCAGCTTACAGGTGTATGGTCAGTCATTGTTTTCATTCTGAATTTAAAACGTGTATCTGTATGTGATCCATTATGTAACATTTACATAAAGACATATGTTCAGCATTTATAAAATGTTTGCTAAAACTATATAATGACTGTCTTGTAAATTTTCTATTCTGGTTATTTCAGAATGGCATCTTTAGGCTACATAAAACCTTAAACACCAAAGCTGACATGAGTTTATACGAGAATAACTCGATTGTGCGTCCTGAATACTTTTTCATCCTTGGACTTTCAGGTATACCAAACAGCAGTTACTATTATATTTTCTTATTTATTATATACTGTATCACTGTAATTGGGAACTCTTTAGTTCTTTTAATTATAGCTCTTGACCGGAGTCTGCACAGTGCAAAGTACTTGTGTGTGTTTAACTTGGCCTTGGCTGATTTTGGTGAGACTAATGCAGTGATTCCTAACATGTTGAAGACTTTTCTGTTTGACTCTCAGTACATCTCTTATAATGCTTGTTTGGCCAATATGTTTTTTGTGAACTACTTTATAAATGTGCAAAGTGCCACTCTTGTTGTCTTGGCATTTGATCGTGTCATTGCAATTTGCTTGCCGCTAAGATATCATAGCATAGTAAATAATATTGTCATGTTAATCGTATTTTTTGGAATATGGACATTGAACACTTTAGTTGTGGCTCTTTCAGTGTCTTTGATGACTAGACTGTCAATCTGTAAATCTAATGTGGTAGAGAGTTATTATTGTGACTATGGACCAGTGTTGAGGTTAGCATGTAATGACAGTACAGTTAATAAGATAATAACAAATGTTATTGCAGTTATGTCCCTGGTAGCACCTGTGATCCTTATTGTTCTTTCATATCTAGGTATTTTTTTTGCCTTAAGTAAAATTACGACTTGGGAAGGACGTTTAAAAGCTCTGAAGACCTGTGTTTCTCATCTTTTGATAGTTGGATTATTCTTTCTTCCTGTAATATGCATTTTTATTGCTTCATCTACTAGTACTCTCACTCCCAATGTCAGGATCATTAGCACATCTCTTTCATTTACTCTTCCACCAATGCTAAATCCTATCATTTACGTATTGAACACAGCTGAAATTAAAGACACCATTAGAAAAAAGTTTAAAAAACGGATATTTACATAGTTAAAAGTGTGTGAATTGTACTCTTTGTGTTTGTATTCACTCCAAAACAAAGCAAACTGAAAACAGCTAAATTTTTTAGTAAGTTTGAATATATTTTTAGACAAAAAAATTAACTTTTAAATCTTTTATGATCACTAAATGGGTTAATTCAGATAAATGTGATAACTTTTTTATATAACCATCTGATGAAACACAATAATGAAACAATATTTCAGGATATATTTCAAATTGAATGTGTAACCCAGGATTAGCAGGAGATTGTTTACTTTGCTTTTGTTATCTTCTCATTTCTTTTTTTTCCCCTGTGCATTAATTTATGAAAATAAATGACCATTTATCATGTTTATCAGAAAATTATGTTTATGTTATTTACTCTGCAGGCTCAGTACTCAGTATACCAACATACTGTGATATATATTAAACTCATTAATTTGATATAAAACATATTTCAAGATTTTTGAGCTTAAATCTAACAGGTTTAAATTGACTGAATTAGAATTATTCTGTGCTGCGTTTTAGTCAGTTAGCTGGTAGGGCCCAACCACTTGGCGCAAGACCACCCATCAGAGATCTCTGAAATGCTGAAACATATCCCTGTTTTGTTTCTTTTTTTGGACGTACTCTTATCTTAGGTGCCCTCCCTTCAGACAGCATGCCAAATATGCATAAATCTAAAATGCCTAGAGTGAAATATGAAACACTAGGCTGTCTCTTTTTGTTAAATGTCATTATCGTAAATTATATCAAGTATATATGAAGTTTATCAATATAAAGTATTGGTAAGATGTCATTATTGATATAGTTCTTATAAAAGTTTAAATAGAAATCGAACCATGGATTTTTCTTGCTGTTAGGTAATCATGCTACCCACTGCACCACCGTGATGCTAAATAGAAATCATGAACATACAACTTCTGCTATTATACCCTTGGCAAATAATAGATTTATAAGGCAAAAGACTGATTTTGGGAGGTTATGTGAGCACTTATTGTTCAGTGAGTTGAGGTCATGTCTCCAAATACGGCAATGATGGCAATTTTCAAAATAGGTGCTATTTAAACACTAATTTACAGCATGTCGTACTGCCAATCTATAGTCTGGTTTCAAACAGAGGAATGTATAGGGATCCACGCTCTACATCTGTAACCTGACATACAGTGCACAATGCTGTAATGATCAGTGGTTCTAAACTGATGCTGAATAGTTAAAACTGTAGATTAAAGTCATTACTTTAGTTTTTATGTGTACAAAAGGATTGTCTTAGGCATAGCTTTATTAATTTATGGTAGAACCACATGACCAACGGACCTTTTTGACAATTTTATTGCTACCATTCTGTACATTGAATGTTTTGGAACCCTTGCTGTCAAAACCATCTTTATATTGATGCACTTACAGTAGGCCTGGATTTTTTGCCTTTTATGTTGGCTTGCTGGGAGGCTTGAGCCATGTAAAACAATGACCAGAACATTTGCTTCAATACACAAGTATTGCATCACCATGTTGTCTGAAATCTCTAAAGAGATGAATCATTTGATAAATTTGGATTCAGTGACGTACGTCCAATGATCATGGCATGAGATAAAAAGGAAGAGAAATTTAATTCAAAGCAGATCTGAAGCATTCAGACAGTCTCTGCCATTGCTTGCTCTGATTCTAAGCCTGTTTGTGCAATAAGGTCTGTGATTTTAGGAAGAAAGTATACGTAAAGTTGTTTTTGAAAATGTCAAAATAATTTGTTTATAAATGTACTATTTTGCTTATTTCTTGACCTTTTATTTTCAGCCTGTGCAAAACAAAGCAGACATGAGTTTATCTCAGAATAGCTCAAGTGTGTATCCCGAATACTTTTTCATCATTGGACTTTCAGGTATACACAACAGCAACTATTACTATATGTTTTTATGCATTACATATTTTGTAACGGTAACTGGAAACTCTCTAGTCCTTCTTTTAATTGCTCTGTACCGGAGTCTGCACAGTCCAAAGTACATTGGTGTGTTTAACTTGGCCTTGGCTGACTTTGGTGAAACTAACGCACTGATTCCTAACATGATGAGGACTTTTCTGTTTGACTCCCAGTACATCTCTTATAATGCTTGTTTGGCCAACATGTTTTTTGTTCATTTTTTTAGTACTGTGCAGAGTTTTACTCTTGTTGTTCTGTCATATGATCGCTTCATTGCAATTTTCTTGCCATTAAGGTATCATGCGATTGTGAATTATACTTTCATGTATTTTGTTTTTTCAATAATTTGGGTCTTCAATGCTTCTATTGTAGCCTTTGCGGTGTCTTTGATCACCCGCCTATCATTCTGTGAATCTAACAAGGTAAACAGCTATTATTGTGATTATGGACCAGTGTATAGATTAGCATGTAACGACAATAGCATCTGTGCTTCAATGGCACAACTCTCAGCAGCTTTATATGTTGTAGCACCAGTGATCATTATAGTCCTTTCATATCTGGGTATTTTTCTAGCTTTAAGTAAAATCACAACTTGGGAAGGACGTTTAAAAGCACTGAAGACCTGTGTATCCCACTTGTTGTTAGTGGGATCTTTTTTTCTCCCCATAATATGTATTTTTATTGCTACATCAACTAATTCTCTTTCTTTAAATGCAAGAGTTATCAGCACATCTCTGGCACATGCTCTTCCACCAATGCTACATCCTATCATTTATGTTTTAAACACTGCTGAAATCAAAGACATTATTATAAAAATTGTAAGAAACAAATGTTTACCTGTTAGAAAGAACATTTTAAAATTAAGGAAATGATTATTTGTCTTATTAACCATTAGGGATAATATGACCTATGGTAAAAACTACTGTACATTTTGATGTTGCATTAATATTTTCAAAGATGGCATTCAAATTACTTGTTTCTCTGCTTTTTTTCTCTTGCTGCGTTTATAAAATTAAATAATTAAATACTTTTACAAATAAAACAAAAACAAATGCATTTGATATGTAATCAGCAATATATATATCATTCAATGTCAATAAAGGACTATTAATATTTCCAAGAGTGGTTGATTTATTAACACAATGAAAGTTATGAGTATCACACAGACTAACATTAAACTTCAGTTTATTCTTGAACACATAAGAATATGAAAATATACAGAGGACATTGTTTTCAAAGTTATTAAATGTAGTTTGCTTTTTACTCATTTAAATTTTTTAAATTTTGTTCATTTTATTTGTTAGTTTTTTTGCGATTACATTGTGATAAACTTAAACATATTTTAAAACTGTAAAATGTTAATTTTACATTTTTCTGCAATGAATCAATGATTATCATGAATTGTTTTTGTTTGGTGACTTTTCAGCAGCACTATTAGGAGAAGATGGAGATAAAGATCTCTTTTGGTGCACATTGCTTATTGATACTCTGAGTAGTGATATGTTCTGAATAGCATCATTAGTAATATAGGTTTTCTGCAAAATATCCTAAATTCCTGGATTTGGGCAAGGCTGTATGGTACAAGATGCGCAATTGCCCACATGGACTGGTCTTCTTACTGTAGACAAAAATAGTTTAAAGCTGAAAAAACCTGCATAGAAAACATGAGTGTAAGGTGGAAAATGAATGTAATTTGACATTGACAATAAACACTGCCCTTGTAAGTTTGTCAATTAAAATTAAACTCCCCCTACATTGCACAAAAATGCAAATGTTCAGCGGTTTCTCTGAACTTTGCACTTTTTTTTTTTTTTTTGGGCTGATACAGCAGATTAAAAAATCTACATGAAAAGTGCCGTCCAGCTGACTATTCTGATTTGTTGGTGAAGGACATTACAAGTATTAAAATCAGTATTGTTAGAGAGGTATGATAATAAATTAATCAAATGGCCTTAACTTATATGTGCTTATGTAATGAAGGCCAGTGTAGCAGAGACCAGCTAGTGAAGTGCTGTATAGGTAAACCTCACTCCTCTGACCTCTAAAGCTGCTCTAGTGGCACTATAGGTCATGGTCTTTAGCCTTCTTGTTAGAGTAACTCGATACCCATGCAGTCGCCGGTTCAATCCCAGCTTGGATCGGGGGGTTACACCAACTAGTGAAGTACTGTGCAAGTAAATCCCACTCCTCTGAACCTGAAAAGGTCCTCCTTGTTGTAGCAACTGACTCTTATGCGAAGAGTCGCCGGTTTGATTCCAACTTGGAGCGGGTTGAGTGATGTAGGACAGGTGGGGTTACACTTGCTTGTGCTACATTGTACTTATTGTGTAAATACATGCTTTATATTGTACTTATGATTAATTAAATACCTGTATGTAATTACTAATCTGTAATTAAATTTTTGTAATTACATCTTTAATTACAATGTTGACCACCCCTTACCCCTTAGCCCACTCTTAAACCATACCACCAAACTGTGTCCCTGTCCCTAATCAATCCATGTGCTAACAAGAAAAGACAAATTGCATCCAGCAGCGAGCCCCCAATCCCTCGCTCTCTCTGCTCCTTCCCATCACAGAGGACAGGAGCAGATCTTGGGTTTTTTGCAAACAACTCCCCTGTCACCTGGCGCATAACAGGCACCCCTCCATGTTGTGGCATAAAGCAGCGAAAGTAATGGGTACTCTCTGGGAAGCTCCTCCAGAGCTGGCCCTAAACATCCACAGAGGCAGACTCAGCTCCTCCAGCTTGATGGCACTGCAAACTTCTTGCAGTGGTGAGGGCTCTCTGACACAGTGTTCCTCCTTCCTCCCTTCGGCTCCAATGCAAGGGAAGATGGAGGTGAGAAACAGGTGAATGTTCAAACAATTTAATAAATAATGTAAACAAACCAATTAGGCAGTGTCAGTGTCTGGGCCAGGTCCTCTCTCATTTTCCATAGTCTTTACCATAAGACTTGAGACCTGTGCACCACGCTAGTTAATACTTGCATCACCTGGATTTCTCCACTCTCGGTCTCAACCCACTGTGTCATTTTTAAGTTCATTCATTAGTTTCTTTTCGGCATAGTCCTCGGCATAAGCACCCACACACTCTTATTCACACACTACGGACAATTTAGCTTACCTAATTCACCTATAGCACATGTCTTTGGACTGTGAGGAAAACCAGAGCACCCGGAAGAAATCCACATGTACAGTACACAGGGAGAACATGCTAATTTCTCACAGAAATGCCAACTGATCCAGCCGGGGCTCAAACCAGTGACCTTCTTGCTGTGAGGCGATCGTGCTAACCACTGTGCCACCATTTTAAAGTTGTAAGTAAAATTGTAAAATTAGTCATTGTCAACAAGTATTTGGTGTTGCAGATATGGACCCATATTTATCAATTGCTGCAAATTATTCCTTAGAACAGTGATGAGATCTGCTGAAAGATATTATTGGCTTAAAGTTGTGCATGGAAGTTCATCATGCATTTCAGTCACAATTTAAGTTGGTTCATAATTATATGTGCCCCAAATAGGATTTTGGATGACAACATAGGCATGTAGCAATTAATGAGTAGGTTTCTTAATTAAAATATGAATATTTTCAGAATGATTAATATTGAATGGTGAGTTCTTAAGGTTTTACTTTTAACACAGAGTTGACATTGGAATGAAAACATTGACACACTTTCCACCATGCTTTATTTAGAGGAATAATACAAAATGGAAAATCTAAAGTAACTAAATTTAAATATAATGAAAAAATAAAAATAATGAAAAAGAAAATCATCACTTATTTATCTGCTTCACTAAAGCGATAAAGGAAAACTGGCACAAAGCGGCTCTTACATAATCCAGTATTTACCACAGCATTAGAGAGAGTTTTCTTTATTTGTAGGCACACACTCGAGCAGAGTCACATTTAAAAAAAAAGAAAGAAAGAAAGAAAGAAAGAAAGAAAGAAAGAAAGAAAGAAAGACAGACAGAAAGAAAGAAAGAAAGAAAGCCATTTCACAAGGGAAGTGCCAAGGTTGATTCTTGGCTATAGGAAATTTGATAACTTTCTTTTATCCGTAAGTGTGTAGCTAGAAGTCAGTTTCCATGAATTCTCCGCACTTAAGACAAAAATTTTACTTATAGAAATTTGATAAATACAGGCCCGGTTTCATGTATTACTCTGTGTCAAAGTTCAGTCATTTTTTTGTCTCAGTCTGTGCTTTGAGAGCTAAAGCTCTGCTTAATAAGCTTCTTGTTGTTTCTATGAGTTTCTTGGAGGATTCAGTCTTGTGGAAAAATGATTTTGTAAAGAACTTTACCTTGAAACACTTTAAACTGTTTATATCTTAAATATTAATTTGTCACAACACATGTATTGCACAGATTAACAACAAAACTTGCAAAAACATTTGTACATGTTAAGATTGTGTACTAATGCTAATTGGATAAGCAGTGAGGCCAGGCTACTAGAGTGCACTGCAAAAAAAAAAAAAAGTGATACCTCTGCTTTGTCAGAAAACCCTCAAGAGACGAGTCAAGATATATATGTACAGTGATCTTCATGGCATCAGCCAATACGGACTGGCATTAACTGCTAGGATATTTCTTATCTGTAAGATAGAAACTCATTGTTTGCTGTGACTAAACATTTTGTGTTAATGTATACAGGCGTGTTATGAAAACAATGTATTAGGTGTATTTTAAACATCTGAAAATACTTGACATTTTTGTGAGTTCTCCTGATTTTCTTCTCTCTTTGTGACAATTGTTATATTTAGCCTGTGCAAAACACTAAATGTAAAGTTGCTATGAGTTCTTTAAATGCAAGCTTCTCCCTGAATATTTCTGTTGTTCGTCCTGAATACTTTTTTATCCTTGGACTTTCAGGTATACCTTACAGCAATTTGTACTATATTTTCATATTCATTATTTATTTCATCACTGTAATTGGCAACTTTCTAGTCATTCTTCTTATAGTTCTTGACCGGAGTCTGCACAGTCCAAAGTACATTGGTGTGTTTAACTTGGCCTTGGCTGATATTGGTGAAACTAATGCTCTGATTCCTAACATGATGAAGACTTTTCTGTTTGACTCACAGTACATCTCCTACAATGCTTGTTTGGTGAACATGTTTTTTGTGTTTCTTTTTAGCTCTATGCAGAGTCTCACCCTTGTTGTTATGGCGTATGATCGTTTAATTGCAATTTGCTTGCCATTAAGATATCATGTCATTGTGAACAACACCAGTATGATTTCAATTTTCTCAGCTGTTTTCATGTTCAATTCGATTATTGTTGCCTCCATGGTGTCTTTGGTGACCAACATATCATTCTGTAAATCCAATGTGATACAGAGTTATTTTTGTGATCACGGACCAATGTTTAGGATGGCATGCAATGACAATAACATAAATAAGATTATGGGATTTCTCTACACAACTTTATACCTTATAGCACCCATGCTTGTCATTTTCTTGTCATATCTGGGCATTTTCTTGGTTGTAAGCAAGATTGCAACTTGGGAAAGACGTTTGAAAGCACTGAAGACCTGTGTTTCACATCTGTTATTAGTGGGGATTTATTTTCTCCCCATATTCTTCACATACCTTACTTCATTATTGCTTTTTAGCACCTCCAATTCTAGAGTCATCAGCACGTCTTTGGCTTATGCTATTCCACCAATGCTTAATCCCATTATTTATGTATTAAACACAGCTGAAATCAAAAACACAATTCGAAAAGGTTTTAAAAACAGATCTCTGCCCATTGAGACGGTTTCAAAGTGAATAAAACGTTTATTTTTTATTGTTTGATATCACAAATATGACTTCTGCATCTGCATAATGTATATACTGTAGGTCTCACATAGTTCTTTGTACCAAAATGATGACAAAGAACAATGTTTTCTTCATAAAGCTAGCTTTTTTTCTCCATATTTAAGTAGATTATTATTCTGTTTTAGTGTGCATAAAATATACAGAATGCAACTGTACAGTAGAAATATACTAATTATCTACCCTTTATTGATCTGTCTGATTTCTGTGTTGTTCTACTTGTATTCTTATTCAATCTGAATAACCTTTAGTCACCCATGACTATGTTAAAATAATCATCTTTCCCCAAACACATTTTGCTCTTGTTCTACCCATGTATTGCATTTTAATCTGTAATCCAAGTGTCCATTTAGACATGATTCTTTTAGTCTGAGGTTTCTGATAAGGCTTAATTTATTGTCTATGGGAGGATGTTTTATTCTGTGCATGGATATACTGTAAAGCACATGTTTTGTTATTTACTGGGGAGGCATGATATGTCAGTAACAGGCCTCTTTCTTTTTTTTTCAAAGGTTTTACATTTTCTAAGGCTTAAAGATTGCTTTTCAAACTAAACAAATATATCATACAAGTCACTGAAATCATATTTTATTAGGAAGTCAATGTCACTGCGGGTTTAATCAATCGTTGCATGAATGATGTTCACATTTTTTCTGTCATCTATTGTGTTGCCTGATTACTGTAATCCTTAGTTTACTTATTTTAGTACCTGTTAAAAATATAAAATGACACGTTTGTTAATTTTTTCAGCTTAAATACACTTGTTTTTATGGTCATTTCTATTTTCAAAAAATGACTAGCTCACATGTTATGCTTAAAACATTAAAGGAAGAGAGGAAAACAAAGTAAGTTGTTTTGTGAGGTCACAGGGTCACCCTTTTTTAATAATGTTTTGATCCAGATCCAGGGTGATGGGAGACAGGATTTGGTGTCTGATATTTTTTATGGATCCCCCTATATCAACACATCATTAGTCATCTATTGATTGATTGTTAAGTGCTACTCAATAATAAGTTTAAGAAAGAGTTCTTCTGTGCTTAATTTTATTTTTTCTATCAATGATGATGCAGCTCTGCAAAAAGTTTTACAGCAAATACAGAAAACTTTGTACAATATGTAGTAATATGTGCATTGTACACGTGCAAAATATGATTTTTTAAAAAGTATATATAAAATTAAGTCATAAATGTTTTAATTATTTTGAAAAATCAAGATATATACTGCAATTTATTAATTCCTTATTTAATCTAATTATGATTGCTGCATGATATGGATAACATAATATTTAAGTGAAATAATTTTGCAATCTGTAATTATGAACTTTTATTCTGAATAGAATTATTCAGCATAATGTTTGTAAGCAAATGATTATGGATTTTTTTTCATTTCAAGGTGCCTTTATCTTGCTATTCAAGATTGTTAAGGACTTTCAGCACCTACAGTACTTCAGGGCCTTTTCTACAAGTACCAGATTTTAGGACCCTTTGGTGCTCTTGGAGATCTCCAGTTCACAGCACGTTATGTTCAAGGCAGTTCAAACCAATTCCAGGTGCTTTCTCCTGCTGCTCTTTCAAAAGCACAACCAGTGGAGGATGTCTGTGTAATTATCGCTTACTCCCAGATCTTGGCATTGCTGTATTGTTATCAGTATATGTCATTTTATGCATTAGATGTTACATACAGTAGCTCCTTTATTCAGTTTAGAGAACCAATGTTCTGGTCCAAAGCAATTTGTCTCATGGTTATTGATCTTTGAACTCCAGTTTGAAAACAAATTATTTGGATGAGAAATGCAAATACTGTAAATGTTACATATTACTGAGTCTGTTATATTTAGTTGTCATGGTTACTGTTGGGAGATAATGTAACGTAAGATCTGCTGTTGGGATACAATTCAGTAATGATCGAATTTACCATGCATAAAGACACGTTTTTCCTCAGCCCATACTCATTTTAAATAATAAAATGTTATGATTATCATCATTTTAATTTGTGTTTATAATCATCACTACATTCAATTCAATTCATCTTAATTTCTAGTGCTTTTTATGATTGTGTACATTTTGTCAAAGCAGCTTAACATAGATAAAGTTCTAATAAATTAAAATTGCTTTAGTTCAGTTTTCACAGTGGAAGTTCAGTTAAGTTTACTTCAGTGTAAAATAACACAACAAGAGCACCTCTACAGATGCGCAGCTCCAAACCAAAGCAAGCCAATCGACGAAAGTGAAGGGAAAAAGAGATAAACCAGGCTCAGCTGGGCATGACCAGTTGATTTTAAAAGTTATTTATAAATTATGTTTTTGTGTGTGTGCGTGTGCGTGTTTATGCTAATGCAAAGAAGTTTCTTTAGTCTAGTTTATACTTGCTAGTCAGAGTATGTCTGCCTCCCGAACTGTGCTGAAGGCTATTCCAGAGTTTAGGTGTCAAATATGAGAAGGATCTACTTACAGTTGATTTTAATATTCTAGGAATAATCAGTCGTCCAGAATTAATTGAGCGTAGTGGACATGAGGTGCAATTATACACCAAAACTTTCCCAAATACTGATGAGCTAAGTCATTCATGGCTTTGTAAGAAGTCAATTTTAAAATGAGCACAATGTTTAAAAGGGAGCCAGTGCAATGCAAGAACCAGAGTAATATGGTCATATTTTGTAGTTCTAGAAAACACTATAGCAGCTGCATTTTAAATCATCTGAAGGTTGTTAATTATGCCTACAGGTTAAACATCTATAATGCATTTTAGTAGTCTAACCAAGAGGTCATGAAAGCATTAATAAGCTTTTCTACTTTAGAATTTGATAGCATATGTTGACGTTTGGCAACATTTTTGATTTTTAAAAATCAGATTTACAGTCACACATAAAAAAAAAAACGAGATGAACGCCCATTTATTGATTATTGAATGCCCCAGACTGTAGACAAAATAATTGTAAAAGATAGTCCACAATAACTGAGTTCATGAATTGTTGAATGCATTGTAAAGCACTATAGAAATAAAGATGACTTGACTTGACAGAATTGCCGTACATGAAACAGGGAAGTAAACATTATAAACATCAGACTTTATTTAATATTAATAATTTTAAAAAAATGTCTGCCTCTACATGGTCAATTTTTGTACGCCTAAGCATACCAAGAAATATATTCAAAACTGCAACCTTAATAATGTCACTCCATGCTAAAATGATTTGCACATTTTGGTAAAAGATGTTTGGTCTTCATTGCTCGTTAAATATTCCATCTCATTAAAACAACTTCCATCAAAAGATGAAGGGAGTTTTGATTTCTTAATCACTGACTCATTTGAGCAATGCAATATAAGTTTTTTTTAAACATAATGAAAGTTAGCAATGTGACATATTAACTTGAGTTTTTTTGAGATCATGCAGCGAATTATTTACATGAGAACCAAATGAGTAGCAGGAACCATAAAACCAAGGACACAGCCAGGAGGATGGCCCAAGGTGGAGTCGAGGGAGGGAGGAACCATAAAAGAGGAGTGGCTGACTACTCTAGGGGGCCGTCCGAGGTAGACACCACAAATGGAGGTGGAGCCCAAGGAGGGAACGGAGAAGGTGATGCAGAGATACCGAAGGCCAAAGGTGGAGCAGCAGACTGCTCACCTGGACGATAATGACGTTGGTCCAAAAGTCCACGGTGGAGCAAAAACAACAGAGGACCAAGATGTAGCTGAAGAGAGGGAGGAGCTCAATGCAGCCGGCAAGATGGAGGAACGAGGCACAGCCAGAGGAGTAAAGTCAAGAGGTGGAGGCACTTTGACGACAGACTAAGGGGGAGCTGGATGGGAAGGACAAGGAAGCCTGGCAGAGTTGATAGGCTAAATGTCCACTTAGGAGATGAAGGAGGAGTGAGCCAACATTGAGCCTTAGGGTCGGAGGGCCGAGGTGGAGTGCGCAGCTTGGAGGCATACTCCACGGGTGGCTATCTTTCAGCTGTGGGCTCAGGCAAGCACTCCCTGCTGTTGAGTGTTTTGCTGGTCTTTGGGTCAGGAGTGGCACTGATGAGGTCTTACTCCACACAGACAGTGAACATAGATTCGTGCCTTGCCAGTGTCCACTCCACATAGTTGGCAAAGTTGACTTAAGGACCATCTTCAGACATCATGCAGATATCTGGTGTTGTTAGCAATTAGCAGAAACCGTCCGGTATGGTTTTTGGTCTTCTCTCCATCTGTTCCAGCAATAGGAGAAGAACTTCAGGAGTGGGGTGCATGAAAACATGAAGGGGTTGGAAAAGAAACACTGAAGAGCAAAAACACAAAAAAATAAATGGGGGAAACAAACGCCACAACTTTTTCTGTGCATGCATCTCAGGATTTATCATAAAACACATATTTCTTTAAACAATGGCACTCACAACAGGAACTGGAACATAAAAAGCATACAGGACAGAACGTGTGACAACACAATACCGGACAAAGAACTAAACAAACTCGGTATACAGTGCATTCGGAAAGTATCCATAGTGAATTGGCCATTCATCATCTGTACTGTAAGTAGAAGATGTTTGAAACCACCAGGACTCTTATAGAGCTGGCCGGCCATCTAAGCTGAGTGATCGGGAAGAAGGCTCTTAGTCATGGAGGTGATCAATAACCCGATGGTCACTCTGTCTGAGCTCCAGCATTCTTTACAGAAACCTTACAGAAGGACAACCATCTGTGCAGAAATCAACCAATCAGGTCTGTATGGTAGAATGGCCCGACGGAAGCCACTCCGCCTGGAATTTGCCAAAATTAAATTTTTTAAATCAAATCAGTTCACCTTTATTTGTATAGCGCTTTTACAATGTAGATTGTGTCAAAGCAGCTTTACTTTGAAGATCATAGTAAATTGAAGCAGTGTCAGTCTAGTTTTCAGTGTTTAAGTTCAGTTCAGTGTGGTTTGATAATCCCTACTGAGAGTCCAAACACTGAAGAGCAAATCCATCAATGCACGGATCTCAAACCATGCAAGCCAGTTTGCAAAAGTGGCGAGGAAAAAACTTAACCAATTGGCGAAAGTGAAGAATTAAAAAACCTCAAGAGAACCAGGCTCAGTTGGGCACGACCATTTCATCTATGGCCAAACGACTTGTGCAGAGCTGCAGTCTAGACGCTGGAGGCTGAAGAATGCTGGACCTCAGCGAAGACTCGTCTGTCCCTGGACATCTCCACTTTGCCATGATCACCACAGCAGCTGGTCAGGATACAGCCTGGTCCCGGATTATGTAAACCTTGGGATCATCTCGTCGCTGGTCTTGGATCACATCAGTGGCGGTGCATAGTCTGACTGCCTCAAGATGAGTATTCCCAGGTGTAAATAGAGAATAAAGAGAATAATTAGCATAGCTGCTGTTCATAGTCTATATAAATGAGATGCAAAAACCTGCGTGGGGCACATTCATGTATCATACCGCTAAGTGATGCACTGAGTGTATGCTTTTGCTAAAAAGATAGGTCTTAAAACTAGTTTTGAACTGTGAGAGCGTGTCTGAGCCTCGGACATTATCAGGTAGGCTATTCCAGAGTTTAGGAGCCATAAATGAGAAGGCTCAGCCTCCTTTACCTGACTTTGCTATTCTAGGAACTACCAGAAGCCCTGAGTTTTGAGATCTTAAAGAGTGGGTTAGATTGTAGTGAAATAGAAGGTTGGTTAGATAAACAGGAGCTAGATTATTTAAAGCTTTTTAGGTAAGAGGAAATATTTTAAAATCAATACGAAACTTAACAGGCAGCCAGTGTAAGGAGAATACAATTAGGGTGAAATGATCATAATTTCTAGACCTGGTAAGAACTCTGGCAGCTGCTTTGTACTAGCTGAAGTTTGTTATTAGAGGATACTGGGCAGCCAGCAAACAGAGCATTACAGTAATCCAGCCTAGAAGTCATAAAAGCATGGACTACCTTTTCTGCATCTCAGATGGATAGCATACTTCATAACTTAGCAATATTCCTCAAATGAAAGAAGGCAGCTTTTGTGACATGGGATATATGGTTTTTAAAAGATAAATTGCTGTGTACGGATTTAGGCCCATTAAGTAATAATTCTGTTTTGTCTGAGTTTAAGAGAAGAAAATTGTTGGTCATCCAGTCTTTAACATCTTTAATACACTCAGTTAGCTTAGACAGTTAAGACATCTTATCAGGTTTAGTTAAAATATATAATTGAGTATCATCTGCATAGCAGCGAAAGCTGATCCCTTGTCTTCTAATAACGTCTCCCAGGGGTAGCAAGTATATTGTTAACAGCAAAGGGCCTAAAACTGATCCTTGAGGCACCGCATACTTTACTGGGCTGACTTGTGAAAGCTGTCCATTATTATTCACAAACTGATAACAGTCAGCTAAGTATGATTTAAACCATTGTAGAACCTGTCCCTGGACACCTGTAGACTTTAAGCGATTGATGAGGAGGGCATCTGAAGGTATCTCAGACCATAAGAAACTAAATTCTCTGGCCTGATGAGACTAAAGTTAGTCTTTGGAGTGAATGCCAGGCGTTACGTTTGGAAAGCATCACCGTCACTTCCCATCCAACCTGACAGAGATTGAGAGGAACCGCAAAGAGGAATGGTCAAAAATTCCCAAAGACAAGGGTGCCAAGCTTGTGGCCTCATATTCAAAAAGACCTGAGGCTGTAATTGCTGCCAAAGGTGCATCAACAAAGTATTGAGCAAAGGCTGTGCATACTTAAGTACATGTGATTTTTCAGGTTTTTTTTTTTATTTTAATAAATTTGCAACAATTTCAAGAAAATCTTTTTTCACATTGTCATTATGGGGTATTGTGTGTAGAATTTTGAGAAAGTAAATGAATATAATCCATTTTGGAATAAGACTGCAACATGACAAAATGTGGAAAAAGTGAAGCGCTATGAATACTTTCCGATGCACTGTAAATACACAAGACATGATCAAACTGAATACATACATGGGTATGACACAGGTGGAACTAATGAACATTAACAAACAGTGGGAAAACAGAACAAAGGAATCACATGACATAAACAGAAGCACATGGAACAAAACAAATAGGTGCGTTCGACTTCATGCAGCGCTGCGCAGATCGATCGAAATCTGTCTTAAAGCGGTGCATTCTGGTTAGAAATCTTGTTCGGATTGATGCTGCGCCGACGCCACGTGACTGTCACATGTGGCATCAAAGTACCGCGACAGCGCTCCGAGATCAGACGGCAAACTCAGACCGTGTAGCTTCTGAAGAGCGACTGCAGGAGCTTTGATGACAACACCGATATTACACGATTGGCCGAGTTCACCACATGACAACAAACACGTGTATTTCGGGTTTATAATTGGACAAATTCCGATTCAAAAGTTTCAAAACAAACAATTCACTTTTCACACCCTCTCTATCATGTACACATCTTGCTTATTAAAAGACTACAAATATTTTACTGCAGTAATCATCTTTTGTTAAATAATCTGGTTATAAAGGTTAGCTTGTTTGCACAGATTTATTTTTAACTTTTTTATACAGACTATTTACTGCATTCATCTCCATGAACGATTTAAATGATATATTTTAATGTATATTTTAGTGAATAACCTAAATAAGTCTTACAGACTTGAAATAAGAAAATCATCATCATTGATCCTGCCACCCTAAAGCTCTCTTAACAAATTAAAGTAAAGAACTATTTTATTAAATAATTATAAAATGGTTTTATTATTATAATATAAATATATATATTTTTTATTTCCTGTCTAGCAGTTTAAAGCCTACCTGCTTTTTCTGGGAAACTTCTACATAGCTCACTTATTTTACCTTTTGTTCTTTTCAACACAATCTTTTTGGATTAAAATGCTTTTTTGAAAATTCATTCACTATCCAAAATAATGTCATTTATTAAGACCTAATCAAAACACCTTGCTTTGCTTTTTACATTGGAAATTTTTATATCTATAAATGTACATATATGTAAACCCATTTTTAGCATATTCAAACAAGACGTATTAGCCTAAAGGTTGATGTTTAACTCCTAGAATTTATGCTTATTGCTTTGTATTTAATAGACCTGTTCGTTTTTATGTTTATATTAACCTCTCATTTCCTCTTATTTCTCTTATGCATTTGTTATATATTTTATTCATAATTCTCTCTTATTGTTTAAAAAGGAACCACAGTTTGTAGAAACTGTATTCTGTTTTATTTGTAAATGTTTTGTTGTTATAAATAAAAATAACAAAAAAATATGATGACGCCATGTGATCGGTCATTATGACTGCAGCAACTTTGAGTCCCGAAGTGTCCAGCTGTCCGTCTTGACGGCTCCGTTTTCAACTCCGCCCCCGCCTGCGCTCGGCTAATCTTGTTGATCACCGGCTGCAGCTGAGCTTCATGTCGAACGCACCTAATGAGATATCACATGACACAACTATGAACACACCACAGACACACCAGACTCGTGACAGTGGTGGCTCTTACTGTGTGACATAAAACCTCGTTTAGCCTTGCTTGGCACAAAGCTGAAGTAGACTACCATATGTTCTGACCACATTTAGGCCCTATCACAATTATACCCCTCAGCTTTTCACTTATATTGATCTCCCAATTTTCTTTTGTTTGGAGTTGTGGAGGTAAGCAGACGGGCCATACAGTTCTTCAAACAAAGATTTTTCAGGACCACACAAAAAACAAAGAGATTTTGAAGAGAATGCCTGGTGCATTTCCACCACTTTCTTTTTCTTTGTTTATCTTTTGGCTGCAGCTACAGCACATAAGTCTGCTCTCTTCTATGCCCACAGCTTCACATTTCTCTTTCTTCACTGCATTTTCCTTTCACTGATGTAAATGTAATGTGGTATACATACTAGCTATATCAAAATAGAGATTAACCTAAATATTTTATCACAACAGACAAAATAGAACATTAAGTCTGTAAATTAAATTATGTTTATTTGCAGTATTATCTAAATGCATGAAAAATCCTCAACAAACGAGCGCTCATTGTGGAAATTGTTTTCCAGAACAAAAGGGGTAAACATATATTCAAACGCCTGGGCAAGGTATATACAAGCATTACACAATTGTTTTGTTTGAAAGCTCTCAAGAGATGAAGACGATGACATATATATTTGGATTCAGTGATGCAGACATACAGTGATCTTTCCAGCATGAGAGAAGAAGGACATGGACTGAGCTGAGTGGTTCAGACAGCTCACTGGTGTTCAGACTTTTATAGTTTGCTCGGACTTGACAATTCTTTATATTTACAGGTCTGTAATCCAAATATTAGCTTGAAAGCTTTATTGAACATTATTGTTAAGAGACTGTGTAAATTTTCTAGGTTTGCTTATGTCTGTCCTGTCTATGTATTTTCAGCTTGAACAGAACACCAACCGCAAAGACTGCCATGAATTTTTTAAATGAAAGTTTTTACCAGAATATCTCTTTTGTTCATCCTCAGTACTTTTACATTATTGGACTTTCCGGTACACCTTACAGCAGTTATTTCTACGTTTTCTTATTTATCACATATTTCATTACTTTATTTGGGAACTCTGTAGTTCTTCTCATTATAGCTCTTGAGCGGAGTCTGCACAGTCCAAAGTACATTGGTGTGTTTAACTTGGCCTTGGCTGATATTGGTGAAACTAATGCTCTGATTCCTAACATGGTGAAGACTTTTCTGTTTGACTCACAGTACATCTCTTATAATGCTTGCTTGGCAAACATGTTTTTTGTGTTCCTCTTTAGCTCCATACAAAGCTTTGCTCTTCTTGTTCTTGCCTTTGATCGCTTTGTTGCGATTTGTTTGCCATTAAGATATCATGCTCTTGTGAATAATACCACTATGCTTTTAGCTTTCGCTGCAGTTTGGGCATTTAACTCCTTTGTGGTGGCCTTGATGGTGTCTTTGATCACCCGACTTTCCTTCTGTCAGTCTAATATGATACAGAGTTATTTTTGTGATCACGGACCAGTGTATAGGATAGCATGTAATGACTTTAGTATAAATAAGTTTATGGCTTTTCTCATAACTGGTTTATATCTTGTAATCCCACTCTTTCTTATAGTCCTGTCATATCTTGGCATTTTTCTTGCTTTAACCAAAATTACGACTTTTGAAGGACGTATAAAGGCATTGAAGACCTGTGTTTCTCATCTGTTGTTAGTAGGAACATTATTCCTCCCTCTATTTTGCACATACTTTGCACAGCTTTTACTTTCTCTCAGTCCCAATGCACGAGTCATCTGCACGTCACTGGCATATACTATTCCACCAATGCTTAATCCAATAATTTATGTTTTAAACACAGCTGAAATCAAAGACATAATTTGGAAAGTGTTTAAAAACAAATCTGTGGCAGTTGAGAGTATTTCAAAATGACTGAAATGTTTATGCTGGCTTCTGTTATTACATTACTCATATGAAGATGCTTGCTCAAGGTTTATATGATTTACAATATAAAAAAATTGTATTTATATGGTAGCTAAATTATCACTGTCATCTACAAATGTATTTTTTTTAAACAATTGACTTTGAACTGAAGACTCCCTAATGTATTGTTGTTTGACTTTGTAAAACGGGTCAATTTTGGCATGAGTATACTGTATGCTGAACCAAGATTTAAAGCTTTTTATTGTGCGGCTACTGCTTTTACTTTGCTTGTTTCTGCGTTTGTTGTTTTTTTTTCCTTTTATGTTGTACAGTAATAAATAAACAATATTAATGAACAAACACACTGATGCTTTGGTTATTTAATGGGTTTAGGCAATGTCGTGCATAGGCTTATTGCTCATTTTAAAGATTGTCAAATAAAATTTAAGTCTAGAACATTTCAAGCTTAATGGTTTATACAGTTTTTGCATCATGTGACTTATTAAAACATACTAATTTAGTTATTTCAGATTACAATAAGGTGGGGGGGAACCATTAAAATGTGACATGTTCCATTCATTCTGTTTTGTTGTAGCCATAACAACAACTTTTTCTAAGTTAATGACATTCTGATTAATGGCAGCCAGTCTTGGTACAGGAGTGGCCAAAATTACTCCCTTTCCTTTATTAGCTCTGCTCCCAGGGGTTCTAGTGTTCACCAGTCCATCAGCTACTAGTGGCTCTGTTTCACCCAGACAATTTTATGGTCCTCAGGCCTGTAGCCAGTCTGGTGAAAGGGGTGGATTTTTTTTCTTTAAAAATTTTAATTTTTGCAGTTTTTGCCTGATTTTTTTATTTAATTATGAGCTTTAAGGTTGGAATAGTGACACTTTAGGCTTTTTTTTTTTTTTGCTGGAATAGCTTGTCAGATGGTCATTATAACCACACTTTTTTATGTACCAAAAACACTTCTTAAAAAATATGTAATAAATAAATAAATGTGTGTTAAAGTTTTCAATAAAAACACTTTAGCCTGTTGTCATTTATTATGCAAATTACAAACTGGCCAGCACATTTAACTTTTCTCAGTCATGCTGAAAAACACACTGATAAACAGATAAACTAGGCTAGGACCAAAACAAGGCGTAGCAAGACAAAGAAAACACATAGTAATGTCACTATACAGCTAGCAAGACTCAGCCACCAATAGTGTGTGTAATCAGTAAAGGTGTGGACCTACACTGGTCTTGTGGTTTGGTTCAGTGCAGTTACAATTACCATGCCATCGATTCAGTTCAATTCGATATCTCAGTGCATCATGGTGCATTGACGATGCTTTCCATACACAGTTTTATATTTTTTTCACAGCACAACAATTCTTGTATTAAAATGTATAAATGTATTTCTATACTATTTGTAATACAAATGTGTGCAAAACAGTCAGATTTATAAACTGTACCTTTAAACAAAACAAGCATTTATAAATAAACAAATATAGATATAGTGCTCACTTTCTGAGTCCTGTCGAGCCAGTTCTTTCTTACACCCCTTTCATTGGTCACGCGCTCATCTGAAAGGGCTGCGATTGGCTCTGCACGCTGGGGCTCTTCACAGGTCAGTAAAGCCTGGTTGAAACACTGATAAACGGCAGCGGCGATCACAGCTGATCCATGATAGACACGGAGGAGAAAACTTTGCAGACACGCTCATGTCTGTATCTAGAAGTATCGCTGTAACAGCCAAGAGGAGAAGAAAAGCCATGCCAGCAGGTCAAATAGGCCACATTGAGAGAGATGGAGTTTACTTTCATTCTCTCAATCGCAGTGAAATAGGGGCTTCTGCTGTACGTGTCAGTGAAAGACTGTCCAGCAAACACACACGCAATGAAATTGTGCAGTTTCTGTGTTTTTAAGTAGTTGAAGCATTGTAAATACTTGTGCTCGCCTCCCTCGCCATAGTAAGCTATGCGACATAGCGCATATAGGATAAATAACATCAGTACATAGTAACCGGTTATGATTGTTACTGAACCGATACAGAATTGCACAGAAGAAACAGTTCATTTTTACACCCACTAGTAATCAGTCCTTGAAAAACCTCCAGTGGTATGTATTTATTCAGTCAGGATCAGGAACGTGCTGTGAGCGGAGCACTTGTATGAAGTTGTAGTCCATGATTGTTATTGATTGTGCATGTTTTCCAGCGATCTATGGCGTTTAGATCGCAGGTGATCATGACAGAGCCCCCACTCTAAGGAGCGATTCCAGACGCTTCTAGTACAGTACAGGGCTGCGGAGAGCCTAGAGCTTGGAGCTGTGGAGGACCTTGAGCATGGGGTTGCGGAGGGCCTAAGGGACTGGGGCTGCGTTTCGCAGGGGGTGATACCCCCACAGTGGGTCAGGAAGCTTGGGTTCAGGAGACACTGGTAGTTAATTTTACCCTTATGCAGGGGTCACCAATCTCGGTCCTGGAGGGCCAGTGACCCTCCAGGGTTTAGCTCCAACTTGCCTCAACACACCTGCCTGGGTGTTTTAAGTATAGCTAGTAAGTCCTTGATTAGCTTGTTCAGGTGTTTTTGATTAGGGTTGGAGCTAAAACCTGCAGGACACCGGCCCTCCAGGAACAAGTTTGGTGACCCCTGCCCTAATGGGTCAGGAGGCTTTGGTTCAGGAAGTACTGAAGGATCACATGGCTCCAGAGGGTCACATGGCTCTTGTAGCTCTGGGAAGTCACACGGCACTGGCAGCCATTTGTGGAAATCAGTGGGCTTTTCTGGCCTTTCGGGGAACTCAGGTGGCGACTCTGGCCTTTCTTGGGATGGCGGCATCAACTTTGGCACCTCTGGCAATAACAGCTTGGGTGGTGGTAGCAGCTTTAGCAACCCAGGTGATGGTGGCGGCCATTCTGGAGGCTAAGGTGTAAGGAGGTAAGTACAGGTGATACAAGCATGATAGTAGAGTGACCCCTGCATGTGTGTGTGAGAGCGAATAGATGTACAGTATAGAGAAGTAGTCCATAAAATGGCGAATTTGTTGCGGATGAAAGTGAAGTGGTTTGTGGAGTTGCGGAAGAAAGTGAAAGTGAACAGCGGAGGGCGGAGGAGGGGAATCAGTAAAATGGGGCCGCATCAGATTTCAGAGGTGTCGGATCTGGCATGTTCTAGTGTAAATTAAGCCCTGCTCGTCACAGCCAGAGCTGCCAGGTTCTCTGCCAGTGCTGCCAGATTTTTTATCACTGCCATGAGGCTTGCTGTTCACCCCACACTAACAAGGATGAGGGCATCACTTGTACCTTGTTCTTCTGCCAGAGAGCAATGTTCACACCCAGAGCTTCCAGATTCCCCATCACAATCAGAGCGTCCAAACTTCCCATCATAGCCAGAGGTGCCAGATTCCCCATCACAGCCAGAGCTGCCAGATTCCCCATCACAGCCAGAGCTGCCAGATTTCCCTGCACAGCCAGAGCTGCCAGATTCCCCATCACAGCCAAAGCTGCTAGATTCCTTGTCACAGCCAGAGCTGCCAGATTCCCCGTCACTGCCAGAACTGCCAAATTCTCTATCACTGCCAGAGCTGACAGACTCTCTGTCACTGCCAGAATCTCCATCACTGCCGAAGCTGCCATCTGAGTCCCACAAAAAACCTGAGCCGACAGCAGAGTTCTACCAGAATGGCTGCTAGATCTATGTGACTTCCCAGTGCTGCCAAAGCTGCCATCACTTTCAGTGCTTCTCCATCACTGCTGGAGCTGCCACCTTAGTCGCACAAAAAGCCGAAGCAACCACCCGAATCCTACAAAAGGCCAGAACCAGCACCTGAGTCCCAAGAAAGGTCAGAGCCACCACCTGAGTTCCATGAATGGCTGCCAGAGCCAAGTGACTTCCCAGTTCTGCCAGTCCATCTGATTACTCAGTGCCTTCTGACCCTAAGCCTCCTAACCCACTGGGGTTATCTGAACCGCCAGTGCCTTCTCATCCAGAGCCTCCTGACCCACTGGGGTTGTCTGAACCATCAGTCCCTCTTGATCCTAAGCCTCCTGACCCACTGGGGTTGTGTGTGCCGCCAGTACCTCCTGACCCAGAACCTCCTGACCCAATGTGGCTTTCTAAACTGCTAGTGCTTCCTGAACCAGAAGCTCCTAGCCCACTGGGGTTGTCTGAGCCACAAGTACCTACTAAACCAGGCCCTCTGGGTCCTCTGCAGCTCCATGCTCCTGGTATTCTTCAGCTCCTTGCTCCTGACCATCCGCAGCTCCAAGCTCCAGGTCCTCAGCAGCTCCAGGCCCTCCACAGCTCCATGCTTTACTGTCATGATCACCAGCAATCCACTCCTCACAGATTGCTGGGGAATTACACATGTCTTGTTAAAGAACTACAATTCCCATCAGACCATGTTACACACACCAGTTGCTGATCACAGCTGATGAGACACACACAGATGAGACTTGTGATCACTAATCATTCAGACTATTTATACACCACACATACACCAGTTTAGTTTTTGATGTTGATGTATGTTTACATGTTTCTTCGTTTTGCCTGTTTGTTTTTGACCTTAGCCTTGTTTATTGTTTGATCCTGTTTTCTTCCTTTTTTTACCTTATGCCTGTTTTTTTTACTTTAATTTAGATTGTCTTGTTGTACCAGCCACTCCTGTTTTGACCTTGTTTGCCTGCTTAAATAATCTTATTAGACTGCAATTAGATCCTTACCTTTGTTGTCCCTCACCTTGTACATCTTGTACATCTTGTACATGACACACCCAACAAAGTATACCACCTGTTCTTAAAGCCTTGTTCAATGGGTTTTTGGAATTTATGGCAGACAAAACAGGACAAATGAGCTCATGTATGGGACAAATTCTGGTCCTTTGTCCATGAGGGGTGGGTGTTTTGAGCTCTAAGTTGCAGGCTGTTTCTCAATTGCAAGAAAGCAAAGAACGGACTTGCGTTCTTGTGGAGACCGGTCTTGCCTGATGTCCTTAGGAGAACAAACTCGGGTGACCACGAGAACAGAGAACATATCCTGTGAGAAATAAGATGCTGTGTTCTTTCTGATGTTCAAGTGACCTTCACTCGATTTAAATAGAAAATTATTAAAACATTACAGCATTAATACAACAATTTATTGTTTTTTTCCCCTTTTCAAAATATATACTATGCATAAAAACATTACAAATATACATTGCACAATGTAAACAAAATGGATTTTAATATGAATTTCAGCAAACAAACACCCTTAATGTGTTTATTCATTTTACTAAGATGTCCATGGTAATGCTTATATTCACCGTTTCATTAAAGGAATCCCCTGAGGTAAATAAGTTATGTCTCTGAACTTTAATAATAAATCTAAATAAAATGCTGCACTACCCACCTCCAGTCACAATGACTTCTGGGACTTCTAGAGCGAGATTCGTGCGTCCTTCATATCAAGAACACATCCGAGAAGTTTCATGCGTCCTCTGTTATTGCAGTCTTGAGTATTGGAACTGAACTTTGGCAGCTGATGATGACGTTACACAAGAACACGAGGATGCAAGACTGCTGAAGAAAGCATATTAAGAAACAGAACCCAGAATTCTCTCCATCAGGAAGTTATATTGCTGTGATAAGGCAATTATTTGTTTGTTTGTTTGTTTTTTATAGTGTCAAGTGAAACAAGTAAACTTTCCCTGTTGATACAGAGATGAAGGGTCATCAAGAGCAAGTCTCAACAGGATTGATCTATACCATTTTGGAAGTAAATCAGAGCTTTATATTCATTCTTCCCACTGGTCAAATTGGTGACTAACTTCCCCAGTTGGTTGCACCAATTTGCAATTTGGTCGCATCCCGATTGAACAGTAATCTTTCTATCTCTAGAACCATAAGATCAAAAAAAAATAAAATAAAATACTTGCAACATAATTATCAGGACACACAAATGACAAACAAGAAGGTAATATAATCTACATGTACATAATGTAATATAATCTACGTAATGTAATAAAATCTACATAATCTATTCTAAAATAATAAACACTTTAGTAAAGAGAGCATTCATTCAAAGAAGTGGTCAAAAACATTCACTACATCACACAATGATTACATCACTGTTCTAAAAAACTCTCAAGAGAGGAAAAAAGTTAGATATATAGTATGTGGGTTCAGTGACTGCAGCATGAGATGAGGACAATCTGCTCGTGAGCATCTTTACAATCATTGTCTTTGCTTGCTCTGGCTTTAAAATTTTATCGTTTATACTGCTATGCGATTCAACAAAATTAATATGACTACATATAATGACTTTGAAGTTTGACAGCAATTTTGTGAATTTGTCATATTGTCTTTCTTATGATAATATCTATTTTCAGCTTTGAGAAAAATAACAAAAAAAATAAGCTGCAATGAGTTCTTTAAATGCAAGTTTTAACCAGAATATCTCCATTGTTCATCCTCAATACTTTTTCATCATTGGACTTTCAGGTATACCATACAGCAGTTATTATTATATTTTCTTATTTGTTATTTATTTTATTACTATAATTGGAAACTCTTTAGTACTTCTCTTGATAGCTCTTGACCGGAGTCTGCACAGTCCAAAGTACATTGGTGTGTTTAACTTAGCCTTGGCTGATATTGGTGAAACTAATGCTCTGATTCCTAACATGGTAAAGACTTTTCTGTTTGACTCACAGTACATCTCCTATAATGCTTGCTTGGCAAACATGTTTTTTGTGTTCTTCTTTAGTAGCTTGCAAAGTGTCTCTCTTGTTATTATGTCATATGATCGTTTAATTGCAATTTGTTTGCCATTAAGATATCATAGCATTGTGAATAACAGCAGTATGATTTTAGTTTCTCCAGCAATATGGATATTCAATTCTTCTATGGTGGCATTGATGGTGTCTTTGATCACTCGAATTTCATTTTGTGATTCCAATGTGATACAGAGTTATTTTTGTGATCATGGACCAGTGTATAGGTTGGCATGTAATGACTTTAACCTTAATAAATCTGTGGGATTTGTCATCACATCTTTATTCCTTATAGCACCGATGATCATTATATTCCTTTCATATCTAGTCATTTTTCTTGCATTAAGCAAAATCACAACTTGGGAAAGACGTTTAAAAGCACTGAAGACCTGTGTTTCACATCTGTTGTTAGTGGGTGTTTATTTTTTCCCAATATGCTTTACATATCTTGCACAGCTTTTGCTAGCTCTCACTCCCAATGCCAGAGTCATCAGCACATCTCTGGCATATGTTGTTCCTCCAATGTTAAATCCTATTATTTATGTTTTAAATACAGCTGAAATCAAAAACCTGTTGCAAAAAATGTTTAGCAAAAGATCGGCACCAGTTAGAGAGGACATTTCAAAATGATTATGTTTACTTATTTAAACTTTACAATGAAGTATCATCATCACTGCTGGGACTGAATGTGTGCATTGTTGATTAGCAGTGATATACACGTACTGTATAGTACATATTTATTAATGCAGCTGATGTCAACTGGGTGTATTTACTGATTTTGTGCATACCACGGTGTTCACTTATTCCACTAAAAAACTGTTCATCTTTATCCTTCATTTTTGGTAGTGAGTAAATTCTAATGTGTGTGTTTTGTTGCGAAACCATAACATACTTTAATTTCAATTAATTTTGTTGTATTGTATATTTTATTGTAATTAAAGTGTCCATTTTTACATGAATGGGATTCTGGTCCTGATGAAACTGACTGTTGAAATATATAAATATTTTGGTAACCCCATACTCTCAGCTTCATTAATGCTGTTGCTCTAATCTTTCATTGCCATCTATTTTTTTTATCAAGTGTGTGATGTTTATGTTGTGTGAAATCTAAAGATCAAAACTTTATTATTTAGGCTGATTGCGTATTGGTTGTTGATATAAGTGTCACACAGAGGTGGGACCAAGTCATTGTTTGGCAAGTCACAAGTAAGTCTCAATTCATTGCCCTCAAGTCCCGAGTCAAGTCCCGAGTCAAGACAGGCAAGTCCCGAGTCAAGTCCCGAGTCAAAGGCAACAAGTCTCAAGTCAAGTCCAAAGTCCTGCAGTTTGATTTTCGAGTCTTTTCGAGTCTTTTTAACAGAAAAATAAAATATATACAGATTAGGTATGGTTGTAAGATCTGTATTAATTAAACAAACCTTTTTTATGAAAGAACATTGCTCAGATATATAAAAATACAAATGCAATTTTCTGAAAAAGTACTGAACAGTGCTGCGTCTCGTCTCCACAGCATAATGCACAAGAACGAGTTCCACCAAAAAAAGACTCCATTTTGCCTTACATCACACAGAAATTGCAGGTCTACTGCTGTCTAATTCATTAAGTTTAGTTGTGCTATGTTATGTCTTCGGTGATCAACTTGTGATTAACCAAAATTACATAACCTCAATGTGGTAGCAGTAGACCAACTCCTGTATATGCTGCAAAGTTAAATTGAGTGAAATTGGAATTTTGTCAATTGAATCTCGTGTGTGCTAAAGAGATGGAGTTGCAAATCCGTCTAGCAGCAATGTAAAATGGTAGCACATATTGTTAATGAAGTAGGCTACTTCATACAAACAATAACGTTGTTTTCTTCACATAGCATTGAAGAGCTTTGCTCTCTACCTTGTGTGATGCTCGTGCACGGATTTCCTCTGTTTGTGGACAAAACTGATTGCGACTTCTCAAATATACGTTGCTCACGCGCAAATTTTCTCTCGCTCTCAAATATGCACTGCTCACACACAAATTTTCTTGAGCGCTCTCAGAGATTATTTGCAGACTCACAATTTGTGTCGTGTTCCCTCTTCCTTTCATGCTTTTTGATATGATTCATATTGCTGCACTGTTTAATAACAATACCCAAAATACTAAAATAGACTTACATATTAAATGTTTAATCTAATAAACCATAACATTTTTGGTTGTTTTATATGATGAGATATTTTCAGAATAGACCAGTGGTGCCCCCCTGAAAATTTGCTTAGGGGTGGCCAGAAGAGGCCAGCTACGTCAGTGGCACCAATCAATCCACAATAATTTAGTGGCTGCTATTTATTTATTGAAATATTGCATTGTATTGCATTTATGTAAGTAGATTTAAATAAATAATGTCAACAGCAAAATCATATCGGGGTGGCTAGAGTTTACACAGGGGAAACACCCCTTGTAAAGGGGTTTACACCACTATAAGGCACCCCTGGAATAGATGTTGGATGTAAAGGATACATTTTATTTTAAAAGCATTTAAACAAAAACTAATGCAAGCGGAAATGTAACTGTGATAAAATAAGGAAACACTTTATAGCCTACTGTATTATTCACTCTTCAAATAAATCTCACTATCAATCTCATTTTATCATGGCAGCTAAAATAAAGTAAACTAGTGTCTGCTGGCTTCCACTTTGCTGATGAGATTGTGGAGGACATTTTCCATGTCATCCTCTTCATTTTGAGGAAAGCTGTTCCATAGGGCCCCTAAACACGTATATTGGCATGTACTGTGTTTTGAACAGTAGCCTACTACAGTAAAGAACTTCAATTGATCAGTTGTGGTAATACTATAGTTGCTATGGTAACACAAGTGTAATATAAACAAATTACCCAGTGCTGTATTATTTTACAATATAGGGTATTTTATACTACAAATCACTACACTTTACTGTAGTAAAACTACACTTTGTATTTTATCTGTTCACTATTGTTAATACTACTATAATAAGTATAATACAAGTATACAACAAGTATAATACTCAAAAACACTAGAATTTATTAAAGAATTTACCTTAACCTTTTAGTTTTTTGTGTATTGTAAATAAATAGTAAAGCAAGAAAGAAACCATATCAACATTCTTGGAATAACCCTTCGCTAAGCCTCGCCCTCCTTAGTTACTGTTGCTACGCCTGTCAAGCTTTCATGCCTGGCACATCTATTACAGTGTGTATGCGCCGGTGTCAGACATTCCCAAGGATTTATTAGTCATTTTTGACAAACAGGTGAGATATCTGAGAAAGCCAGACAAAAGAGGACTGCAGTATACATTACAGGGGTATATTCACAACATAATAGCAACTGATTAGAGAATAATTTTATCAAAATTGAAGCAAGGTTAGCCTAGCAACCTCATACGCTGAACATTCAACAGCATAGTTCATGCACAGCAGGAGAGGTGAAATTATAAAATAATCTAATAACCTAAGAAACTGATAGATTTGTGCCGAATATTAGCATCATTGACCCATAACAGTGTACAGTACCTATTACTGTCAGCATGTTTGTGTGCTCTTTATCCAGTTTTTATTCAAATTTGCAGTTAAGTGGAAGAAAAAAAATTGAAATGCAAATCAAAGTATAAATAACAGAAGTGAACAAATAGATTTTTCCTACCAGCAAATATTAGTGTATGTATTTATATGCATTACAATGGCGAGGGTTTAAACTAAGCAGTGCTCATAATATCGAGTGGAAAAAAAGAAAAAGACCGCTGGTAAACATAACCTGCTTTTTTTTTTTTTTTTATAAGAACACAGTTTAGATCTGTTTAGGATAAGAGGAGTGTGAGTTATTGCCACCTATCACTGAATGTCAATATCGAAAACAAAATCAACTTAGCTGTTAACTCCTTTACCGCCCCTCACACAGCTTGATCCACGCTGGCATTTCTCCTCTTGGGCTTTAGGTTTTGAAAAGGGAAAAATCCCACCACCCAGTCCAAACTTTTAGGATAGCGGGTGTCAGATTTGCACAATCCAATAATTGCGCAACGATTTGTCTTGTTTCCCTCGCTCTAAAGCTTGACAGAGCCCCTGTCCGTAGCCACGATTGGTAAGCCGCGATTGGTGGGTGGCGGTTTTTGGGCGTGGCTTAGCGAAGGGTCAGTTTAAAAGGAGGATCCCGTGAGAGCAAAAGCACTAAAGGTATGAGACGCTATCGTAAACAAAAGTCAAGCGAACGCAAAGAGACTGAATGCACGAGCGAGAGAGAGAGAGAGAGAGAGAGGTGTATGTTGTATGTGAGAGAGAGAGAGAGAGAGAGACAGAGTATTGGCACGCGAGTATTGGCTCGATCTCAAATTCAAATTCTCTCTGCGTTCGCTTGACTTTTGTCCACTCCGGCGCCTCATAGTAGTCACGTTGGATACTGTCGAATCAAAACAATCTACCGTGCTTTGATTGGATGTCATGCCGAAAGCGCGCATGCTGTCACAGACACACACACGCGCGCATGCTGTCACACACACACACACACACACACACACGCACACATAAACTGGGAGAGAGAGAGAGCGGTCCATGTCAACATACTTTTTTATCTTTGGGCTTTTCATGGGAAGCAGCAAGTCTTTACAAGTCAATAGGGGCAAGTCCTAGTCAAAGTCCGAGTCATTTATGTTCAAGTCCAAGTCGAGTTGCAAGTCTTTTTATATTTTGTCAAGTCGAGTCTAAAGTCATCAAATTCATGACTCGAGTCTGACTCGAGTCCAAGTCACATGACTCGAGTCCACACCTCTGGTGTCACATAACAGACTGATATGCACACACTAGAACTAAAAAAAAAAACAGTTGCAGAAATTGATTGATGAAGATTATAAAAAATATTAGATACATATTATTCAAATATGCTATTTACATGAAATAACTTAAACAGCAAAACGCTCGTTTGTCCACAGCTATAAAGCTATAGCAGTAATAATTGTGTGCTTTTGTATTTCCTGCAGATTTTAGGCAAGCCCACTATAGGTAACAATTAAGTGTAACTATTCATGCCTCAGAGAAGCAGATAAGAGGCTTACTAAGGGGGCAATTCTCATTCTTTTATACAATAAAGCAATATACTAAACAATAGACTTTAATAGGACTCAATAATTTGATTCATAAACATTCATGAAAATAGGTATGAATAATGTGAATTTTGTTATTGTCACATGACCAATATTTGCATCATTTTGCTTATATTCATGAATTCTCTCCCTCAGCCTCAGAATAGTTGTGCTCATCAGTTTTCACACTTGTAATTCAACAAGCATTCGCACAATTGCTGTGGGCATAAAAAAATATTTACAAATACATTTTTGATTAAAATAGTATGCAATGCTCAATGAATGTGCATTTTCAAGTTATAGTTATGTAACGACAAATTACATTTATATTCGTCTCTGTCTACAGATTGTTCAAAACACCAAAAGCAAATCTTCCATAAGATTTTTTTAAAGGTAAGGGTTTTCCATAATCTCTTTGTTGTTTGTCCTGAGTACTTTTTTTGTCATTGGACATTATGTATTGTTGTGAGAGAAGGGAAAAGCACGACCATGTGGTATGGTGAAACAATAATATGTGATCACTAAGTGGATATCGCATAGCTGGCACCGATCCCAAGAACGTGAGTTGACCAAGCGGGCATAACAGACAATAAAATATGCTGGGTCCTGGCCCCTCCAGCGAGTCAGGTGGAGGAACTCTCTAAGGTTCACCAGCAGGGAACTTGCTAGCAAAGTGTAATAAGCACACAGGGAGAATAGTGCAGCAAGCGTTTTTGACACTAGATAATTTCCTTCAAATTGACTGGTGCTACCCCCAAATTGGGAGGAAACCTGCTCCACTCATTCTCGTGAATATGTTAGGTGTTTTCCAGCCTACAGGTCTACAGATACTGTATCTGTTAGAGAGTCTGCTAATGCCCAAGAGGAGTGTGCTCTCTTATGGTGTGTTCTCTTGCCCCAGGGTGACAATCCTTGTAATCCAGGAGTTGCATCCAAAATCAAGTGAACCAGCCTTGGTCTGGATACAACACTTCCCTTCAAGCTCAAAAACAAACAAAGAGCTCCTCAAAGGAACTTATGCTCTGGGTGTGATTCACATAAATGTGCAGTGCATGAACCGAACAGCAATTAAAAAGCTGGGTCAGCCTCCTCCAATGGCAGTGCTTGCAGGTTCACTTCCTGGTCCCTGAAAGGAGAGGTAGGAACCTTGGCAACAGTCAAGCCAAGGTCTTAGGATAATGTGTGAGTAGCCCGACCCCAGCGTGGCCATCTTTTCCTAAGGGCACAAATAGCTGACTTAGTTAGCCACTGTTTGTTACGTAGCTCTGGCCATGAGTGATGCAGATAACTTACACGCAGGCATTCCACCTGAGGAATAGTTTCATTCCACCTGGTGACCCTGCCATTGAAAGCAGTGAGGATGAATGAGCTCAAGGCCTGGACAAATAAATGTACACTTCATGCCTGTGTGAGCTGTACATGCAGTTTTGGACAGAAGAAAACAGCTACAGAGAGGGTTTTACTTCTTATTACTTCTTATTAGCCCCCAATATGCACCTCTCTAGCTGGTCCAGCTGCTGAATCAAAGGCATTGTCACCTCCAACCTAATGAAAGCCCTACTTATCATGTCTGACTCAAAGTCCTGGACCTTAGGAATGAACCAGCACTTTCATCCAGCCTGGCGGAGGTGAGCTGTAGAAGAGTGGGATGTCTGCAGGGACACATTTGGTAGATTAACTCCCACTGTGATCCTCAGACCTGCCCGAGGGCTCATCGACTTGCAGCTTTTCATCCAGCAGTGCATGTCCGGTACAACATCTTGAAAATTACACATTGGTAACCATTTTGCTCTTTTGTGAAATCAGCTTTCTTACTCTGCTCATTTGTGACCCAGTGAAATGGCCAGAGACAGTAGCAACAAAAAAACTCAACTGCCACTGAATGCATTTTCACTCCACTGGATTTAGGAGAAAAATTTATCTCTTTTTGCAAGAGTCGCGTTGCAGAAAACAGGTCTTCAGATGCACGAAAGCTTTGATGCTAAGTCTGGTGTGTTGCTCTGTAGATATACCTTATATACTCAAACGATGGAGTGGTTGCACCTGTGGAGCTGCACTCGCCAATTTTATAGGCATTTCATTGGCCCTTTTTATACATTTGTGAGTTATTGGTGATCTTGTGATTCCCCAATCTGTCAATAATTACATAAATTATTGTGAGTAACTGAAGGGGACACTATCAGTCTCTGGAAGATTATGGAGGCCCTGTGGAACACGACCCAATAAGGAAAGGATCCAATAATGCCAGTGGCAACTGGAATTGAGAAAGATGTTTTTTCTTTGACTCAGGTGTGAGATGCACCTGCCAGTATCCTTTTGTAAGGCCCTGGGTCGAGTTATATTGGCTCCACTGAGCCTGTCAAGAAGTTTGCTCCCTTGGTGCATGGAGTGTCCTTTAAAGCAGGAGTTTTCATTAAATCGTTACAGACACTAATGATGCTGTCAGGCATTGATTCCTTCACTGTCGAGCTGAACCAGATCTATGGGATGCTTTAATAATCCCAAGTCTCAGCATCTTTATATCCTTTTCAATAGCCAGCCTGTGAGTATCTGGTACCCAATAGGGTCACTGCCAAATAATGACACCAGGGAAATTAGTTTTTTGTGGTGAATATTGTTTTTCCACTTTGGTCTATCACTGATCACATCCAAGCGACCAATAGGGGGTGTGGAGTTCATTTTTTTTTACATGGGTGTCAGCTGCTCTTAAAGGGAGTCCAGCTCCTGGATAGAAAACAGTAGATCCCTGCTCTGGGGGAGGTATTGCTATAATGTAGCAATTTTGAGTTGAATATCTTAGAACCCCTTGGTTCATGAAGCTTTCTCTTAAAACATCCTCAGCACTACCCCTGTAATTCCCCCATCCTGATCCAGAACATCCACCATCGAAGTAGGTGCTGTCTCAGGCAGTCTGTGAGTCCTCTCTCCTCCATTCCTGTGCCTAATTCTACCGTAAGCTATCTTAATCAGAGCAAAACTATGACGTAGGTAACAGGGAGATTTTAGCCATCAAATTGCTGAAGGTGTTGCTCCACTGGCTAGAAGGGGAAATTCATCTTTTCAGAATCATTACAAAACACAGGAACCTCCAATACATCCTTGAGGCTAAATGCCTAAACCCCCGCCAAGCTCACTGGGCCCTCTTCCTGACCCGCTTTAACTTCCAAATCACCTATCACCCCTGATCCAAGAATATCCCTGCAGACACTCTATCATGACTAAGGTTTCTGTAAACTTAATGAAAGCTCCATCCTATGGGGTAACAAAAGAGATATCCAACATTCAATTCAATTCATGTTAATTTATATAGTGATGTTACTATATAGGTTGTGTCCAGTTTTCAGAGTTAAAGTTCAGTTTAGTTTACTTCAGTGTAGTTTAAATTTCACTGCTGAATGTCCAAACAATGAAGAGCAAATCCATCGATGCGCAGCTCCACAAGCAAGCAAACCAAGCAAGCCAGTGGCAACAGTGGCAAGGAACAAACTTCACCAATTGATGAAAAAGATGGAAGGAAACCTTGAGAGAAACCAGGCTCAATTGGGAGTGACCATTTCTCCCTTAGCCAAACTATGCAGAGCAGCAGTCTAGGCGCCGGAGATTCGAGATGCCACCCTCTAGGAGCCAGCTCCTCCAGAGTGTCCAGAAGGAAAGATCTACATGCCTTGGCTCCAGCATCAAGCCTTTTTGGACACAGCTTACCAATCTCCAGGCTCGGCAAGCAAACCCTCTTGCTCCTTCAATTTTTTTACTGATGGCCATGTATGCACTGTGATACAATCAGGTACGTTCAAAGCTGCTCAGTTTGTGCCATGTCTAGCTCTTTCCGTCAATTACCCAGAGGAAAACTGATACCACTACCCATTCCTCAGAAGCCCTGGTTCCACCTGGGAGTGACTTTATCACAGACGTCACTAACTCAGTAGGTAATACCCATGTCCTGGTCATAGTTAATAGTCTAAATCCTGTAAATATGTCACACTGAAGTGTTTACTCACTGCTGTGGAAACAAGTGAACTCATATTCCATCGTTTTGGTCTCACTGAAGAGATTGTGTCAGACCAGGGTCCTCAAATCATTTCACATGTCTGGAAGGTTGGGTGTTTCATTTACCCTATCTTCCGGTTATCATCCACAGACGGCCAGGCTGAGAGGAAGATCCAGAATCTCGGACATTACTTGAATGAACAACACAGCTGGTGCAGGTTCCTCCTGTGGTCGAGTAAACACAGAACTCTCTCCATCAGCATACTACTGGCCTAACACCCTTTCAGTGCATACTCGAATATCAGCCCCCGCTGTTCCCCTGACACAAGAACTTCAATTATGCTAGATTTGGAACAGCACCCATGTACCAACCCAAGGATAGAGTATGGCTTTCCGCACACAACATACTTATATGACTGTCTATATTGGTCTCCTTGAAAAAACTCAGGCAAATTCATTAAGCTTCAGCTTCCATCCAGGTACCACATTTACTCAAATTTTTTTACATTTTACTATTAAAACACTTCTCTCCTTCTGCCACAGACAGCCCTGGGGCTGAAGCTGAACCTCCTACTCTAGAGGTCCTCGACCTGCCCCACATCTGCTTTCCTTGACTCTAGGCATCGAGGGGGCCGCCAGGAATACCTCATTCACTGGGAGAGGGTATGGTCTAGAAGCACGATCCTGGGTAATTCGAAACTGAACTTGACCTCACACTTCTACAGGAGTTCCACAATAGCCAGATTGACCTGCCCCTTGTGGTCGTGGCCTCCCTAATCGTCTCAATAGGGTTTCGGAAGCTTCCCCTGAAGGAGGAAGTCAGATAAGATCCATATACTCCTGCCTCTGCACTTTTGTCAAGAAACTACCTTGTTGTTCTACTCACCCCTCTGATTGTGTGACACTGAGAGGGTTTGGGGGCAATTGAGTGTTGTCATGCCCTGACATTTTTCTTTTCTAATTCTTACAAATATCTTAATTTTTGTTTTAGCACAAACTGTGCTATGATAAAACGAAAGCAGCATGTATGTATATGATGCTTTATTTTTGAGAAAAATAGGGATATGCATGGCTAGTCAAAACACATAAAAGACAGAAATTAAATTCATAAATGTTTACTGTTGTTCTCGATTGCTTGCAGGCCACATTGAGAACACACACAGACATCCTTTACTTTAGTCCCTGAATTATCAAGAGTTGTCATAGTGGAATAAACCAACATTTACTCTGGCATAAGCTTTTGCCCACACAGTCTCCCATTCACACACTACAGTCAATTTAGATTCACCTATACCGTAAATCTTCAGACTATGGGGGAAACCGGAGCACCCAGAGGAAACCCACAGCAACCGTGCTGGCCCCACATTGAGAGAAATTGTATTGGTTACATCATTACATCTCTCTTTCTCTCTCTCTCTCTCTAGAGATGAATCAGAACATATATATTTGGTTTCAGTAATACAGACAGCCTGCAGTCTTTGTGATGAGAGAATAAGGACTGGGATTTCCAGCAAAAAAACACCCTTTCATTCAAAGAAGCTCACAAGTATTTAGACAGATGCTGTCATTGTTTGCTCAAACTAAATCGTATGTATGCAAACCTGTTTTAATTTTTCATTTCAACTTATATGAAGTGTTTTTTTAATTTAAAGCTGTAGCTACAGTTCTGAAATGACAATCTGAACAATTGCTTTGTGGTAATTTCTATTTTCAGCTTGCACAAAACACTGGGGAAAAGTTGCTATGAATTCTGTAAATGCAAGTTTTTACCAGAATATCTCTATTATTCGTCCTGAATACTTTTTCATCAGTGGACTTTCAGGTATACCATTCAGCAATTATTACTATATATTTTTATTTGTGATTTATTTTATATCTGTAATTGGGAATTCTGTAGTCCTTCTCATTATAGCTGTTGACCGGAGTCTGCACAGTCCAAAATACATTGGTGTGTTTAACTTGGCCTTGGCTGATATTGGTGAAACTAATGCACTGATTCCTAACATGATGAAGACTTTTCTGTTTGACTCACAGTACATCTCCTATAACGCTTGTTTGGCAAATATGTTTTTTGTGTTCCTCTTTAGTTCTGTACAAAGTTTCACTCTTGTTGCTTTGGCGTATGATCGCTTCATTGCAATTTGTTTGCCATTAAGATATCATGCTATTGTCACTAATACTAGTATGATTTTAATTTTCTCTACAATATGGGTATTTAATTCTTCTGTGGTAGCCTCTATGGTGTCTATGATACCTCGACTTTCATTCTGTGATTCCAACAAAATACCAAGTTATTTTTGTGACCATGGACCATTATTTAGGTTGGCTTGTAATGACGCCAGGTTTAGTGAGTTTTTTGCTTATTTCATCAGTGCTTTGTACATTACCATGCCACTGGTCATTATTGTCCTTTCATATCTACACATTTTTGTTGCTTTGATCAAGATTACAACTTGGGAAGGACGGTTAAAAGCATTGAAGACCTGTGTGTCTCACCTGTTGTTAGTAGGAATATTTTTCCTACCGATATACTGCACATACATTGCACAAGTTTTAATTCCTCTTACAACTAATGCCAGAATCATTGGCACATCTCTGTCGTATGCCGTTCCACCTTTGTTAAATCCTATTATTTATGTCTTTAACACAGCTGAAATCAAAGACATACTTCGAAAAGTGTGCAAAAAGAGATTGACACCGGTTGGTGGGAATATTTCCAAATGAATGTTTGTTTTATCATTAATTATATGAAGATTGCATGCTGGGGTTTAACAGAGGTATGTATCACAAAAGAAAATAATCAGAAAATATAAACTTTTTAAAGAAAAAACTAATTATTATTTTATTTTCACCGTATTCTTGTAGTATCAAATTATTTCATATATATATATATATATATATATATATATATATATATATATATATATATATATATATATATATATATATATATATATATATAATGTGTGCTCTTTTGAATATTTATTCAACTGTTATCTAACCTTTGTTTGTCAATCCAGCTGTTTAAGAGTTTGTGTTGTTCACTGAAATCAAGACAGGAAGAAGACAGCAAGCATTTTGACCTTTTTAACATTTCTTATTTCAGTAGACACATCATAAAGGGTTATCCATAATAAGTTTCAACCCTGTTTTTTGTTGTATTTTCTACAAAATCCCCATATATCACACATGTAAATCAAATCAAATCAAATGTTGGTCTAAGACATATAGAATAAAATATATTGTAAATTATCTACAATGTTTCTGAAAATGCCACATGTACGTGATTAAAGACTCCTAACATGTTATTTATTGATGTCTAGTCATAAACTTAAGTAGGTGATATTTAACTCTGTGTAAATAAAAGCTTTAATGTGCAAATCAAATGATACCACCTCCCTCTTTAAACTGTCAGTGTCTGACAGTCTGTTGTTTGTTAGTGTAACTGATCATTAAACGTCAAATTTTTAATATTTAAAAGGATGTCATAATAACTGTTAGTAGCTGTTATATACCTCATAATAAATACATTCAGTTTTAAACAGAATGAATTTTGATTTCCTTATATATGATGGCTGAAATCATGATATCCGTGCATATTTTTTTGGGAAAATGTGTTCATCCGCTTGTTAAGTGGTGACGTGTTTGTGACGTATGTAATACTGTTTCCGGGTCCAAGCCGCCATTCATTTGAGTGAAGAAATCATTTGTTTATGATCATGTTTTATTCCTATCACACATTAAAGTTAATTTTATATAAAATCATAGCGTACACAACAATCTCTGGGCTTGCTGCATAACAAATACCAAAAATTTAACTATTTTAAAAAAATGAATCACTTTCTGGCCATTGGATATTAGGCATGGACATTTATACTGCGATCGTGATTTTCGAAAGCCTTAAATCGCTTTGTAAACGTTTATTATTACCATTTCATGAGTCTCCCCATTCAGTTGAATAGAGCGCTTGGACCCGGAAACCGCTTCGCGTGACGTCACACTTAACAAGCGGATAGGCAGTGATGTTTAATAACACATAACTAAATATTACATATTGCAGTTATGTACAGCAAAAGGTAGTTCAAAATAGTAAAATCCATCAAAAAAAGAGGTTAAGGGCCTAGCCTTTATGCTAGAAGTCAGTCTGTAGACTGAAACCACATTAGGGAATTGAAAGCAAAGGTGGAGCCAGGATGGAGCTGGAAGTCCAGGGGCCTCATTTTCCAAGAATGCATGAAGGTTCTATATTAAGTTCTATGAATAAAATTTAGAATGTAAGTACAAGAAAATTAAGATTTATTGGTATTTAAGTGCAGGGCGAGGAATAGTGACAAATACAATACCGGACAATGAACTGACGCAACTTATGGGTATAAATAACAAGACATGATTAAACTGATAACAAACTGGGGGGGGGGGGGGCAACACGTGGAACTAATAGACACTAACAAACGGCAGGAAAAAAAACTAAGTAATCACATGACAAAACACAAGCACATGGAACACAAGTTATGGGAAAGACCTAATTATGACATTAACCCCCCTTCCCCTCTCCCCCACCCCCCCGGCGCGAGAGCAACAGAGGATTAAGCTGTGGTTCAGGGCTATGGTAGAGACTCTGAAGGAGTGAGCCTACCTTGAGCCTTAAGCCCCGTTTACACTAGTGCGTTTTAGTTTTAAAACGGCATTTATTAATAAAAACGATCCGTGTCCACACTAGCGTTTTACCCAGCATTTCTGAACAGCTCTCCGTCCACACAAAAACGCTGAAAACGCACATCATGTGACCACACACACACTCTCGGGCAAGCGCTGCAGCCTATCTATCCAGATGAGAGCTCTGTTAGTCGGACAGCTCATCAAGCATCTCCCGCTGGATCTAATCTCACTATATTTATTAAACGTGATATTTCATTCATCTTGTTGTCTATATCTAAAGACATATTCCCCGACTTTGGTCATTGTAATCCATTAATTGTTCTCAGGTAACGTGTTTTGGCCAAGCGCAAAGATACTGTAAGTTAATAATTAATGTAACCACATACATTCTGTATATTGACTGATCGCTTGCTTTTATTTCCTACAATGTATAAACTTATTGTATGTTATACTTTTATAATGACCATTATCGATTATTAAAACTGATATTCAGAAAAAGAAAGGGTATGTTTTGTATTTTCACTGAAATTGAAAGTAGGCAGTTGTTATAGGCTCCGTTTTGTTATAAATATCCGCACAGTGAAGATGACGGTCATAAATGCAGCACAACGCCTCAACATTTCTGCTTTCTGTTAAATTGCTAATATCAAAATGAAAATAGGCAGTTCCTTAAATCATGTTTTCATTTTATTGTTGAGAAAGTGAAACAACATAGCCAGGGTGATGTGAATGAATTTATAAAGTACACTGTTCCCTTTGAAGATTTACCCATGTCCTCGGTAGTCTGTTTTCCATATCAAACTGAGGAGGGGGAGACTGCAGCCTTGATCAAACTTGCAAAGTCTGAACTTACGAGAAGAGGATGCAGGACTGAACTGTACTGTTAGGCTACTTAATATTGAGGAAAAGCCCCAATCAGAGAGGCGAATGTCGGCAGCTCCACCTCCGATTTCAAATGTCTCAGTTTTCCCCATCCACACTGAGACGCAGCAGCAGTGTTTTAAAATAAAAACGGCCTCTTCAGCGTTTTCAAAACGCTCCGTTTTCGGCACTCGAAAACTCTGGCGTTGTATGGACGGGTGGCGTAACCCTTGCAAAACTTATGCGCTTTAAAACGAAAATGCATTAGTGTAAACGGGGCCTTAGTGTTAGAGGGCCAAGGTGCTCTGTAGCTCAGAGGCTGGAGGCGAGGACGAGGAGTGGAACCATCCATATGGCGATGTTAGCCGGCAGATCCACAGAGAAACCTCTCGACGTGGTGAATGAGGTTGAGGGAGGGTTTGATGCCTATCATAACTCTGAAGTTTATGCAGTTTGGGGAGAGTGGGGCTAAGAGAATGCCTTTACTGTCTAGAAAACAGCAGATCTGGAAAAGAGTATTTGATGTCTGGGAACAGCGGGAGGAGTTGAAATCACCCCAGCATCTCGGGTTCAAGAGGCAGTTCACCCTTAGAGGTGAAGAGGTGGGAGGACTCTCATGATGTCCCTCGATGTACACCAGGACTCCCACAATTGGTGCAGTTGTTGGCTCAAGCACTTCATCAGACATTCTGCTGAGCTCCTCCTCCTCAGTGGTATGTTGTTCTGTCACTCTTGATGGTGATGGCTCTCCATCTGTGTTGGACTCAAGTCCTTCCTGCAGTCGGATAATGGTTGGCTGGCCTTTGGATCAGGAGTGGTAGCGAGGACGTCTTCCTCAGCTCAAATGGTGAATAAAAATACGTGCCTCGCCAGTGTCCACTCCACATATGCGTCGAAATTGCCTTAAGGACCATCTTCAGGGGATGGTGCTCTGCAGACAGTGTTCAGGCTGGTGATGTAAAACCCGCAGGGCATGTAATCTGGATAAGCTGGTGGTGTTGTTTGCTATAACTTAGAACTGTCAGGAATGATCCTCAAAACTTTGTACTCCCTGCTCCAGCAGTTTGAGAAAAAAATTCTGGGAGGGGGTGGGATCCATGGAAAACGTGGGGTAGGAAAAAGAAACACTGAGGGGCAAAACACTACAATTTATATGGGGGAAACAAACACCACAACTGTTTTTTTGTTGGTCCGGTATTCTGTCACAGTTGCACTTTTTCAGCAATTCTTGTGAAATGAGGATTATCAAAAATGCATATATTTATTTCCTAAACACCTACATCAAGAACAAGAACATGGAAACACAGGCAGGACGAGGAACAGTGACAAATACAAAAACGAACAATTAACTGACACAACTTACGGGTATAAATTACAAGACTTGACTAAACTGATAACAAACAGGAGTCCAACACATGTGGAACTAAACTAACAAATGGCGGGAAAAAGAACAAAGGAATCACATGACAGAAAAAGACAAAGTAAATACTTAATCATGACAAAGGTAGCCTACATAATGTACATAATCAATGCTGATCTTAACTGTGTACAAAATATATGTCAGTGACACAATTAGTAACATTTGCAACAAGTTAGTATTACATCATTGCTCTCTCTCGCTCTCTCTCTCTCTCTCTCTCTCTCTCTCAAGAGATAAATCAGAACATAAATTTGGATTCAGGAACGCAGACAGTCAGTGATCTTTGTGATGTGGGAAATTAAGGACCAGCATTTGCAGCTAATAATTTTCATTTACAGCAACTCACAAGCAATCAGACAGATGCTGTCATTTTTTGCTCAGACTAAAAGTTTTGTTTGCAAATCTGTGATTTAAATGTTTTTGTTTTTTATGCTAACTTTTTTGAAGGTATTGTATTAGAATTTAAACTGTAGTTACAGTTTTGAAATGATCTAAATGATTTCTTAAATGTTGCATATGGCTTTGTGATAATTTCTTTTTTCAGCTTGCTCAAAACATCAAACGAAAAACCGCCATGAGTTCTGTAAATGCAAGTTTTTCCCAGAATATCTCCATTGTTCGTCCTGAGTACTTTTTCATCAGTGGACTTTCAGGTATACCATACAGCAGTTATTACTATATTTTCTTATTTGTCGTTTATTTTATATCTGTAATTGGGAACTCTGTAGTCCTTCTCATTATAGCTGTTGACCGGAGTCTGCACAGTCCAAAGTACATTGGTGTGTTTAACTTGGCCTTGGCTGATATTGGTGAAACTAATGCACTGATTCCTAACATGATGAAGACTTTTCTGTTTAACTCTCAGTACATCTCCTATAATGGTTGCATGGCAAATATGTTTTTTGTGTTCCTCTTTAATTCCATACAGAGTTTCACTCTTGTTGCTTTGGCGTATGATCGATTCATTGCAATTTGTTTACCATTGAGATATCATGCTATTGTGAATAATACCAGTATGATCTTAATTTTCCTAGCAATATGGGCATTTAATTCTTCTGTGGTAGCCTCTATGGTGTCTATGATCACTCGACTTTCAATCTGTAAATCAAATGTAATACCAAGTTATTTTTGTGATCATGGACCAATATTTAGGTTGGCTTGTAATGACATCAAAATTAATGAGTTTTTTGCTTTTTTTATCTCGATTTTATATCTTACCATGCCAATGGTCATTATTGCCCTTTCATATCTGAACATTTTTCTTGCTTTGATCAAAATCACAACTTGGGAAGGACGGTTAAAAGCATTGAAGACCTGTGTGTCCCACCTGTTGTTAGTAGGAATATTTTTTCTCCCTTTACTCTGCACTTACATTGCACAAGTATTGCTTGCTCTTACTCCAAATGCCAGGGTCATCAGCACATCTTTGTCATATGCTATTCCACCAATGTTAAATCCTATTATTTATGTTTTAAACACAGCTGAAATTAAATATATAATTAGAAAATTGTTTAAAAGGAGACTGAGGTCAGTTAGTGATAACATTTCAAAATGATTTTGTTCATGCTGGGGTCTGTATCAAAGTAAAAAAAAATGTCAGTGAACAATATGCTGCTGAATGGTCTGCTGAAATATTATACTGTTATCTAAACTTTGTTTATTATTCAAGTTGATTTCAAGTGTCTGTGTTTCTTACTGTTATCAAGACAGGTAAACAGGAGAATAAACTTTTTGACTATTATTTGAAATCATTGCTGTAGAACATTGACATTTTGTATTTGTTTAGGCACATCATTCAGTGTGATCCATTTTTGTTTTTATATTTTCTGCAAAATCATAAGATATGACACATTATTTGTAATTCATTGATTCATTCACAAGAGTATGTTTGTCTGAGATCTGCAGATGTAAATTTAGTCTGAAAGAATCTTTACAATGTTTGGGATGATGCCACATTTGTGTGATTAAAGACTTGTGTATTGTTAAAGATGCCTGTTCTTAAATTTAAGTAAATGTTGTTCAATTCTGTGCAATCCCCTGATTTGTATTTTCAAGTATTGACAAATTTCTCCTACTGTTTATACATGCTTATTGTATAACTATAATATAATAACTGCAATTACTTGTTTAACTTTTTATTACCACCTCAAAAAAGGTCAGTGATGCCAAATGTATAAAACTAAATCGTTTTTCTTACATATGCTGGTTGAAATTATGTAATATCTACATATTTAACTACTTGAGTAAATTGTGGTTAAAAACAGTCATGCTTTATAATTTGTAACTAAATATTAAATATTGCAATAATATGTCTTATTTAAGCAAGGGTCTTATTCATTAACTGTGCATACAGGCTGTACGTAAGCAGTGCGTCAGCCAAACTTCATGCAAAGTGGTATTTTCCAACATGTACTTATAAGTAGAAATGTGTGTAAATATAAGCACATCTCAGAGTATGCACAGAACGTTCTGGCTGAAAAGCAACAAAAACCCATTTTAAAACCCATTATTTATAAATATATCTACATATGTCCAAGTTTGCTTTAATTAGCATATAAAACAACATTAATCAATTATGTAATTGCGTTATGGACAATATCTGTCTTTAAAATGACAGTATTTCCAAAATTAAAGTGTTTATTTACAATGATTCCAACTCAATCCACCTTAAACCGTTTTACATTTTTAGATTTATTCATTATCAAATCCAAGTGTGAAAAATAAGACCCCAAACAAGTTGACTACCCTACAGAAACCAAAAACACAAGCGTACTGGAAGAATCACATACTTCCTAGCTAATCAGCTTTAAAATATACACAAATAGATTCACAAATTGTTTTTAAAACAGTAATCCATTTTTTCTATTAAGTTCTGTATGTCACAATTGGACCTTGAAATCAAGTCTCTGGTGTAGTGACTTGAGATATGTACCACTGAGCCACAGGGGCAGTAATGTTGGACCCCAAATGAAACACTCAAAGTGTTTATTAATAAAATTAGCCAACATAGGTTATTCTCAGATTGAGACATGCAAAAAAATGTTTTAACAGACAAACATAAAAAAAAAAAAAACTCCACAACGAGAGAAAACAACAGGCAAAACAAAAGTCTTACTAGGCGCAGACCTGGATGACTATTGACCGCAAGACAGCTCATGGAGTTCAGACTCAAAAACCTAGTGAGATACAAAGAGACAATCGCAATTTAAAAACCCTGGCTGGAAGCAGTCGCAGGTGATCAGAATAAGGTAAATATGAACACATGAGGAAGAACTGAGGTCGAGGGGGCCACTAGGTCCTGTAGGGAGAAGACAAGACAGGTTTTAATAATGAGGTATGAAATGTAAGATTAGTTCTAAAAGAATGAGGAAGAAATAAATGATAAAAAACAGGGTTAACAGGAGGTTCAAAGGAGAGTGTTTCTGGCTTTCCTCCAGGTTAGCTGACAACGTTGGACGAAGTATTGGGCTGTAATGCTCTGAAATCATGGTTCATTAGTCTGCTTGGTTGAAGGCAACTTGGACCGGGGAATGAACCAAGCATCCGAAGAAAACTGGTTAACAACTACCAGTCATCGTGTACCACGATGACAATGTTGCCCTGGTAAGGGGGAAGTCTTGTAATAAATTCCAATAAAAACCAAGGCCTGTGGGGAAGAGGTAAGGGATAGAGCAGATCCTGAGGTTGCTGATGTTTACTAAAAGCTTTGTTGGAGGAATTCAAGGGTGCGGGCGCTACCTGTGTGGGAGGTCAAAGGAAACTCATGTCCCCACTGATAGACTTGAGCTCAAACTGATCGAGGAACATACTGGCTACTCAGTGGACCACTGCTTGGATCAGGTTAATTGGCCTGGACTTTACACTCCACCTGTTCCGGATCCTATATAGAAGGAGCAACAATCCTTGAACTAGGAATCTAGGAACTAGGTCTTTGCAGTGTCTCTGGAGAGTAGGCTCGGACAAGGCATCTGGTTAGGGATTCTTAGTGCTGGTTATATGTAAGTAAGAGTGTACTGACATCTATTAAAAACAAGGACCATAGAGCCTGCCGAGGATTCAGCTGCTTTGCCTGCTGGAGATATTCCAGGTTCTTATGGTCTGTACGAACCTGAAAAGGATGTTGAGCCCCCTCAAGCCAATGCTGCCACTATTTCAGGGCAAGTTTCATGGTGAGCAGGTATTAATTGCCCACATGGTAGTTGTGCTTAGCATCAGACAGGCATCCACCTCCACCACAAAGGGTCTGTCTTGGTTTTGGATAGAGAGAATGGGAGCAGAAGTAAAGTGGTGCTTGAGATTCAGGAAGGCCCCCGCTGCCTAAGGTCGTAGCTAATTTTGACTCTTCCTCCCCTTGTCAGTGCTGTCAAGGGAGCCACCGCAGAAATGAAATTCTTAAACATTGCAAAGCCCACAGAGCGGTATACCTCCTTAACTGTGGAAATGGGCAGTTGAGAACAGCCTCAATATTTCTAGAGTAACTTCATCTCCATGTTACCAGGGGTGACAATGAACCCAAGAAACTGTGTCTGGCCTACATGGATCTCAGATTACTCAGGTTTGACATAGAGAAGGTTTTTAACAAGTCTTTGGTGAACCTTGCTGACATGCGCCTCGTGCTTCTCCACTGACTTAAATATTATTATATCGTCCAACTACACAAAGACAAATATATTGAACATGTCCCAATTTACCTCGTTAATGAGTGCCTGGAGCATGGCAGGGGCATTGGTGAGGCCAAACAGCATCACAAGATATTTATTGTGGCCCGTGGGGTATTGTTAAATGCCGTCTTTCATTCATCTTCTTGCCAGATTTGCATGAGATAGTAGTGAGTGAAACTCAAAATTTGTGAGTTTTTTTGCTTTTTTTGTCTCATTTTGCTTTTTTTATACATTATGCTGCCAATGGTCATTGTTGGCCTTTCATATGTGTATATTTTCTTGCTTTGACCAAAATTACAACTTGGGAAGGACATTTAAAAGCATTGAAGACCTGTGTGTCTCACCTGTTGTTAGTAGGAATATTTTTCCTTCCTGTATACTGCACATACACAGCACAAATTATGCTTACTCTTACTCCTAATGCCAGAATAATCAGCACATCTCTGTCATATACTATTCCAGCAATGCTAAATCCCACTATATATGTTTTAAACACAGCTGAAATCAAAGATATAATTAGAAAATTGTTTAAAAAGAGACTGAGGCCAGTTAGTAAGAACATTTTAAAATAATTTTTTCACCAATTATATAAAAAAATTGCATGCTAGGGTCTAACAGAGGTCTTTTTTACAATAAAAAATAATAATAATGTCATTGAACAATGTATTTTTTTCCTATCGTGTGCTGCTGTCTTCTGAAATCCAATACTGTTATCTTAAGCTTGTTTATTAATCAAGTTGATTTCAAGTATTTGTGTTGCTTACTGATATCAAGACACATAAGAACAAGTATTTTGACTTTTATCTGCAGTCATTGCTGTAGTAGGTTGAAATTTCATATATGGCACACTCAGTGTCTTCCATTTATTGTTCTATATTTTCTGCAAAATTATAAGATACGTGATTTGTAATTTATTAATAAGTATGTTTGTCTGAGATCTGCAGATGTAAATTTAGTCTGAAATAATCTTTACAATGTTTGGGATGATGCCTCATTTGTGTGATTGAAGACTCAAGTTTAGTTAAAGTTGTCTATTCTTAAAATTAAATTTAAATTTAAATTTGCAATGCCCTGATTTGTATTTTCAAGTATTGACAGATATTTCCTATTGTTTAAACCTGCTTATTGTATAACTATATAATAATTTAATAATAATACATTTTATTTATGATTTGATCTTCTTAAATTCAAATCCATAAAGATATACTAATAAACTAATAAATGCAACCCAATAATAACTGCAATTACTTGTTTAATTTTATTACCTAATAATAAAAAATGTCAGTGATGCCAAATGTTTAAGTCTTTTTGTTTTCTTTAAAATACGCTTGGTGAAATCATGTAATCTGTAAATATTTCACCGCTTTAGTAAAATGTGGTCAAAATCATGTCATGTTTCATAATTTGTAAATACAGTATATATGACATAATGAAATTATATACAGAAAAATAAAAAAATTGACAAAAAAAAAATAGAAAAAAGATGAGAAGCTAGTGGAGCAGAGGTAGACAAGGGAAAAAAGGTATCGAGGACCTGGTCTGGGTGCTATATGAGGGGCTGTAGACTAAAACAACCAAACTGACTACCAAAGTGGAGCCAGAATGAAGCCAGCTAACCAGGTATTACTTGTCACCACCACATTAGAGCATTTAGCCCACATCAGAACTGAAGAAGAAATCACTGTTTATAAAGTTGTAACAAACATGTAATAAACATTAGCTTCCATTGTTATTCAGGTCTAAAGGTGTGATGAGATTGTTTATGACCGCAGCTGTAGGTGTAATGTGAAGTGGGATGCTAAAAACAGAGGTGCGGATCCAAACGCAGGTTTTTTATGAGCATGGTCAGGGAGGCAACAGTCAATACTGGGGCAAACAGATGTCGTAGTAAAATATCTGACGAATGGTCAGTACAGGCAGGCAGAAGGCAATGTAAACAAACAAACAAGGCGAGTGTCAAAAACACAATCTTGTACTATCAAGAGAAGCTAATACATTTTGTACCAAAGTACAGTAGGCCTAGTATTTATCAGGCCCTCTTTTTTTTGCGATTGCTGAATCCAATGCAAAATAAACAAAAAGTCAAACATTTTTGCGATCCTGCAAAATTCTTAATTTAAATGCAAAATAATTACAAAAATGTAAATAATCTCATAAAACATCCAATTCCAAACCATATAATCAAATTATATTGAATTCAGTTTGCATTTAATTGTTTTACATGACTCCTAGATGTTACATACGCAGCTCACAGGGCGTATTTGAGTGTTTCTTGAAAAATGACATCTCACCTGTACCCTCACAGTCATTACATTACATGAAGGGTGGGGGAGAAATTACCATCGCAAAAATAAAAATAATAAGAAGTATTGCAAAAAAACACAAAGAAATCATGAAAAACTAGGGGCTCTGATTTATTAAGACATTGTATTGTGTTTGTCAGTGTGGTGGCGCTGTATTCACACTGACCATGCAACACAGACTGAAGTCTAGCATTGTCACTTTTTCATGCATTTTCGTTGGTTGACATTTGACATAGATAATACAGGCTGCAATGTCAAATTTTGAGAGATACTCTGCCGTGATGACAAATTTTCTCATTAAAATGTGGAATTATAATTTTAATCAGCTAATTTGGTCATACAGACAAGAGTAAGCAGTAGCAGATTCTCAGATAAGTTGCTGTATGGGCTGCGTTTAAAGTGCAAAATGGACTTCATCTAAAAACTTGGTTTTGAACAATGATTGTGCCACACATAAAACAGTTAATTGCTTTTGTTACACATGCACTAAAATTTTTCCTTTCAGTTCAATTCATCTTTATTAATATAGAGCTTTTACAATGTAGATTGTGTTAACGCAGCTTAACTTAGAAATTCTAGTAGATTTTCAGAGTTTAGTTTAGTTTAGTTCAGTGTGGCTTAACTTTTACTGCTGAAAGTCCAAACATTAAAGAGCAAATCCATTGATGCACAGCTCCACAAGTCCCAAACCAAGCAAGCCAGAGGCGACAGTCTTGAAGAACAAACCTCACCAATTGACGAAAGTAAAGGAAAAAACCTTGAGATGGACACAACCATTTTCTTTTGGCCAAACTTCTGTGCAGACCTGCTGTCTAGACGCCAGAGGCTGAAAAGTGGTACAGTATGGCACGATACAGGTCACCTATATGAGGCTTGCATTTCCACTGCCAAAAGGTTACCAATGGTACCCACGCAACAGATAGCTCACAGTCAGTGCAAACATCTCTTCTGTACAGTATCTTGAATCTTCACTAGCACATGTAATGTCCAAAAGGTGATGGTAATAGATAAACGTGGCAGTTTGTTCATGTTTAGGTTGCTGAAAGAATAATTTGCTCCTTTGTTTTTTCCAGCTTCTCCTTTGTTATTTTCTAGCTTCTCTCTTGCGTTTCTGAAGATTTAGAATGAGTGAAGCACTTTAATAATCTCGCGCATGTTATTATCATCAGCTCAACAAGTTCTTTATTTCAAATATAGACACGCGATCATGAGCTCTCTGGAGAAAATGAAACTGCTAGCACTTTTAGACGGCCTCGTAAAACAAAAACAGGACAAGGCAGATTTTGTTCTTCTCAGCTTTGTGGCTGTTCACCAAGATGACAACAAGGTTTGTTTGAGCTCAGGACGACCATGGCTCATTATTATATCTATATATTATTATAGTGTAGTGTCTCGACTGTGTTTTAAAAAATGGCGGTTTCTTTGTTTTTCTTCTCCTGTTATTGCAGAAGTGAGTGACATATCTCTGTAAATCAGTAGCATCCCGTTGCACGTCTAGCTCCACCTTTTGGTACCTTTTTGTTGTGAAGTACCTTTTACAAAGGGTACCCAAAATTTTGGTTAGGTTTGGTTCGCTTTTAGATACCATTTGACAGTGTAAACGGCCATAAAAGCATACCGAACCAAACTGTACCCTACCACTCAGTGAAAACGGGCCAAAGGGGTCCAGTAACAAATTGCTCAGTATGATTACATGTATTGTTACACTCCTACCTTATTCCAATGGACCCCAACAAACATTTTGCTGACTATAAAAAACTTTGCAATTACATACGGTGCCAGTTTGTTGTACTAATCCAAACTGAAAAGTCTGGTAATACCAGTGTTCTGTTAATTTGTCCTATATCTTGTTTAATTGTTAATTTAATAAGTAGGTAGCAAATCTTGATGAAGAAATATGCTACAGATTTTGATGTGGAGTGGTGTGATATAAGGTTATAATATCACCCTAATATTCCCAATAGCTAACCCCACTCTTAAACAATTTAAATACAATGTTGGTGACATAATGCGATGGGTAGGATAAAATGTCAGGACACCTTTGCTACTGTATACTGAAACTTTAATGAGAGTTAGTTGACAGGCATACATTACGTTGCTTATAGTTGTAAAAACAATTTCATCCATATACTTCTATATAATATTCAGTTTGTATTTAATGAAGAGAACAAAACATACATATTGTTTAATAGATTTCATAATTGCTAAAACATCAGAATTGGTGGTATTGTACTGTACAATACATATTACATCATTGTTTTTTCTGAATTCTCTCATGAGTTGAATCATGTGATATATTTGAATTTGTGACACGGATAGCCAGTGGTCCCTGCAGCATGAGAAAAAAAGGATGAGCATTTATAGCAGAGTACTTTAATCCAAAGCAGCTCAGAAGTTTTTTCTTGTTGCCTCTGGCTCTAAAAAATAACTACATGATATTCCAATATTATGCAAAGTTACAGAAAGGTATGTTTTGACATTGTATTTGCCATTTTAAAATGACAGTTTTTGTAAATTCTCTAGATTTTCATTGTTCTGTTTCTTATATTTATTTTCAGCTTGCTCGAAACAACAAAAGCAAATCTGCAATGAGTTCTGTAAATGCAAGTTTTTCCCAGAATATCTCCATTGTTCATCCTGAGAACTTTTTCATCATTGGACTTACGGGTATACAGCACAGTGGTTATTACTATATATTTTTATTTTTCACATATTTTATATCTGTAATTGGGAACTCTGTAGTTCTTCTCATTATAGCTCTTGAGAGGAATCTGCACAGTGCAAAGTACATTGGTGTGTTTAACTTGGCCTTGGCTGATATTGGTGAAACTAGTGCTCTGATTCCTAACATGATGAAGAATTTTCTGTTTGACTCTCAGTACATCTCCTATAATGGTTGCATGGCAAATATGTTTTTTGTGTTCCTCTTTAGTTCCATGCAAAGTTTCACTCTTGTTGTTATGGCATATGATCGTTTAATTGCAATTTGTTTGCCGCTAAGATATCATGCTATTGTCAATAATACCAGTATGATTTTAATGACTTTAGCAATTTGGGCATTTAATACTTTTGTGGTGGCCTTGATGGTGTCTTTGATCAACCGACTTTCATTCTGTGAATCCAATATGATACAGAGTTATTTTTGTGATCACGGGCCAGTTTTTAGGTTGGCTTGTAATGACAATAGCATGAATAAGATTATGGCATATGTCATTTCAGTTCTGTACATTTTAGCACCAATGGTCGTTATCGTCTTTTCATATCTGGCCATTTTTCTTGCTTTAATCAAAATCACAACTTGGGAAGGACGATTAAAAGCACTGAAGACCTGTGTGTCTCACCTGTTGTTAGTGGGAATATTTTTCCTCCCTGTATGCTGCACATACATTGCACAAGTCTTGCTTTATCTCACACCCAATGCCAGAATCATCAGCACATCTTTTTCGTATGCTGTTCCTCCAGTGCTAAATCCTATTATTTATGTTTTAAACACAGCAGAAATCAAAGACATTATTAAAAAAATGATTAAAAACAAATCTGCACCGATCAGAGAGAACATTTCAAAATGATTCTGTAACATTTTTTGTTATGTGATTGGGTCTGAATGACAGTAGAAAAAAACATCTCTGGGAAGAAGTTTTTTTTTGTGCTATTTTTTCCTATATAACCATCTTAAGAATTTACTTTTAAAGACAAAAAATGCAACCCAAACAATTCAGATTCTTAAAAAAATAAAATACATGAAACTTTTATGTTACGGTTTTTAATCCAGCTGATTTCTAGTGTTTCTGTTTGTTTGATATTGTACTGCAAAAGAAGGAAAATATTAATGTGACTTAAGTGAGAAATCGGTGCCACAGTATGTTGACATTTCATATTGCCTTAATCCTATCAATTACTGTCATTTACAAGTATTTTTGTTTCTTTTCTGCTAATTCAGTGAGAAGTGTGATCATTTTAAATATTACTTCTTGATGTTTGTGTTTTCATTCCAAGTGTCAATTTTAAAATGACCCTCTTTTTTTGTACAGTAATACATTTTTAAATATGAAACCATGATACACACAAATGTAACTTTGCATTTTCCGTTTATTTTTTCTGTTTTTAAAGCTTATTAAAATGACAGCTTTGATGCCTAAAGCTTTGATTCAAACATATGAACATCTAAAATTTATTTTAATTTACATGAATAAAAGTCGACTTGCATTAATGTAAAGTCTCAGCCTCATAAATGGTCTTTTACTGCTATCTGCTGGTAAGTTCAAATAGGCACATGTTGGATGATTCCATGTAAAACTCTCAGATAATAAGCCTGACACTGTCATTCAGATTGTATAATATTCCATAATAATTTATACCTCTTTAAATATGGAAGCCAATGTTTATTCTAAAATATGCTTGCCGGTGTAACTTTATCTAAATTTTGACAAGAATGTCTTAATATGCTTTGTTAAAAACTCTAAAATGTTGCAAGAATCTGTTATAAAAAGTATCTATTTGTTTCCCTACTGTATTACACACAGATCATGATTTTTCATTTTTTTATTACTCCTTTGAGGAAAAAATTCTTATAAAAAAATATTTGTAGTCCAGGGTGTCAATTTATACATCACCTGAAAGCTGAATAATTAAGCTCCCCATTTATGTATAAACTTAGTTAGCATAGCACAATATTTGTTCGAGATACAATTATGTGAATTAAATGTGAGGGTTTAAAATACAATGCTGAGAAAATCTCTAGAAACTTTAAAGTTGTCTAAATAAAGACACTGCACTGTAAAAACATCAAAGGAGAACACGTTTTAGTGGTTTTAAAAACCAAGCTGACTGGGTAATTTGAGCTGTATCTGCAGTGTGAGCTTGTTTTCTATTAAAATGTCTAATAATTGTAAGATTATTTGTAAAATATTTTTTACTCCCACCATCTCAAATTACTATTGCCTTTCTTTATGTTTGGTTATTTAACTTTATAGTCAAACTACAGAGGATTTCTGTGTCACCCTGGATCCTGATACCAGGCCTTGTAACCAACAGCTTGATTATTAAAAAAAGGTAAAACAAAATTGTCATAAAGGTGGTGCACAGACACACATCCCCGATATTCAGCATTTGGTGCCTCTATGGTGATGAAATTTCCAATTTGGATCATATGTTTGAAACTTTAAGGGGTAGAAACTGAATTAACCCATGTCCATACATTGCCACCAAGACTCAGTTGAGTCAAGTGCTAGAAAATGTTCATTTTATTTTTTTGCCATTTTTGTTTTTCTTGTAAAAAAAAAAAAAAAAAAAAAAAAACCCTAAAAGGTCTTGGTATTATTACACCCTAAAATAGACACATTTACACTAGCTGTTCTGCTTAGACAACTTTATAAAAAAATATTAGAAACAATTATAAAACCAGAATAGGACAATAAGAATTGTCATAAAATTTTAAATCATGGTTTTCCTGAAAATAAATGTGATATAATATTTTTGGCATATCAACCATCCCGACCTCATTAAAAAAAAAAAAAACTTGACAGTGCTATACAAATAGTTTAAATAAACTTTTTAAAGTTAAGCAAAATCGTGTCCATTTTCACACAAGCCGATGTAACTGCCCATTTGTTGTCTATTTTTCTGGTTTAATCTGAACCTAAATATTGACAATCATGGCCTAATATATGAAAACTTATTATAGTTTTGATTGCTTCATATAGACTTGAAATAAATATTCCCATTGACAGTGAAGGTTTTTTGTGCACTGTTAACCAACTTGTGTTCTAACCGCCTGCTGTGCCTTGCATTTTTGACAAAACGCACTGTGCAACTGCAGTTGAACAGAGGTAAAGTCCCTTAATAGGGCACCTATGATGCAAAATCAACTTTTGGAAGCTGTTTGGACAGAAATGTGTGTAGGTATAGTGTGTCCACAGTCATATTTGTGTGATACAAACACAACTAATCAGTTTGTTTTTGTCCTGAGGTTAAAATAGGAGCCATATCCCAGTGCTTTTGAAGTGTCCATCCAATCTGACCTCATAAATCGCATGACAGCAGCTTCAACTTCTTGAAACAAAAAGGCTGCTGCCATTTTGGTAGGAGATTTGCCATCAAGACCCAGTTGGACAGTTTCGGAAAATGTGATATTTCCCCATTCAAATTGAATGCCTGTGAGAATGCCAGAGAGGCATTTCAAAAATGGCTGCCAAGTTAAATTAATTGCTTTAAAGGAGACCTATGGGAATTGAGAATCATTAGCAATTTGTGCCCAGGGCTACATTAGAAAAGAAAAGCACATCGTGGCTGTTGTATTTTAATCATGATTACGCATTTCTTTGTTTATATGGTTTCTGGAACTGTCCTACACCAGACTTCACATGCCAGGTACGACATCATACAAAATGAACTACCAAGCAAACTGACCATTAAGGAAAAGCTGACCATGAACCATGATCATGGATCACAATCGCGTTTAGGTTGTTTTTGTTATTATTTGGTGCTAGTGTTTTCACTATACTGGAATTCTGGTACCAATCACTACTGAATTGTCTAAAACGTCCATTTCCCGCTAATATTTCAGTGCTGTTAAGCATGTTTTTAACACCGCTGATTGGCATTGTATTCATGTGCTTAACAGAAATGATTATGAATGGCCGTAAAGGTCATCAGCTCACTGCACTTCCCCAGTTTTCACCGAGCTCGAAAACAGATACAAGGACACTTAAGTGTTTTAAAATCACGTTGATCTGCTGGTCAATCTATGAGCTGATATACAAGCGATCCGCTGATGAATCGACTGATCTATGTGGCTTTGAAATACTCAAGTGTCCCTGTATCTGTGTTCCCATTCTGTGAACAGCAGTGAAGTGAGGTGAACTGATGACCTCTATGACCTCTGTTGAGCATGTGAACACAATGGCCAATCAGCGGTGTTTGAGTATGCAATCAAGAGTGGACGTTTTAAAATTTTCAATACCGATTGGTACTGAATTTATAGTATCATAACAAAATTTGTTGATATGTGAAGAATCCCCATGAAAGCAATTATTTTATTCATCAATAATATGTCCCTTTAAATGGCATTTTTTAAAACAAAACTCATACCACCCCATAGCATTAGTTTTACCCAGAAACTTCAGGTAAATGTATGGTGAAGCATGAAGATAGCCCTGATTATGTATTCCTAATGAGCCTGGGTTACAAAAAAGACGATTTTAGAGCTGAAAAGTGTTTTTAGTGTGATCCCTTATACATTATATTATAAAATAAACAAATTCAAAGAAAGGTTTAATTCACTTTCACATGCTAGGATTAAATGACGCATGTATTAGATATATGACAGTAGGCCTATAATACTGACTAATGCCTCATTCACGCTAGCAGTGACTTTGTATCTGTCTGTCACTCTGGGTGGCGACCTGCTTCAAACGCTGATCTGTGAAGCTATGTACAGCACGCACACAACCGGCCTCTGAGCGAGCTGCGAGAGCATCACCTGAGCACTACTGGTGCTCTTATTTGCTGTCGCTCAAGAAAATCGCTTTTGATTTGTATAGAATTGAAAGATTCTGAACTTTGTCTTCCGACATGCTCACCTGGTTGCCAATGGTCGATCGCATAGACAGAGGTTGCCTGAAGTTGCTCGCTCTTCGTTAAAATGAACAGTTGCTTTGCCACTGCGAGTCGTAGTGTGAATGAGGCTTAAAGCTATTAGATGATAATAAATACACAATGACTTTTACAATTATATCCTTTTAAAATTGTTTATTTTATGATGAAATGATTATTATAGTATTATAATTATTATTAGTATAACTAAAAGAGAGCACAAGGGCAGTTGTTTTTATGTAAAAACGCATTGGTATTACATCATTGTGTTTTCTGTATGCTCTCAAGAGATGAGATGCGGATATATTTAGGTTCACTGAAACAGACCGCCAAAGATCTCGGTGGCATGCTTGAATAAGGACAAACGTTTATGCGGTATTGGTTCCGTCGAGTTTACAAGACAGTCACTGTCATTGCTGGCTCTAAAACTTTGGAGTTATTCAAATATTATGCAAAGTTATTTTAAAAGGTATATACAATTTTAAAAATTGTAGTTACTGTTTAGAAATGACAATTCTGTACATTTTTTATCATCTCTTTTTTATTTTTTAGATTTTTCAAAACACAAGACGCAAAGCTGCCATGAGTTCTGTAAATGCAAGTTTTTCCAAGAATATCTCCATCGTTCATCCTGAATACTTTTTCGTCATTGGGCTCACAGGTATAGGGTACAGCAGTTATTACTATATATTCTTATTCATCACGTATTTCATAACTGTAGTTGGGAATACTGCAGTCATTCTCATTATAGTTCTTGACCGGAGGCTGCACAGTGCAAAGTACATTGGTATGTTTAACTTGGCCTTGGCTGACTTTGGGGAAGCTAACGCACTGATTCCTAACATGATGAAGACTTTTCTGTTTGACTCTCAGTACATCTACTACAATGCTTGTATGGCAAATATGTTTTTTGTGTTCCTCTTTAGTACTATGCAAAGTTTCACTCTTGTTGTTATGGCGTATGATCGTTTAATTGCAATTTGTTTGCCATTGAGATATCATAGCATTGTCAATAATTCCAATATGATTTTAATTTTCTCAGCAATATGGGCTTTTAATTCTTCTGTGGTGGCCTTGATGGTGTCTTTGATTGACCGACTTTCATTCTGTGAATCTAATATGATACAGAGTTATTTTTGTGATCATGGACCAGTGTATAGGTTGGCATGCAGTGACATTAGCAAAAATAAGATTATGGCGTATGTCATTTCAGCTATGTACATTATAGCACCAATGGTCGTTATTGTCTTTTCATATCTGGGCATTTTTCTTGCTTTAATCAAAATCACAACTTGGGAAGGACGATTAAAAGCACTGAAGACCTGTGTGTCTCACCTGTTGTTAGTAGGAATTTTTTTCCTCCCCTTATTCTGCACATACCTTGCCCAGCTCTTGCTTTCACTGAATCCTAATGCCAGAGTCATCAGCACATCTCTGTCATATGCAATTCCACCAATGCTAAATCCTATTATTTATGTTTTAAACACAGGTGAAATTAAGGACCTAATTCGAAAAATGCTTAAAAGCAGATCTGCACCGATCAGAGAGAACATTTCCAAATGAGGCTGTAAAATTTTTCATTATTTAATTGGGTCTGTTTGACGCTAGAAAAGTTTGTTAATTATATATCCTCATAATCAATTCAAATTCTCAAAGAAATATAATATATGAAACTGTTCTGTGACCTTTATTAATCAAGCTGGTTTGCTTTTGTTCTATTGATATTGTGACAGTAAATGAAGAAGTAAAAAACGTGATTTAAGTGACCAATCATTGCCATAGTATGTTGACATATTTTATACAACCTTAAACACATCATTCACTGTGATTTACTTGTATTTTTGGTTGATAAAATCAACTTAAAAGTGTGATTAAAATAAATATTATTTCAAAATGTTTTTCTTTTTTTCCATAAGCTAATGTTATAATGAGCATGTTGGTCTCCACATTTCCCATTCTTCTCTGTATAGTATACATAACATGAAAGCATAATACACACAAATGTAAGTTTCCATTTATTGTGTCTGTTTTTAAAGGTCATCAAAGGTCATAATGACCTCTTTGATACTGAAAGGTAATAACACACATCAATGTAAAGTCTCAGCCTCATAATGGTCTTTTACTGCCCTCTACTGGTATCTTCAAGTAGGTGCATAATGTTTGAGTCTATGTATCTTAACCCAGACAGTGTCATATAATTATTATTTCTTCAAAATGTCTTTAAATTTGGAAACCAATGTTTATCCTGAAATATGCTTGTTGGTGTAACTTTAATATGTTTAACTCTAAAATTTTGTAAGAATATAACTGTTGTAAAAATAAAAGTCTTCTAATCTTTATAAGTCTCTCCATCTATTTTGTATCCATTTGTTTCCCTAAAACACATGGATCATGATTTCTGTGCATAACTTCTTTGGGAATACAGTGACTCTGGGCTCCAATCTTTTTTTAATTAAGGTTTGTACATCCCCAGAAAGCTGAATAAATAAGCTTTCCATTGATGTAATGACTTTGTTAGGACAATATTTGTCAGAAATACAACTACATGAAAATCTGGAATCTGGCATATTCATTTATACATTTTCTTTTCAGCTTAGTCCCATTATTAAACTGGGGTCGCCACAGGGGAATGAACCATTAACTTATGCAGCATATATTCTACGCAGTGGATGCCCTGCCAGCTGCAACCCACTACTGGGAAACACCCAAACACACTCATACACTACAGTTAATTTAGCTTACCGAGTTCCCCTATACCACATGTCGTACCACAAACCAGAGCACCCAGGCAAAACCCATGTGAACATAAGGAGAACATGCAAACTCCAGACAGAAATGCCAAATGACCCAGCCGAGGCTCGAACCAGCGACCTTTTTGCTGTGAGGGAATTGTGCTTTCCACTGAGGGAATTAATACAGTATTATAGGCATCTGGGAGCAATAGTGATAATAGCACTAACATACTGTACACATATTCCCAATACAGCATGAAGGTTTTCCATAAAGATTATTTCCAGATCAAATCCCAGAGCAATAGTTTGATACAATTATGCTAAATTCCCATTATTTAATTATGCTAAATTCGAATTATTACAGCATTGAACTTTTTTATCTATACAGCAGCTCTTAAATTAAAAATGAATACATTTCTATTAGAGGATAAATTGCTGAGCAAATAAAAATCTGGATGCAAAAATGGACAACAGCAACCTAATCACATGCAATATATAATATATATATTTAATGGATGTTCACTCATACACACGTGCACACACGCACACACACACATACAAACAAATTAATATTTCAGTCATCAGTCACTCATCGTTCAGTTGTTTTAAACCTTTATAAGTATTTTTTTCTTCTGTTAAACATAAAATAAGATATTTAGAAAAATGCTGAAAAGCTGTAACCATTGACTTCTGTAGTATTTGTTTTTCCTACTATTTAAGTCAATGGTTACAGATTTCCAGCATTCTTCAGAATACCTTTTTAAAGAAAGAAACTCATAAAGGTTTGAAGCCATTGAGTAAATTTTCATTTTTGGGTGAACTATCCTTTAAGCAAACTAAGTGACAGATGAGACTAAAAGCAAATTTTGAACCTACTAAGGATGACAAAAGGGGAAAAACACTGGAGAATCAAATAGTTCATTTTTTGGATGTTTATTCATTAAAACAATTGGTTGATTGTCTTATTTTCTAAACAAAAACAACATGGTAAAATCTATAATGGTGTGTAATATTACAGCTTAAAATCTTTGTTTTAAATTGTCATTGATCTCTTTGATGGCAAAGCTGAATTTCCTGCAGTCATTATAGCAATCATCTATAGCACAAAATTCTTTAGAAATTCCCTTTAATATTAAGCTCAATTTTTAAAAAGAAAATCAAATGCTGCTCAATATTTTGTGGAAACCATGATCATTTCTTCAAGATTTCTTTGTTGAATGCAAAGATCAAGACTCAAAAAACAACTCTGATATATTTTATAACAATACTTACTCAATATCATTCAAAATGATTGCTTTCATTTGGAACAAAATCTTACCTTCACCCTACATTTTGTACAGTTGTGTATATTCACACTATACAATTAAATAAATCATTAAAATTGAGTAAAAAGATCTGAAACATTGACACACAAATGAAGGGGAGTCATGTTGGTGTTTGTACTATTAAATGAACACCAATGCCATTGTATTTGGATTAAAATCCTTGAACTGGGTGCAATTTTGATAACAGGGTTTCTGCTGATGGGCTTATGCGGGGCCCTGGGATATCGGAAACTGATAAAAGCGGTCAGCGCAGCTCAAAACCCCACTAGGCTGGCCGGCTTGATTGAAACACTGATGGGTAGGGTCGCGAATCAGACTATGGTCCTTGACCGCAAACTGGAAACCATCGAGGTGAAGCTAGCGGCTCTGCAACAAATTTTGGCCAGATCGGGAGACGAGTGATGGACATTAAATATCTGTGAAATTGGCAGATATTGACCTAAAGTGGAAGTATCTTACTGTCTTTTTTTCGGCTCTCCTCTTACTCCTGCCAGACGGCCTCGGCTGGAAGTAAACAACTCCCTGGGATAAGCAAGATAAGCGGACGCTCTGAAATTCCTGCCCCTGTCAAGGACACCTGCGGGACTCTGGACTATGCAGGCTCACACACACACACACAAACATATCTACAGATAAACATTCACCACCGATCCCCATCCAAACGCCTTCGTGTGCTTTTACCCACGTGGGGCGTGGGCGGGGCTGTGACTTGCGCCGGAAATGGCTGCTAGACCAGTTGGCTGCCCGCACTCAACGGACTGTTTTCCATTACCCCTGTTCCCATCCCCTCTGTCTATGTTGTGTCTTGCCGGTGTGCTTATGCTAAGATAGGGCTGTTTTTCTCCCTTTTCTCACTTTGTCCTAATCAAGGGCAAGCTGAGGGAGCGTTTTTTTTTTTGCCTAACTGTCCAAATGTATCTTTCTTCGTTTCTAAATGCTACCTCCTAAGATCTGTCTCCCCTGAAAAGTTGTTTGTGATGTTTTGTGTATGGTCTGGGGGGTCCAATTTCGCTATACGAAAGTGTAGTGACAAATAAAGGCTTGATTGATTGATTGATTGATTGAATTGATAAACAAAAAAGTAAAAATCTTAAAAAGAAAACTCTCTGTATGGGAAAGCTTTATATGTGATTCTGTTACATCATCAAGCTTATACTTCCATAGTCCCAACAAGAACAACAACAGCATAATGTCACCAAATGATAATCTCATAACAACGGTTGTTTTTTTTTCATAATTCAGTGCATGTCTGTGGCATTGCAAACCCTTTGCCAACAAAAAGTGTGTGTGTGTGTGTTTTACTTTTTTATACTGTAGCAACACATTTACGTTGTTTAAAGTCACATTCACACACTTTGTAACTAATTGCCTTTATAACTGTATCAATTCCTAATTTGTTTATTTTAAAAAAGCCCTATGTGAAATGAACAGGGTTTCTTAACAGATATAATAGGATTTAATACTTTTTATATGCAGTATTAAGTTGTGCACATACTTCTGTAAGTTCATATGACATGCCTGTTGAAAAATAAGGAGCTCTCCTATACAACAGATGTTATAGAAATAATATATAAGTTGAAGTTAGAAAATATCCTCTCATCAGATGTTATTAAGGAGCTTTATTCAAATGGCCTTTAGGCTATGCTGTGCTATATATGATTATATTACTCAGTTGCTGTAGCTGAAAACTACTGTTAAATACCTGAAAAGCATGACAATCACTATTGTTCGTGCTATTGCTTGTAAATGGATTATTTTATTTTTATTTGACAATATCTCCAAGCCAAGAGCCTAAAACCGTAATCCAAATTGAACTGTGAGCAATCTGTATCATTGCACTCTTAGCATGGACAATATTCGGTCATAATTCTGACTGGTGGATCTTGGCTTTGTATTGCTGTTAGAAGTTGGCCCTTTTTAGGCTTATAGTGTGTGAATATGTTGTGAAGCATGTTGTGTGTTTTTCTGCCATCTTGTGGGTAAATGAAGAATGCGTTATACATATATCCCACTGAAATATTATAGAAATAACTTGCAATTGACTATTTTACAATATTCATGATTAGGTTAATCAATTTGACCGCTAGTGTTCTTAATTACTGATGAAGATGATGATGAGGATGATGATGTCAGCAAACAAGGCTTTTTTAATATCAAACGCATTTCAAGATTAATAAATGACAAGTCTTAATTACTGAAAACTGGCAAATATGGACATATATTTATCAAAAATGCAATACAAAGCACGACTACATAAGATGTTATTGTGTTATATTATGTGTTTGTACAGTAACCATTGGCTCTTATTAATTTTAGCCATCAATTTACAGTTTTTCCATCCTCAGCAGTTCTAACAGTTATACATTATGAAACTTTATTTGAATTTCCTCACATTGATTAAATGAATAAATAAAAAGTCAAGAACATTTGACAGCACTAAATTGAATGAATACATAAATGCTGGATTATAAATAAACAACACATTAATGCCTTGATGAAGAAAAATTGATTCAACAAGTTCAAACATTTTTGTTTTATTTTCCTGCAACATTATTACAAAATTCATAACTGTTGAAACATAGTTTACAGCTTTACACATCAAAAGTAACTTCTAGTCTGGATGGAACAAAGCAGTCATTGTTGTAAAGCCTTGACCTCAGTTTTAATGATCTGTTGAGCCACTTTTGATTGTCTAAAAAGTTTGACCATCCTTTCTTTAAGTTCATCAGTCTTTAAGCTGTAGATGATGGGGTTCAACATTGCTGGAACGGTAACAGAAACAGTCAGTATTGCTGTTAAAAGATCAACATTCTGAACTAATCGCAAGTTCCCTAGCACATACGCTATAATGACTGGCATGTAATACAGCATGACCAGCATCATATGAGTAAGACAGGTGTGAAAGGCCTTCCAGCGCTGGGTTACAGAGGCAATCCGCATCACAGCAATCACTACAATCACATATGTGAAAACAATAAAAAACAAAGGGCCCAGCAAGGTGATCATTGTCTTAACAGTTCCTAGTTGTCGGTTATAAGTAGTGTCTGTACAAGCCAGTCTGTAAACTGGGCCATGTTCACAACAACAGCTCAGTACTGCTCTGGAGCTACAGTAAGGAAGCCTAGAGGCAAAAATGACTGGAAAAATATCCAGCAGAGTAACTAGAATCCAGATCAATGCTATGATAAGCAGCATCCTCAGGTTGGTGTTTATGGTAGAGTAACGCAGAGGCCAGCAGATGGCGATCAGACGATCATATGCCAGAAGAGCAAGAGAGAAAGACTCCATGTCACCAAAAAAATGCATGAAGAACATTTGAGAAAAACAGGCGCCAAATGAGATATAGTTCTGGTTGAACACAAAAACAGGCACCATTTGAGGAATAATAACACTATTGATTGAAATGTCGACGACGGCTAGATTACACACAGCAAGATACTTGGGGTTCTGTAAGCTGGAGTTCATGAGGACAACAGAGAGGAGAACAAGATTGCCCAGCAAGGTGATGATGTAGATGATCGCCAAGCCCAAAATCAGGTAGTTTTTGGTTGGCAAAGTTTGGAAGGCAGTCAGATAAAATCCTTCATTGAAAGAAGCCGTTCCATTGCTGAATGTGACTGACAAATTCATTTGAACTCCGGTAAAAGCTGAAATAAACACAGTTAATTCATTTACAGCTACAGTGTGACAAAAGAAATGAAAGTAAAATGTAATTTTGTAAATAAAATGAATATTAATAAAACATAATACAGCAAATTGTATATCAATTAGCATGGAAGAATACTAAAATCACACATTTATAGACTCATAAATTAAAATATAAGTACAGTAACTGAAAACGTTTAACAAATACATCAGAACTAGTTTTCAGTTTAATGAACAAGTGCAAAGATACCTAACTGCTCTGTAGATCTGCCTTTGGTTTGAAATCTTGCAGTGTTACTAGAAAGGGGCTTTATAAAGGGCTGTTAAACTAATGAACTGGTCTAATGGGTTTAATTAACCAGTGTGTCCAAACAAAGAAATAATTACCTTGACTTGAAGTCTTGTTAGTTTAGAAAAACTTTTCTCAGGAGTATTTAATTACTATTGTAATTATATCCATAATTGTTGGTGTGAAAGTGTTTTTACATTTTTGCCCCACAGAGGCAAGCAAGATCAAAACAATGTATCTTGCATTAGTGCATTAGGCGAGATTTCATCAATTTTTAGTGACGTTTCATGTGTCATTAATGTCTGTTTGTCATGGCGAAAAATGTAAACACAATCCACAAAAATATATAAATAATTCACATTTTAAATATACATTTACAAAACAAAATAATTCACATTCACATATGCAATGACTATCAATTTGCCCATGCTTGTTTTATTCTGAAGATTTATTCAGACTTATTTAATCAAATTGTACATTGCACTTTTTCCACATTTATACATGGTATATTTGTATCATAGGTGTCCAAGCCTGCTACCCACTATCCACCGGATATCCCTTAGCTACCCTAAATAAACACATCTGAACTCATTAATTAAAACCTGAAGCTAAAATCTACAGCTCACCCAATTTAAAGTATTTGATATGGTTCACTCAGATTTGTTAATCCCTATAAGAGGATTAAGTATTTTTTATTTGTGTTAATAGATATGCTACCATGCATAATCAAACACATGGCTTTTAAAAGCATACTTCTTTTGATATTATGTGCAAATGCACACACACATGAAAAACAATATAGCTGTTTCTAAATAGGTATTTTAGCCATGCCATAGTTGTGTATTATACTGTATGTGACCACGAACCACAAAAACCTTTTTTAATTGAGATGCATGTGGGACATGGTATGCATCTAAATAAATAAGCTTTCTATTGTTGAAAACATTGTTAAGATTGAATTATTTCTGGCCAAAAAAAAAAAATCTTGTGTGTTAAAATATATAAATATATAAAAAAAATGTCCTTAAAGTTGTCTAAATTAATTTCTTAGGAATCCACATTGCCAATCATAATTTGAGTTTTCATATTTTTAAGGTTGAAAATTTACAAAATGTCTTCATGGAACATGATTTTTTATCATTATTCTAACAGTTGTGCCATAAAAGAAAAATCTAGGATGTTGACCCATACAATGTATTTTGGTTTATTGCCAAGCATTTACCAGTGCAAGTTAAGGTTGGATTTGTGCCCTATGGTCACATGTATTATAGTATTTGCAGCACTTTGTTAATGAATACTCCTGCATACACTAAAATGTCTTTGTATATGATTAGAAAAGAGTTGCAGACATACTTTAATCCGCACACAAGTGCTCATCAATGCAGGCCTGAATTGTTGTAGTCATATAAGTTGTTCAGTACTGACATCTTGTGGACCAGATAAATAATCCACAAATAATTAATATGTGCAAGCTGCTGTTCTGAGGACATTAGCATCATGCATGATGTACAGCAGGGGCGGACTGGGACAAAAAATTCTGCCCTGGCACTGTTGCCACACCAGCCCACATTACCACACCGACACAGCCCCACCCACGGACACACACTTTCACTATTTATTTTGATGTAAAGAGGGTGAAATAATATGACATTCTTGCCAGATTTTGATTATGTCCGGGTAACCTTAGATTGGGTCGGCCAAATGCTTAACATTTATTATTATTATTTTTTTAATTATCATCATCATAATATCACATCTAGCAAGAGATAAAGGCTGTCTGCACTTAAAAACAATACTTTTTATTGTTATTAAAAAAAAAAAAAACTGACCGGCCCACATTTAAAAATTGGTCTGGCCCTTCTGACATTTGCCAGAATTGCCAGATGGCCAGTCCGCCCCTGATGTACAGTATGGTACCCTAGCATAGAGGAACAGGAAAAGTGATTTTCGGGGGTTAATGCATGGTAGTGCTTATCAAATATATAATGTGTGCTTGCAATCCTTGGTTATCTGAGGAAGATCTTGCTTCATGTTGCATGCTTATAATTTAACCAAGTTTAACAATTAATAAAGAGTATTCATTTGAAGCCTACTGATATTTCAAACTACCCAGTCTAAACCCTTTAATGTCCTTATTCATTATTTGCTTAGCAATATCATTTTTACCCAGGCCATGTGATGCAACGAGACTACAGTAAATGCAATGCCATACCAGCAACACATCTTTGATAGTAGCCTAAACTGGTGTCCCTGTTTATTTAGAATAATAGATTTGCTTATCATAAACAGATTCCATTTTCATCAGTCAATAACATTAAAGAACCTTTATTTTAAGAGTGAAGGAGAATTAAAAGTATTCAAAATGACAGCTTTTTCTCTAGTCAATAAATAAATTAATAAATGATATAGGCTGCACAACCTATAGTGTTTTTTGACTGTTCAAATCGTGTGCTTGAATATGAGAGTAGGCAGTCAGTTGTATATAACTATAACATTATAATTCCTCAATATTTTAATGTGGTTGTTAACATTTTGTTAACATGTTAAGTGTGAAACATTTCTTTTTACTGGGTGAAAAGTAGTGTTTAGAAAGACAAACAGCTGTGTAAAGTCTTGCCATTACCATTACTATGTACCTCTGAATGCCACATTTGACTTTTCAAAGTATTTTTAATGTCAGTAGGCTTTGTAACTACAGCTGTTCTGTGTATAACAAAAAATAGAGAAATCACATGAGGGGTGTTTGGTTACTTCATGTCTTGAAAATGTATTTCTTTGTTTGTCAGTGACCCAACATACTTTATTAAACATTATGTGTGAGGTTCATGAATCATTACAAAAGCAAACGTGTGATCTGACATTGGAAATAAACGCTTTACCTAGTGGAAAAGCGTGGGAACGCATGTTCATGATTATTCAGAAACACGCTTTGTTCATTTCATTGTTTTTAGTGAATATTATGTCTGAAATGTGCACCATTCATTCATATGGCCATTCATAGCCATACAGGTCTTTAGATTGTATTTCTTAAAATGACTGAACTCACTGAACCATGACAAAAAAGTGAACCATACAAAACATATTTTACAATAAAAAGCAGACGTTTTGTTTGGTTAAACATGCATCCAAAATGTAATAATAATCATGTTTAGGTGTTTTCACATTTATTAATAGGACAGTGAAGAGTAAAAAACATTTTTTAATAGGGGAGAGTGGGGACAGTTGCAACACGTTTTGCATTTCATTTAGTTTCTCAGAGACAAATAATTTGTGGCAACCCAATATTTTAATATAATAAACCCACCTATATTAGACACCAACCTACATTGCTATAATGTGTACAAATGATAATGTAAACAGAATTTAAACTTAAACAGACAAAGTCAAAAGTTGCAACTGACCTCTAGCAGAAGGACGGATGGTTGCAACAACCCATGTGGACAGTTGCAACATTTAATAAAATGTGATAATAAAAACTGAACTGAAACTGAACAAAAATGTATTTTTTACTGAAAATCTAGATTGAACCTTTACTAAACTACTTTGAACTTTGTTGATTTGGTAATAGAAAACAGGAAGAAAACTTTAAGTGCAACTTGACGTTAAACAAAAACAAATACTAACTGATTTCTCTAGAATTTTTTTGGCCATGCGAAAGGAAGAGGGATTTTTAAAGGTATCAGAAATGATGACCCGGGTCAAATGGGTCTAATGCAATCAAAAATATACTGTAATTGCCTTGATTGGTTATGCAAGATCAAATTTTCTCACGAGCATTTAGTTTAGTGATCTAAATAAAATTTTTTTGTCTTTATACTTTGACCCATAAAAGCAAACATGTTCAAAACGAACTGTTTTGCACTTTTTAACCAGGCCAAGATGTCATATCCTTTTGAGACAATAACCTTATGAAAATTAGGCTTTATATTATAAGTTTAGTAACAATGATTTATAGATTATCATTTGTAAAACTACTGTTTAGTTCGTTAGACAATAGTTAGTTTAGTAAAGCCACTGTAAATATGTGGTTACCAGGATTTAATTACATTTATCATTAATTAAATTTAATTACAAACAAACACATTTTAGTAGGCCTGTCACAATAAACATTATATCGACTTATTGTGCAATACTTTGTGATGTCAATAATTTTACCATTGCAATATATCTTACCATATTCACAAATAAGCCATTTTACAATTTACATTCTATCTCACCGGTGTCAAAGTTTATAATTGGGCATTTTCCTAATAGGACATTTAACAGTATATATAATATGGTATTTACATTTTTAACATCAAATAAAAATCTAAGTAATCTTAAGAATGGTAAGTATTTTGAAGTGTTTATGGCTTTTTGCATTATTATACTGTTTTATATATTCATGTTATATCATTATATATTATTGATATACTTACTTAGCTACTCCCAGGGCTGTTTATATCGAAGTTGATATTTAGCCGCACCGTGTTGCTGTATTGTAACACCAATCTTATTTTAACGAGTATAGTAAACTTCATATCTTTTATATTAAAAATCCCAGGAATAAAAAATGAAGATGAAGACAAAACCATGGACAGGTTTGTTCTTCTTAAACATTTATTTTTCTTAAACACTTTTACCTGAGCATTGGAAGGACATTTCTAGATCTGCATTTTTTAAGTCAAGTCAATATTTATTTATAAAGTACTTTTAAAAAACAAGTGCTTACCCAAGTGCTGTACACACATTCACCATCTAAAACAAAGGACAAATACAACAGACATTGGACTTTTGTATGGTATTTAAAGCCAAAGAGTAAAAATAGGTTTTAAGACTAGATTTAAAAAACAGAAAGGGTTGTGGCCTGCTCATAATGGAGAGGCAAATTATTTTAAGTACGGGGCAACCACTGCAAAGGCACAGTCCCCTCCTGGTTTTTAACTTTGTGCGTGGAACAGCCAAAAGTCACTAATCAGCACATCTAAGTGCCCTTGATGGAGTGTACAATTAAATGAATGAAGACAAATATCTTGGTGCTAGTCCATTTAGGCATTTAAACACCAAAACTAGACTGTTTATCCAGTTCACTATCATCAAGTCACTATCCATAATAACACCCAGGTTTTTTACATTAGTTTTTACAAAAGGATTTAACAC